GAAAAGAAAAAAAAAAAAAGAGATAGGTGTAGAAAATAAAGGAGTTTAAAACTAAAATAAAACCAAGAGGAATCGAGGGGGACTGTCTCAAGTTTAGAGCAGAGCACACAGTTACGAATTTCTCATCATCTCATTCTTAGTTTTATAATAAAGGAGTTAGGAGTGTGGAAAAATGACTCCTGAGCCTTAGTTTTGTTTTTATGATTGATTCATTCCACATTTGAAGGTATAAGATATGTTTTTATGATTGATTCATTCCACATTTGAAAGAGCAGCAGGCCACTGCCCTTTAATTTTTCTGGTAAGATTTAAATCTACAACCTATAATTGAAGACATGATATCAAACCACTTTGAGCCTAAGCTCAAACCAGCCCAGTTCTCATCATTACACCTTCATTGGTTTTTCATGTCTAAAAAAACATGAAAAAAAACCATTGGTTTAAAGTATATTTACTTTTCTAATCTTCAAAAGAGAGGGAGGACTTGGTCTTCGGGATAGGAAGGCTTGAATTAAAATCACCACATTCGAAAACAAAGATAAATTTCTTGGAGTTTTAGGTCATTGGGAGGAGAAAAACTTGGCCATGCTTTTCAATGAATGTTAGGAGAAATCCGAATTTTCTCCAAAACGAAAGACTTCCACAAGTCAAAAAGCTATGAAAGACAGAAAGACATAGCTTGGAGAATAAAGCTAATGACCATTTGCATGTACGCGAAATTAAAAGATGGTATCAAGATTTAGACAGGACAGATAGTACTTTATTTCGATTAGTGAATATGACAATAGCATTTAGGACTATGGAAAGAATAATTTAAGATAAGAAGGGTACCGACTTGGGATGAATCCAAGAAAAAATTGCAATTTGATCAAATACCATTTTACTTTGATGATTATGGTTAAAAGTTACAACTACATCCCATAAAACTTAAGATTGTACCCTGTAAAGTTTCTACCAAAACACTCTTTGACTAAATAATGACATTAATGAACTTGAAAAGACCTGCAAATAGATGATAAGAAAAAGTGGAACCCAACAAAATAAAATGACATGTGCAACATACTTTACTTTTAAAGTAAGGAATCATTTTTTTCCTAGTTTTGACCAACTATCCACTTTTGTAGTTTCGTGTTAAATTAGTTAATGTCTATCCAACAGGCATGCTACACATCATTAGAGAATTAAAATGCAAAGTTCAAAGGCAGTTGAAATTTTTAAAATTTTAGAACTAAATGGATCAATAGTCAAAAGTGAATAGGTGGGGTGCCTAAAATTACCACGTTTACAATCAAAATGAGATTGATGGGCATTGCGGATCTGTCAAGTTGGGTTGAAGGCATCTTCGATGGCTATTGCAATCATGAAACTATTCACTGTTTTGTAAGATAATCACTTGCATTCACGTGAACTTGACTTCAGATAATTAAAGAATTATTATACTTCAAAAAGTATGAACTACGAAGACGCTAGAAAGAACACGAAATCAAAGAATCAAAGGAGTGAAGTCGAACCAGATGAATGGCCGGTGGGTTTTGTTTCCACTGGCCGAATAAAAAGGAGATGAAGCTTCTGTTTCCTAGCCTTTTAAGCTTCCTTTGATCCAATCTTCTGGTTCTTTCTAACATCTATAAAGACACCTCAATTCAATCCCATCCATGCCATAGCACCATTTTCATCAAACTCATTACAGATATTCAAAAGAATGGCTGCCATGTACATCGATCCAAGGCTCAAACTCCAGATGGCCAAACCCCACCTTCAAAATGGAGCCACGTCAGAAGAGATTGAAGGGCTGATTCGAGTTTATGCAGATGGGCATGTTGAAAGGCCCCCAATCATCCCAAATGTAGCCTGCAGCACCACAGCATCAAACAAAGGCGTAACTGCAAAAGATGTTCTCATAGACATTTTCACAAACACTTGGGCGCGTATTTACATTCCTAACTCTCAGCGAAACCTCCCTTTGCTTGTTTACTTCCATGGCGGTGGCTTTTGCGTTGGCTCTGCCGCCTGGAGCTGTTACCATGAATTCCTCCTCAATCTTGCTTCCAAAGCAAAATGTGTAATCCTCTCAATCAACTATCGTCTTTCCCCTGAAAATCGCCTCCCCGCCGCTTATGAAGACGGATTCAACGCAGTCATGTGGTTGAAACAACAAGCAATAACCAACCCAATCGAACACAAATGGTGGTTAGGCAATTGCAATCCATCAAAATTGTTCCTCGCGGGCGATAGCGCTGGAGCAAACATAGCATACAACACCGCTACAAGGCTAGGGCACAACGAATCCACACTCCTAAAACCCCCAACTCTAAAGGGTATAATCCTAATCCAACCTTTCTTCGGCGGAGAATCGCGAACCAAATCAGAAAAGCTCGCCGCTACGCCCTCCTCCACCTCCGCGCTAACTCTCTCCGCCTCCGACACATACTGGCGGCTGTCCCTTCCGCCGACGGCCAATCGCGACCATCCATGGAGCAACCCACTGGTGAATGGCGGCGCAAAGCTGAAAGAAATGAAACTCCCACCATTAATGGTATGCATATCGGAGTTGGACATACTGTTGGACAGAAACTTAGAATTCTGTGCAGCCATGGCAGCCGCCGGGAAGAAAGTGGAGAGAGTGATTCTGAAGGGAGTTGGACATGGCTTCCAAATTCTGAACAAAGATCAGATCTCCACTCAGCGAACACAAGAACTAATGGGTTCCATTCGAGCTTTCATTCATCAACAATAGGTCAAAATATATTTGCTTCTGGTTCAATTTTGTCTTTAGAGAACATCAACTCCATCACTCCAATAGTCTGCATAATCCTAATTTTTTAACGAAAAGAAAAACAAAAAAATTATGAACTACTGTAGGAAGTAAAGAAGTTAGAATTTCCAGTTTCAGTCTCTAAGTTATAAAATTATGAATGAAAATATACATTTAATTATTTCTTCATCATTTAATTTTTATTTCATAAAATCAACCATGTACTAGTACACTCAGATCTAAACTCTTTTCGAGGTCATGAAGATCTATATTACTCTTGTTTGGCTATCCATTTTTTTTACCGGTTACGTGTCAAATCAATCAATATTTATTTAATAGGTGTGCTCGTTGTTATTGTTCAATTAAAAAGTTGAGATTCCACTGCTTTAAAACCGAAACAAAACATTTTTTATAAGGGTATAGAAACCTTTTAATTCTCAGTTGACATTTAACTCTTTTCTATAATAACATAATTATTTTTAGTTTCTTTTTTTTGTTTTTTTTTGTAATGTATTAATTTTGGTAAATTTTTATTAAATAAAAAGTTCGTACTATTTAGAGCGACAACAAAGTCACCTTAACTTAAGGATAAAGTTTTCCAACCAAATAATCGAGCATGAACCAGACATATACATGTAACAAATTTAAGAGGGATGGAATTATAAAAATATTAAAGTATTTTAATTTTAAAAAGAAAATTATGATAATTTTTTTTGTTATGAACTTTATTATTTAATAATGAAAGATTATATTAAAAAATATTAAAGCACAAGGGAAGCATCGCATGTATTTAGCATTTGTTTTAAATCACCAGACCCAAAACTGAAGGCTTGGGCTTATGAATATCTTAGGATAAAGGCCCAAATTTCATTTATTTTTTAAATTTGCATATATTAATTTATCATTATATATATATATATATATATATATATATATATATAGGTTAGAGTAAAAATTAATTCCTATAATTTTAAGAAAATTAAAATGTAATATTTATAATTATTTTTTGTAGATAATCCTCCGCTTAATCAGACCCTAAATAACATTTATAAAGTTTGATTAGAGGAGAAAAACAGAAATTAAATTATAATTTAGCTTTAAAAAAAATAATTTAATTTTGGGAAAAAATCTGATAATAAAAAAATTAAAATGTTTCAGTCTAACCCTTACACGTCAGATGTCTTCTTAAACGGCCACATATTTGATTGAATCTACTTTAGGTGGGACCCTGAAATTTGTGGCCAAGAGAAAGCGAGTACTGTTACTATTCCTACTCGCGATCCGAGCCGCTAAAAAGAATACTAAACTGCAATTAGTTACAAATAAAAAAAAGCCATGCCTAGGCGATGTGACGGGAAGGAGAAATTATTAAATGCATAAAAAAAATAAATTAAAAATTGTATTTAATTATAATACTTTATCAATCCAAAACTCAATTTAAAAGCTTACTAATTTTCCTATTAACTACTATTTATTAATTTTTTTCATATTTTTCAAAAAATTTTATGAAAAAAAATTTGATAAATGTAAAGTTTATATTGTAAAATTATTTCTTAATACCATAATTCATTAAATGAATTAATTAACAATAAAAATTTAGAAAAAACGAATTAAAACAAAAAAAAAGTTTATTTCTTCCATCGGAGTCACACGTGGAGCCCACTGCAAGTCCACGATAGCCACAAGATAATGCATTACCTTTTTGCAGCCACTAAATCCTCGCCACGTGGGATACCTTGGATTCTTCATTTCCAACCCACTCTGCTCACAAAACCAACTCAACTCAACACAGAAAACACACAGACAACAATGTTGAAAACAGAGGACGACTACTTCGGCGGAGCCGCCGCCACCGCCACCGCCACCGCCGGAGTGATATGCGAGGCATGCGAGAGATCCCCAGCTGTATTCATCTGCAAAGCGGATGCCGCCTCGCTCTGCGCCGCCTGCGATGCCGAGATTCACTCGGCGAATCCTCTCGCACGCCGTCACCACCGCGTCCCAATTGGTGGCGCTAACATGGTCGGAACTACTCCGGAATGTCAGGAAGATGAAGACGAGGACGAGGCTGCTTCCTGGCTGCTGTTGAATCCATTGAAGACCAACAACGAAAACAGAGGAGGTGGTTCGATACAGAGCAATAACAATACGAATGGGTTGTTTTTGTTGGGCGGGGAAGATGATTATTTGAATTTTGTGGAGTTTAATGGTTGTGGGGAAGATCAATTTGAGGGGTCGGAGAATTATGGCAGCGGCCGCTGCGGAGGAGAGGACAGAGTGGTGCCGATTGAATTTGAAGGGAAAGATCCGATGTTGGAACAGAGCTACGGCGGCGTTGATGGGAGCTACTCCTACAATGGCTTCCTCACCCACGCTGTAACCTCCTTACCTACCTCTCTCTTACCTTCATCAATGGAGGTCGGGGTAGTACCAGATTCAGCAACAACCATGAGCGACATATCCGTATTCTCCAACATAAGGCCACCCAAAGGAACAATCGATCTCTTCTCCGGCGCGGCGGACGTGGCGGCGGTTCAAATTCCGGCGACCCAATTGAGTCCAATGGACAGAGAAGCCCGAGTGTTACGGTACAGAGAGAAGAAGAAGACAAGGAAGTTTGAGAAGACCATTAGATACGCCTCTAGAAAGGCCTACGCTGAGACCCGGCCGAGAATCAAGGGCCGGTTCGCGAAACGAACCGATGTGGAGGTTAAACTCGATCGGAAATTCTCCAGCCCGTTAATGGCGAATGTTGGATATGGGATTGTGCCTTCCTTTTGAAGGTGAAGAAGAGGAAGATGGATGAAAAAGCAGTTAAGTACTGATTATAGGTGATTTTAACTGTTTAATTATAGAATATTTGGTCTTAATTGTATATAAATTTTGTATTTTCTGTAACTAAAACTTGCTTATGTCTAAGTTTAATTATTAATTTTGTGTAATTTTTAATTTTATTTATGTACCCGTTCTATAGTTTAATAAATAAATATAAATTTTGTTCGATTTATTCACGTATCTTTCTGTAACGGCCCGAATCCACCGGTAGTAGATATTGTCTTCTTTGGACTTTCCCTTCCGAGTTTTCCCTCAATGCTTTAAAACGCGTTTGTTAGGGGAATGTTTCCACACCCTTATAAATGGTTGTTTGTTCTCCTCCCCAACCAATGTGGGACATCACAATCTGCCCCCTTCAGGGCCAGCGTCTTCGCTGACACTCTTTCCTCCCAGCGTCCTTACGACACACCGCCTCATGTCTACCCCCCTTTAGGGAACAGTGAGAAGACTGACACATCATCCGGTGTCTGGTTCTAATACTACTTGTAACGGCCCAGATCCACCGCTAGCAGATATTGTCCTTTTTGGACTTTCATTTTCGGGCTTTCCCTCAAGACTTTAAAACGCGTCCGTTAGAGAAAGGTTTCACATCGTGGTTTGTTCTCCTCCTCAATCAACAAGGGACATCACAATTATATATATATATATATATATATATATATATATATATATATATATATATATATTTTAACATATCTACAAAATTTATTTTATTAAAAAAAAAAATTAATAAATAAAGAAAATTAATGAAAAAAATAAAATAGTGGAAGCTTTATATATAATGCCATTAGAAATAGAATACTGACTGTATTACACTACTTTGTTAATATTGATATATCTAATGGACTCGACTTTTTTTTTTTTCTTTTACACCCATCTGAATCTCGACTCCGACGTCGATCTCGATAATATATCTTTATAATGATATGATGTTTACTTTAAATATAAATGTTCGTGATTTCATTTTTTGAAATTACCTAAAAGATCTTATATCAATAAAAAATTATCTATAATTTATATATAACGATTTTTTTTCTAATCAATATATAACTTTATTTTAAACTTTTTAAGGTGAACTAAGTTCGATTTTTATTAGGGTAAGATTTTATAAATGAAGTTTTTTTATTAAAAAAAATAAAAGAAATCAATTATCCCTTATTTTATTTAAAATGGAAAGCAAATTTAAAAGTACAATTATTATGTCCTATATGACTTTTAATATTGAAATCTCATTTATTCCCATAGCAAAAGATATCTATTTTTAAAAGAAAAATAAAAAAAGTTGAAGCATTTTCTTTTGGTGATTTGTCCACATTCTCCCTAACTTGTAATGATTGTCTCAAAGACAATTTTCAAAGCTCCCCAAAACACCCTTCATAAATTTCCTACCTTTCTCAATTTCAAGGTTAAAAATGTAATAAACTAAAATACAATTTACCTTGTAAAAAAAGGAGCCATAATAAATATTCCAAATTTTCAATTTACACGGAATTAATCATTTGAAATAAGATAATATTGAGTTCTAAAAAAAAAAAAAAAAAAGTTTAATACAAATATTAAATAAAATTAAAAAAATTCGAGAACTATCGATAAATAACCTTGAAATAATTAAAAGTATGTTACGGGTTCATTGGATGGATTTAAAATTTGAGGAACGTTAACCAAATTCATTAAATTTACCATCAAAATTTGCTAAAAATGATGAAGAAATCAGTTAGATCACATGAAAAAACCCCAAAACAAAAACTATACAAAGAAAAAAAAGAAGAAAAAGGAGAATTTTTACAGTGAAAGAGTTGTTTGTTTGGCGAAGAAGGTAGGGTTATCATCTCCGGCCATAATAACGAGAATGGTCGGCTCCGAGTCCCGGGCACCGTTGGGCGGTTTTTCTTGTTCGTCGGTGGCAGGAGAGGCGGCGGCGGCGGCGGAGTGAGAATCGGAAGGGGAATGCAAGTAGGAGCAAGAGAGGACTAGCAATGCAATGGCAATGAGACCCAAAACGATGGCTAAGCCTGTGAAAAGATATGGGATGGGAGAGTGCCAGTTTCCAAATCCGGTGTCGATGGCGGCGGCGCCGGTGGAGTTTCTTGGAGTTGGAGTTGGAGTTGAAGCTGCAGGTCTCATTTGTTTTTTGTTTTGTGATTTTGGATATATGGTTTTCTAAACAATTTGGAATTTGGTTGGCAACTTAAATATTGTGTTGTTGGTGGATTTTACCCTTTCACCCTTTCCTGCCCAAATGATTAAATGTGTTGTTATTCGAGAACATTATTATATATAGCTCAAACCCACCACTAGTATATATATCTTCGTCTTTGGACTTTTCAGTAAAGTTTTCTAAAACGTGTTTGTTAGGGAGAGATTTTCACCAACATTATAAAGAATGTGGTGAACGATCTCACAATCCATCCCCTTCGAGACCCAACATCTTAGCTAACACTTACTTCTCTCTCTAATTGATGTGTGATCTCACAATTTGAATTGTGATATCCAAGGATTGAGTGCAAGCAAGAACACTTGACTTCAAAGGGGTGGATTGTGAGATCCAACACTATAAGAGTGTGGAAAACATCTCCTTAGCAGACACGTTTTAAAAATCTTGAGGGGGAAGCTCAAAAGGAAAAGGCTAAAGAGGATAATATTTGCTAGCGGTTGGGCCGTTACAATAACGTAACTCGAATTATTCGAGTCATCAAAATTTTTTAGCACTCGGTTCACTTTATTTTAGTAGTTGAAGCGTGAAGGGTAGTTTGGGAATTAATATTTAAATACAAAAAAAAAATCATGAATTGTTGATGAAGCTACAGAAAAGAAGGGAAAAAAAGGAAAGAGCCACGCCCATTGCTCTAGGTTTATCTTTACTTTATTAAATGATGGCCCACTTAAAATTTATTTATTTAATTCATTAATTAATTAGAAATAATCATCCAAATTTAAATTTATTTTCCTTATTTAATGAAGATTAAACGCAACAAGCAAACTCCCCTTTCCCCTTTAATCGAGGGTTTTTATTCAAAAAAGTCCAAAAAAAAAAAAAAAAGGAAAAAAGATTCTTTTTTTCTTTTGAGAAAAATAATTTAAAAAATAAAAATTAAATCTTTCACGTGAATTTCTCTTTTACTTTAATAATATATTTTAATAACATGCATAAAGCTACAATAATTTAGAAATAAAGTGAAACATATTTATTTATTTTTTAAATATTAATTTTTAAAATAAAAAAGTGAATATTTTTTGTAATTTTTTTTGTTATATATAATTATGAAACCATAGGATTAGAATGATTTGGAGTTTAGTTAATGGAGAATATGGTAGTAAAAAGAAATTATTTATTTATATTAAAGTTGGGGTAAAGTGGGAAATGTGTCAGCTTGCATAAATAAATTTTTAAAAAAGGTGATGAATAATTAATGGGATAAGAAAATTATTATTATTATAATAATAATAATAATATATTTTATTTTATTTGATGATAGGATATTATCCAAAAGGGCCATTGCCATTTGGAATTTGCTAGAGGAATGGTTTTGGTACAATTTTGCAAATTTATATATTTTTTTTGGAAAATAACTTGTCAACTAAAAGTTCAACATCATCATCATCTTATTTTGGAAAAAATTCGATAATTTTGATTTGATTATACGAGACGGTTCTTCTCGAACTAGCTAAACAACTAACTCGTCTTTAACCTTCGATTTCTAGCTCTTGCAGCGTTGGAGAAGCTCTCAACAAAATGCGTTTGCACGTTTCGTCTATCGAAGCTAAATAATGGTCTAATCGAATAAATTAGATCATATTATAATCGGGATCAGATCAAATAAGCTCAACTAGTAGGTTGGACCAAAAATCTATCAAAGTCCAAACTCACGAGATATATCAACAACTTGTGGTAAAACCACTTCTCGACAGCCATGTTGTAGTTGATTTGTTTCTCATTAGCTCTGAATTTTGATTCTTGTCCCTATAATTTGGTTAAATTTCACGAAACATAAAATGACTAGTTAATTGTGGAATATGGTAACCTACGTGGGTTACAATATAAACTTAACTCCTATATTAAAAACTACCTTAAATATGACAAACAAATATTTAGATTGTAATTAAATAGTGCAATTAATGAAATCAGCTTATTAGTCATTCTTAGACTAGTTCTATAAATTTAGCTGCATTTAATGCATCTCTTTCCTGAATCTCAACTTTGCACAACATATAAGGGAAGTCTCAAACGTCTTCTAGAATTTTCATTGACGAGCTCACCATAACTTGAATATAAGTGTACAAGGTTTGTTGTAGCTTCTTGGCTCTCGTCCTTATAATTGGACCTTGAGGTATGAAAATTCCTGGGTCGTAGTTCATATAAGTACTTCCAAAAAATATATGGATTTATGTGGGTAACTTTGATAGAAAATATAATATGGATTTAGATATTGAGAATATTTGCTAAAACTCTTAATTCAAATGAGTGAAAATTCTCTATTTATAATCATTTATAGAATCAAATAGAACACAAATGGAATAGAAAGAACAATAAATATATACACGATGATATTAGTCTATGATCAAGAGTGAAATATGATATATATGATAAACCATAATGGAAGACTAAATATTCTCGATAATGACATACTTCGTGGCTCGATCACGAACTTATATGGGATATTTACAGCCATTGGCATTGGCATTAGTGGGAAGAAATAATAAATAGTAATGGGTTATGTTTGATTGTTTTAATAATGTGGTAAAGTAGTCAAAATCAAAGTGCATTTCCACATCATTTTCCCTCTACATAGCTTTCAATAATGATGCTAAATCCAAGTTGATATCTTTTCTTTTGCTCCTTGCTAGCCCTTTCTAGTTTCATAAACTTAAATCATATCATTTCCACATTGATCCCAATATCTTATTAGCCCATCGATTACAACATCTTCTTGTTTTAGCTCATTGATCTATCAAACGGTTTTGATAGGAGGGTATCATGTTTTACGTGTTGTAATGATTTTGTTTGGTTGTAAATTTGGTTTATATCGACATCTAAAATGGTCAACTTTGGCCGTTGTTGATATTTGGTTTAACATTTTTGTTGACATTTTTTAAAAGTTGAAGGACTTGGTAGACACCAAAAATCTCGAAAACTAATATTATAATTTAACCAAAATTAAAAAAAAAAAAAGTGAGGTTAAAAAAAGAATTATTAGATTTTCAATGATGATAGTTTGTTGGTCAATTGAGTAAATGGAATTTGAAAAAAACATAACATGATATAGTGAAGTACAAGGAAGAAAGCATTATTTTGTCGGTAGGTTTTATGGATAATTTTTTCTTTGCACTAAAGGAAATGAGGGGTTGACAAATCTACTACACACATTTTTATTTTAATTATTTTTTAAAAATAAAAAAAAAATCGCACCCGTCATTGGGTTGACATTTTTTTGATTGGAAACTCGAAAAATAGGGTTACAATTCGACCCTACCATACCCCCTACTGTTAGATGAACACGACTCTCCACAATGGTATGATATTGTCCACATGACTTTGCTTTGGGCTTCCCAAAAGACCTCAATATTGTCCACTTTGAGCATAAGTGCTCATGACTTTGAGCATCCAAGGCTCGACTCCTTTGGAGTCTTAGTCATTTTTGACTGCCTTCGTACCTTCGAGGAGGCTTCACTCCTTTTGGAGTCCTTTGTTCGACATTTAAGGATTGGCTTTAAGGCATGGCTCTAATGCCATGTTAGACGAACACGACTCTCCACAATGGTATGATATTATCCACTTTGAGCATAAACTCTCATGGCTTTGCTTTGGGCTTCCCAAAAGGCCTCATACCAATGGAGAGTGTATTCTTAGATTATAAACCCATGACCATTCCCTAAATTAACCGATGTGGGACTTTCATCATCCAACACCTACTTTTAAAATTATTATAAAAATTAAGAATATTTGACGGTTGTAACCAATTCCAATGATACTTTGTGATTAGTGAATATTTAAATTTTGAGACTTACGATGATGTATGGTGAGTAAAAAAGAATTTTTAATAATTAAAAAAAAAAAAAACAATCCAATCCAACCCAACCCAAAAATAGAAGGTGGAGTTGTAAACTCTGTTCATATTATTCGGGTCACCAACCTAACGAACCTAAAATTTTGGGTTAGTTCAAAAGATCTTCCAGTCTAACTCAACTCAACTCGTGTACACCCGTAAGTTCAATAACTAAGATAGTACTTCCAATCTGTTATATCTATCATCGAAATTATTTGTATTATAGCATTATCATGGTATGTTTAAATACTTTGTTATGCTCATATTTAAGTCATTAAGTTAAGAAATATTTGAGAAAGCATAGGAGAAAGAGCTTTTATGTCGTAAAACATGTACCATTGAATTGGACCTTACTATTAAAGTGATATTAAATTGCATATGACAAAAGATGAATGACTATGTTCAATGTACCTATTCAACTCAAATATAACCAAATTAAGTTACACTATCCACAAAAATACATGCTACGTATTTGCATATTACAAAGTTGGTTAAGGATATAAATAATAATACGTTACCCCTTAAATTATATATATAGGACTTGTTAGAATTACACTCTTAAATTTTCAATTTTACTAGTAAATATCGATCAAATAAATTAACCTAATGTTCTGATTTTCAAAATTATTTCACCCCACTAAAAGAAGTACAGAATATTATTAGATTACAGCTTAAGTCCACCCTTAGTCATCTGCTACGGAGAGATTTTTATACCCATATAAGAAATGTATATGGGATCTCACAATCCACCTTCTTGAAATCCCAACATCTACAATTATAAATATTGTCCACTTTAATTTGTTATATATCTTCTACTAATATAATATTCTAAATAACATACTGTCTATTTTCTATTTTTATAATCATTGTAACTCTTTTTGCATTTCCAAGCCGCCGCATCCACATCTACTACTTCCACTACCAATATTTTAATTTTTTTTTTATTTTTTTACTCTTGTAATTATTAAATGATGAAAAAAAATTAAAATATAATTTCAATCCAAACCCATTTAAGATGGTTAAATGGGTTTTAGAGTGCGATATTAAAATTTGAATTTTTAAAAATTATTTTAAATTTAAATAAAATTTAGGGACTGAAACAGAGAGAAGACTCCAGGGTGTTCATGGATGGAAAATCATAGATAAATTGATGAAATAATTGTTTAAAATTAAGATGAAAAGCAGAGGAACACAAGAAAGATGAAGGATGAAACTAATAATTTGAGGTGTTCGTACTTTCACTGAAACGTCGTCGGATTCAACAACACTCATTTAATTGATTTACATATTCGGGACAAAATTCCAAGACAAAAACAAAGTCATAGTTAATTAAGCATGTAATTAATGGAAATTCCAAGCAGCTGAGTGATTCTGTTTGTCATCTTGTTGGCTTGCCGAGCAACTGCACCGCCGTGGGACGTCGCCGACACCGGCGGCTACAGGCGTAGCCAAGAACATGGGTGTGTAGTCTCCGGCCATGACCACCAAAATCTTTGGCTCCATTACGAGCTCCATGGTGGAGGACCCGGCGACTGGCGGGTCCTTCTGGCTGCCGGGTGAAGAGTGGCCGGTGAAGAAGCGTTTACGAAAGGAGCATGCGAGGATGATGAGAGCTACGGCGATGAGAAGCATGGTGAGAAATAGGCCGCCGAAGAGGTAGGGAATTGGGGAGTTCCATAGGTGGAGCTTGGCGGCGGCGGGTGGTCGTGCAGCTTCGGTGGCTAGGCGCCTCATTTGGTTCTTTCTGGGGGTGTGAGAAAATTGGCCTAATGGGATGTGGAATTTATAAGTGATTTTTGTAAAGGGCTTTTTTGTGATTTTCAAGGTTATGTGAGTTTACCAAAAGGCCCTCATTGAGTGGGAAGGTGGATTCTTTTTGTTCTGCTACTAATGCCCTCCTCGGGTATTTCTTTTTTTCATTAATTTTTTTTATATTAAATTATAGGTTTTAATACCCACAATCAACTTTACCCTATGGCCATCAGCCTCATGGTCTTTTTACTCTACAACGGATGTGGATCTAACAATCTAAAAATCTACCTTTTGGGAGCCATCGTTCATTGACACATCGCCCAACCTCATGGTCTTTTTCCTTCCAACGGATGTGTTGGATCTAACCATCCACCCTCATTGGAAGCCAACGTCCTCGTTGGCACACTGCTCAGCCTCATGATCTTTCCCCTCTCCAACTAATGTGTAATTTAACAATCCACCCCTTGGAGCTAGCATCCTCGTTGGCAGATCGCTCGATGTATGGCTCTGATACCATTGGTAATAGCCCAAGTCCACCGCCAGTACAAACTGTCCGCTTTGGCTTGTGACATACGACCATCAACCTCATTGTGTCAAAATGCATCTACTAGAGAGATATTTTCAGATCCTTTTAAGGAATGTTTCCTTTCTCTTTATAGCGGAGGTGAAATCTAATACTTTTAGACCCAACTAGATTTTGTTTAATTAACCCAAGTTTGGTATCATCCAATTTTACTACAAACCAACCTCACAAAAGTTAAAAGGATTTTATAATAAAACCACAAAGCATTCGTTCATTAATTCGTTCCTTCGTTCATTCGTTTAGCAATCTTGATCCAATCAGTATGAAACGATCCCTGCATGTCAATCCTTTCACAAGTGTGAGCACCAAAGTAGTGAAGTTGAGCTTGAACCAAGCTCGTAGCCACTCTCTCCCTTCGATAGCTATCGAAATAAGCAAGGCTAGCAGACATCCCCGGCGTGCTAACGCCACAGTTAATCGCTAAGCAAACCACTCGCCGCAAAGCAGATTGTCGCTGCATCATCTCCTTAGCAAACTCCGGATCCACCAACAGGTTCACAAGATCTGGGTTTCTATCATACGCCTTCCTCACTCTCTCCAAGAACACGCTTTGAACAACGCACCCAGCTTTCCAAATCCGCGCAATCTCCCCTGGCTTCAAGCCCCACCCTTTCTCGACACTCTTAGCCGGAATCAAGTTCATCCCCTGAGCGTAGTTACAGATTTTCGATGCATAAGAAGCTTGTTTGACATCGTTGATCAGCTTCTCCTTGTTTACCTCTTCCCCCAATTCAGCTGATTGGTAAACTTTTGCAGCTTCCACCCTTTCCCCTTTCAACCCACATAGATATCTTGCATCAAGAGAAGCAGCAATGGTCGGCGCTGAAACAGAGAGCTCTGCCGCTTGCTGCACAATACACCTCCCGTTGTCCTTCAAGCTTGTCTTGTCCAAAACCTTGTCCACCAAATACCCTTTTCCCTTCTCATCCTTAACCCCAAAAATATGCGCAGTGATTTCAATTAAATAGCTTCGAAGCTCCCCTCTGTTCCATTCAGAGAAAACTTCATGAATTTCCTCATTCGACAACTTTCCAGCTGATTTCAGTACATCGGACGCCTCAGTAATCAGCTGCATATCACCATACTCAACCGCGTTATGAATCATCTTAACGAAATGCCCCGACCCTCCTTCCCCGACATATGTCACGCAGGGGCCACCATCAGAAACTTGAGCTGCTACCTTAAGAAGAATGTCCTCGATGTTCTTGTAAGCATGGAATTAGCCTACATGCATCAATCACGTGATGCAATATCTGCCCTTTAAAAGTGTGAATAGATGTAAAAATGTTATAACTCAACTAAAGAATATAGATCTAAGAATAAAAAATAGAATTGAGACGAAAGGTTCTTAATCTTCATTCATATTCACAACCTTTCACAAATTTTCAATATGATACAAGATACTAAATAATTTATACATAGAAAATATAAACTAATTAAATCTTGATAATAAAATAAAATATATTGATACAAAATATTTAAAATATATTTTCTACCTAATATATTCTTCAAAATATTAAATGATTATGAAGATCATCTATTCCATAACTAATTCAAACTAATAAGTTGCACTAAATTTTGACGGTATTCTTTAGTGCAAGCTTATTTCCACAATTTATCTCGTTGAGAAATAATATCAAACCGTACCAACTTGGCTCTGATACCAACTGAGCAATATCTACCACTCAAAAGTGTGAATAGATATGAAAATATTATTACTCAATACAGATCTAAGAATAAGAAATAGAATTGGAATCAAAGGTTCTTAATCTTCATTCATATTCACCACCTTTAAATAAGATATAAGATATTAAATAATATTTACAAATAAAATATAAACTAACTAAATCTCGATAATAAAATAAAATATACTACTATTCAAATTTAACTGATTATAAATATTTAAAATATATTTCCTGACTAATATATTATTCAAGAAATTAAATGATTACGAATATCATATATTCCTTCCCTAATTTAAACTTGAAATAAATTAGCACTAAATTTCAACACGAGGGGCCATTTGGGGCACCCTCTTCGCCAACTGACACGCTGATTCCGAGGTAAAGAAGACCCAAGTCAGCCATGGCCTTTTGCCTTCTCTCGGTGGTCTCATACCACTCATTGCCGCCATCTATTATGCAATCCCCTGTTTCCATGAAGGGAGAGAGGGTGTTTATGGTGTCATCAACGGGTGCCCCTGCCTTCACAAGGATCAACACAACGCGGGGCTTTTGAATGGAATTGATAAAGGATTTGGGATCGTGGAAGCCGTAGACGGGGGGGTTTCCTTCCGCTTTGGCTCGTTGAACGGTGTCATCGACCTTGGAAGCGGTTCGATTGTATGCGGAAACAGGGAAGCCTTTTTCTGCTATATTGAGAGCCAATGTTTTTGCCCATGACGGACAGACCAGCAACGCCTATTCGTGTAGAAGTAGCCGCCATTTTCTTGCCTGTGTCGTGTTTTATTTTCAATGAAAGATACAAATTTAAGAATAAAAAATAGAATTGAGATAAAATGTTTCATCTCCATATTACCCATATTTAAGATATATTCCTTAATTAATATATTTTTCAAATATTAAATGATTACTAATATCATATATTCTATAACTAATTCAAATCTAAATAAGATACATTAAATTCTTACAAATAACTATGTGGAGACGAAGAACCGTAAAATTTAAAGTTAAAAGAGTGCTTAAAGTTCGGATTTAACATCTATCATTTTATCTCTGATTTATTATTTATTATTTATTATTTTGATTTCATAATGTTAAGTTAAATTATAAAAAATAATTCTACAATTCTAAATTATCGATTTTCTTAAATTTTAAAGCTTAGAGAATTAAATTAAATTATATTTAGTTAATATTATTTCAATAGCTTGAATTAATAAAAATAAAATAATTCCCAACCATTAATTATGTAAAATTAAGTTTAATTGGTTAAAAGTATTTACAAAATAAAACATTAAATATTATTTATATAAAACTATGATAGTTCTTATTTTTTACGCATTCTATTTTCGTACATTTTATTCTTAACCATCTTAAATAAACATTCTAATCAAAAGATGTTGGAATATTATGAGTTGGCGGGCCATTTTGGTAATTTAAGTCATATCTCACGAAAAACCGTTGACGTGGTAAAATTAAAACCATTGATCAACGTGACCTTTTAAACTTTTTGATCCGTGATTAAGTTGGATTGAAGATGAAAGTTAATAAAATGAGTTTTTTTTTTTTTTGGAAAAGTAATTATCTATTCAGAAAGAGTATTGATTCACAAGAATAATAAAAAAATATTTTTCTCGTTCTAATAATTATAGCGTAGAACTTTTAATCGATTTTGTGGATGGGTGACTATCACTAAACTATACTTAAATTAACCGGTTTTAAGGTAGAAATAAAAATATGAGAATTTCAATTCATAAAGGTATAATTAGAAATATTTACGGTTAAGTTTCATTTGTCACGTGTAAATATAAATAAAGTGGGAGAATAACTTTTATTTTGTTCGCTTATTTTTTAAATTATTCTTCAAATTTCTAATAAAATGGGATAAGTCTATCATCATCTAATTTATATCATTATTTTAGGACTATACGTTTAATGGTTGAACGAGAAAAGGAGATAGACGATGATATTATGTAATTTGTACCATATTTTACCTTTGTTATGGGTGATTTTAGACGTTGAGATCATACTTAAATGTATAACGAACCATTGGAGGCCAAACAAATATTCATACATAATCACCCATAGACTTGAAAGCACTGGAAAGCACCAGAAGGGACTACACCATAGAACCTCCCATGAGACTTCCTCTTTAGAGCCCTCGAACAACTTTCCCTTAATCAAGACTTGATTCCTTCTTTGGAGCTCTCGAACAAAGTACACCTTTTGTTCCACACTTGAGTCACTTTGAGTACACTTTCGAGGATCACAACCTTTTTGTTTGACACTCGAGAATTCTATTGACATGACTAAGTTAAGATAAGAGCATAACTCTGATACTATGTTAGAAACCACAACCTCTATAATGATATCATGATATTGTCTACTTTCCGCATGAGCTCTCGATGGGCGACCGATCATCTACAAGCTCATCTATAACCCAAAATTGCACATCTGTACGAACTCCATTTCAGTGTCCACATATTTAGTCCAAAAACCTTTATACTGGTTCATGGCAATGTCCAGCCACGGTTTCATGTTACCATTGTAATGGATGACTGCAGCTTTGTTGATAGCATCCATGCTTATACTAGGATTGTAACCAAGGCCAAGCACATGCCAAGATCTGTCCAGTGGGTTTGTTTTTGAGTAGAAGGTGATTAGACCAGGTGGAAGAGGTCCCCCGCTCCATAACGACCCGTCCTCGTTCTAATATCAAAAGTTCACGGGAAAATCTATTAAGTTCTCCAACTAAATCAAAAGGTAAAAGATAATATTATTGTCAGACATACGATAATTGTAACAATCCAAGTCCACTGCTAGCAGATACTGTCCGCTTTGATCTATTACGTATTGCTGTCAGCGTCACAATTTTAAAACCCACCTATTAAGGAGAGGTTTCCACACCCTTGTAAGGAATGCTTTGTTCCCCTACCTCCTTTGGGGGGCTAGCATCCTCGCTAGCACACCGCTCAATGTCTGACTCTAATACCATTTGTTACAGTCCAAGCCCACTGCTAGCTTGTCCGCTTTGATCCGTTACATATCGTTGTCAGCCTTACAATTTTAAAACGCGTCTATTAGGAAGAAGTTTCCACACCCTTATAAGTAGTGTTTCGTTTCCATCTCCAATGTATGTGGGATCTCACAATCCACCCCCCTTGGGGACTAGCATCCTTGCTGGCACACCACCCGATGTCTGCCTTTGATACCATTCGCAACAGTCCAATCTCACCGCTAGCAGATATTGTCCTCTTTGGCTCGGTACAAATCGCCATTAGCCTCATAGTTATAAAACGCGTCTACTAAGGAGAATTTCCATACCCTTATAAGGAATTCTTTGTTCCCCTCTCCAACTGATGTGGAATCTCACAATTCACCCCTTAGGGGTCCAACGTCCTCGCTGGCACACCGCCCGATGTTTGACTCTAATTCTATTTGCAACCGACCAAACCCATCCCTAGCAGATATTGTCCTCGTTGTGACCAAACCCATCCCTAGCAGATATTGTCCTCGTTGTGACCAAACTCATCCCTAGCAGATATTGTCCTCGTTGGGTTTTCTCTTTTGAGTTTTCCCTCAAGGTTTTAAAACGCGTTTGTTAAGGAGAAGTTTCCACACCCTTATTATAAATGCTTTATTCCCCTCCTCAATTGATGTGGGATCTCGCAATCCACCCCCTTAAGGTCCAGCGTCTTCACTGGCACACCACCCGGTGTCTAGCTCTAATACCATTGGTAGCAGTCCAATCCCACCTCTAGCAGATATTGTCCACTTTGGCCCATTACGTATTGTCGTTAGCCTCACGGTTCTCAAACACGTCTACTAAGGTGAGGTTTCCACAATCTTATAAAGAATGTTTCGTTCCCCTCTCCAACCGATGTGGGATCTCAACGATAAACGAGCAATGGAATCTCATGGTTTAAAATGGCAGCTAAAATTTTTTGTTCTAGAACAGATACTAACCAAGTTCTGCCAATAATTATACTCTTCCGTGCATTTCTCACTTCTCCAAGCATCAAGATCAAGAACATTCATCCCAAAAGACCAAGCACATGCCTTGGGATTCAACTTCTCCTTAATTAAAGGGTGTGAGAAGTTCAAATAATGACCCAACCGATGAAAGGAACCAAAGCAAATCTCAACAGCACCATTCACCCTCCCCTCCAAATCAATCTTCCACAATCCTGTTATGTCTTTTTGAACAACCACATCATCTTCCAAGAACACAATTTTCTTCAACTTAGGAAACATGTCGGGCAAATAAAACCGAACATGATTCAGCACAAACGTATCCTTCGGCTTGTCTCCTCGATTTTCGGAGGAAGGCAAGTCCTGTTGCTTTAACAATGGCACATATGATGAGTTCAAGAACCTAAAATCTCCCACAGCCTTTATTTCAATATGAGCTCCTCTTTCCATAGGCCTCATCTTAAACCAAACCGGTGTCTTTTAACTTCTGGATTTTCAACTGATTATCATAATTCTCCTTTGACTCCACAATCATCATCCTTGCAGTCTTCACCTTATCCTTAACCTCCTTCTCAAATTGTCTCAACACATCTTCATCCAACGGACTGGTCGAATCGAACAAAGCCCCACGGTAACTCGGGTTCGTCTGAATATCTGATAAATTTTGAGCTAAATCATCAAACATTTTCAATTTCTTAGACATTTCGAGCTTGAGCTTCCTTGCATATGCAGCATAGGCATTAACAAGGGTGATGTGATCACTTGCTTGCTTATATATCAAATCTAATCGAATTTTCAATGGATTAGAACTCAGAAATGTTCGTCGTATTCCAGTAGTAGGAAGGGCCTGCTAAGAAAATTAGTTCGATCGAGATATTACGAATTGGGTCACATAAGCAATCAAATTTATGAAATGGGTTTGCACTAAATCCAGTTCAACACATTCCCAAGTTGATTTCCACTCGATTAAAGCAGACAAACAAGCAAATTAGACAAGAAAAATAAAAGGGGTGGATGGAATTACAGAATCGTGGTGTGGCGTGGAGGGATTCGTGGTGAAGATGACTGAAACTGTGGCAATGAAAAGAAGCGAAAACAGAGCGGAAATGAAGATCCGGTGAGAGAAGAAGCTCCGGAGGTTGAACCCGCCGGAATTTGACGCTCCTCGGCCTCCCCGGATGGGAACTGCCATTGTTGTAGCAGCTCAAGTGCTTGAATCTGTTAGTGAACGAAGCATAAACAGAAAAAGGAAAACGAGATCTGAAATTGTTGTTTCCCCCAGAGAATTGGAAGTAGCCGGTCGTGTTTGGGCCTGTTTTGTTTCTTTTATTACTCATTTTACTCATGTTTGGGCCTCTCACTACCGCATGAGCTAAGATTGAAAGCTAATACGAAGTGGGTTTAAGCCTGATGCGTCCGACAGCTTCTCTGCAAGGAACCACTTGGAGGAGATGTCGTTTAAGGATTATGAAGCATCTGACGAAGTTCAGATGTTTCCTTCTTAAGCTGAGCATTGTCGTGTAGAGCTCGATCATGACATTCATTGGCTTGGTTCAACTTATATATTAGGTGGTGGTTTTGATTCCGGAGCCAAAGGGCCTGAGACCACAGCTCATCCAAGTGCTTTTGCTTGCGCATTCGTGAACGGCGTGCAGATTCTCTGTTAGATATCATCCTTCTCTGTTTCCTGTCATTGATTTGGCTTAGTTGCTGGTCTTCTGCCTCATCGGACGTTGAGTTAGTGCTTAAGGACAGTGGATTCATACAAAACTGATTGAGATGCATCATGTTTGTGGTTATGGTGTTGTGGGATATGTTGAATTGTGAAGAATATAGGGAAGGGGTGGATGAAAGAAGGTAATGGTGACTTGAAATTTCACTAGGCTGCATGGCCGAGGTTTTTTTGAAACCTTGCTGGCAGGCAGGCAGGCTCTTGGAAGTTCAAGAGGAACTTGGGGAGGTTGCTAACAGAGGGTTCATATATATAGGATTGCATAGAGAGAGAGCTAAAACAAGCAAAATTAGGCCATTGTGGCCAAAAACTGAGGCTGGTGGGTGCATCAAAGTCACATTATGGCAACCCCATCAGAGGAAAGGGGACAAAAATGGAGCTCTTAACCACTCAACTGAGTGGGGGAGGAGATATGTTGTTTTAGAGGTGAGAATGGCTTATAAGTTAGAGCATAAAAATATCTTAGCTCCATCCCATCCAACCCATAAACAATTTTAAGCCGCTGGAGAAATGAGTCAGGTTGATCAAATATAAAAGAAATGTTCACCTGCAAACATACCAAAATTGTCAAGTTCGGTATGGTTTTGGTTGGATAGTCTAAAAGATATTAATACAAAGTGCACATTTTTTTTACTCAATTATAGAAACATTAAATTTAAGTATGATTGAATGATCCCTTAGAAATTTTGCAAAATTTTCGGATATTTCATTCAAATATTAGTCTAATTTCAAAACATATCTATATTTCGATATCAATATGAAGAGTGAATCAATATTTTATTACATCCTAAAAAAATGACAAAACATAACTGAAAAGTGTTCACAAGTTGAGATAAGACTCAGGAGACAGCAAGTATAGTTTACGGAGCAAGCGTAGAATTTGAGAACCAAAGGAAATAGCTAATTAGATCAACAACAGAGGAATCGATTTTTGTCTGTAAGTTACAAACATAACTACATTCAGTCGAGAGTAATCAAAGACTATTGTTAAAATTTTCATCGGAACATCAACATTAAAATTTTAGTTCGAATGCACTTATTTCGTTTTTTAAATTAAAAAAACAAAACAAGTATGATCATAATCATGGTGATGTATAATGGTTGTGATTTATATGCACCCTTTTGCATCGACATTCCTTTGCCACTTGTTCTTTGTCCTACTCTTGTTCTTATCTTCTTATATTTTGCCTACCAACATCTCTCTCTTTCAACTGTTTTATGCCCCTCTTTCATTTGCTTCATCATTAATGGAAGAACCAACAACAATTAGTGCATAAGGAGCTATGTAGATCAGCTCAAATCTTTCATATTGATTCCCAAGATTTTAACATTCGAAGTTACAAGATTTTGTATGTGATTGCTCAAATAGAGGTGGTGTTAGAGCTTCGTTTTCCACTACATGTTCTGAAGTAGATCATCTTGGTCTTCATCTTGACATTGAACGAACGAACGAACATCGAACTCGATATACAAATGTCCGATGTTCGAGAAACTTTCTACTAGATATACAGTTTTTGCATACCATTCATTGAACCTGCACAGACATCTACACCCCATCAATTGATTGCCTAAAACTAATAAACTTTTCTCCTAAGAACAAACAATTCACTCCATAGCACGAAAGAAGACCGAAAGAATGCTCGGTAGTGGACGAATAACATCGACACTCGATGTAATGGATTCAAAACAGCGGTTAGAAGTAAAAGAACTGTTATTATATTGAGTACTGAACAGTCTTTTTTCCACTTTCCAGAGAGGAGAAGCGGTGAAAGAAGAAAGAAAAACAAATGAGAGAGATCAAAACTAGCATAGCAATCAAGTTACAGCAACTGCTTCCTTTTCCTCCATTCATCAATCCATGTAAGTATCATATGGTTAGCCTAGCAGCACACTACTTCCTCATTTTCAGTCAGTTCTCATCTCATCTTTATATTGAAGGTCGACGAAACTCGAAGGCCGTTTCAACCAAGGACGTTACGAAGTTCTATACAGCCACCAAAATTTGGCCAATCTCCCTGTTAATAAGTTCTTTAGTGCTTCAGGATACAGATTGAAATGACCCTATTCTTAACCAATGAGGCTGTTTTTAGTTCAGTAAAGTTTCTAATCTTGAAGTGTAGACAAGAAAACTGCAGCAATTATGATTAAAAGGGGCAGTACTAGAAATATATGCTTTGAGCTCAAAACACCTACATCAATTCTTCTTGTGGTCTCCATGTCAGATCCAGTGGCAGCAGAAATTCCCGTATCAGAGACATCACCCTGAGATTTTCAAAAGATTTGGAAGTCTATTATGATAAGCAGAAATGAACAAGATGGTCTCCACATCCAATAAGTCAGAAATTAATAATAAACCATCGAATACTACCTCACGACCAGCAGCAGAGAACATCGTCTCATCTACCTCGATTTCTCTTGCACAGGTAGTAGTCGTAGCGGTAGCAGTAGAAAAATCTTGCTTGGATGCAGTTTCTTTAGTTTCAACGGCGTCACTGTGATCTGTAACGACCGAATCCTGATTTGCTTGCTGCAACTTCATGGTCAACAATTTGTTTTCCATTGCTAAAAAAGAAAGCTGCAAAAAAGACCGGTATAGTATGTTGGAAAACCGGATGGAATTGTCTGGAAGCTCAAAAGAGACCAGTTTATACTAAGACGTAAAGTTAGCACACTGCTATTTTGATCTTCTTCTTCTTTAACCGTCTAAGCCCACCGCTAGCAGATATTGTCCACTTTGTCCTACTACGTATTGCCGTCAGTCTCACGGTTTTAAGATGCATCTGTTAGGAGAGGATTCCACATCCTTATAAAGAATGTTTCGTTCCCCTCTCGTGAGATCTCACAAGATTGTCCTTTCGTGTTTGGACAAGATCAATATAGAAGTGGATCGTCCGTTGCCTCACGAAAACAGTTTTTTTGAAAAATAAAATGAAGTAAAAATTCTAGTCATTAAAACAAAAACAACATTAAGAAGGGCATACTCAAGTACTTAGACGACATCAAAATGAAATCTGAGTTCTACCTGCTTATGAAGACGATCTCTCTCAATAGCCAATTGCATAGCCAGATTTGTTATAACTTTAGTGCGCACATCAATGTCTTTTGCTGAAGCCTTCTTTCTATACTCTGCCTGCTGTAAAGATGTCTCCAAGCAACCAAGTTTACCACGAACAAGCCTCAGTTCCTCATTAAGCTCTGCATAAGATTCAGATAATAGGATGCAGTTTTCCTCGGCGTGATCCGCTCTACTGTCCGCTTTCACAGCCTTCAATTTCAAATCCCTGATCAAATTTTCCATATCGTTTATTGTAGCATAGAGCATGCTTTGCTTCTCATGACTAGCTTCAGCAGAAGCCACAGCCTGCTGAAGTTGCAATTCTGATTCCCTCAACTGTCTTTTAAGTGCTTCAATTTCCTCAGATTCCTTGAGCTGTTTCTCGTGTAGCTTCTCCTTCAACGTGGAAGTCTCAAAATTGGCAACAATCAAATTTTCTTCAGCTTCTCTCAGTTTGGAATTCAAGTCATTAGCTTGAGAATGTAAAGTGCTCTTCAGCTCGGCATTGATGTTCTTGTAATTAAGCAGTTCACAATCTTTAGCTTTCAGTTGTTCCATGAAGCCTTCAAATTTTGATTTCAACTCAGCCTCCCTCTGCATTGAACCATTTACATTTAACTGTAGAAGCTGAAGCCGACCGAGTAATTCTTTCGACATACCTACGAGGACCTCTGATAAATTTTCTGCCTCAAAACCCCTCCCACAAATATCTTCTAATTCTTCCTCCAAAGAATAAACATCTTGTTGTGAAGAATGTAACCTCAGTTGCAGTTCATCATCGATTTGACTTGTTTCAATAAGTTTCTTTTCAAGATCCATCTCTCTAGCCAGCGATTTCTCCAGCATCCTTAGAATGTGTATTTGATGTTCAGCTGTTCGCATGTCTATTACAGGGTTCCTCTCCACCAAATGATTATTGTCTGGTGAGTCTGTGCCCCTACCGTCATTTCCTGTCAATATTCACATGTTAATTGCATAGATTTAGGTAAGCTGAGAATATCCTCAAAATTTTAGGTGCAGTACGGAAATAATTGTTTCTTTTTTCTTTTTGCAGGGGATGGGGGGACATAACAAAAAGTTGTATTAGCATGGTGGTTTAGTTGTGATGATATATTCGAACAGGTTGTAAACTTACCATTATAATAATAACGCAAGTTCTTCTGTAACTTTGCTGACTGAATTCTAATATCAGAGATCAGTTCATGTGATTGTTTTAAGGATTCTTCAGAATCTTGCAACTTTTCTTCCAGGTACATGGAAGTTTCTTTGGAGATTTTACAGAAAGATATCAGTTCGGGAGCATGGAAAATATCAGTTTGGATCCTAGCCAAGAAACCATCCACTTCATCCACCTCTGAATCTAAAAATCCAGCTAGGAGATCAATTTCTGATGCTCTTTCGATAGAATCGTCAAACATATGTTCATTCTCAGACGCCAAAGCTTCAAATTCACTTTCCCTTGTAGCAATATGCATCATGAGAACACTTAAGTTTACTAGCTTTTCTGATGCACGTGCCAAACCCAATTCCAACCTGGTTATTACTTCACTGCCACTTGCTGCATCTCCACTAGCACGTGAATTACTGTCATGTTCATCTGCCCCAAGAACACTAACGTTATCACAAATGACAGATGTGCTTGCTTCAGATGCAGCATCAGTATCCATTTAAGAGTCCTGCGGTCCTGTTGTTCGCGACCTGTATAGCCAACAGTATTAAAAAGAAGACCCAAGAGCGACAAAATTGTGCCTGTGTACGAGTATTGAATGTAAGACCAGCAAAACAACTTGCACAAAAGATTCAAATGTAAAAAGTAATGCCACTCTCTCCAATATTGAATAAAGTGAATAAACCAAATGGAGGACTGAAGTCACTTAAAAGATCAATGTAGTCGAAGGTAGATCATCATTCCCTCACCCATTTGGGTGCATCAACCTTCCAATAAATACCATCCCTAAATTAAACAAGACATGGAGGTGATCCGCTGGAGTTAACCTAAAAAGTGTTTGGTTATCTATTCCAAGAAATTTAAAAGTAAACTAAAAGTAACTAACCATATCCTCAATGATAAAGCAGACCGAGAATGCCAACTAGTACACATCTGTTATATGATGCAGTCACATATATTGATAGTGCAATGCTTACAAACAAGTTTTTTTAGACTGCTTTTTTCTGTCCTCTGGTCAAAATGGAGCAAAAACTTCTGTGTAAGAAATACTCACAACAGAGCAAACTATCAGGGAACCAATAAAGAAATTCAATGAAAATTTTCTCTCTGTCTAACAAGCTACAAGCCTACAACATAATGTTCGAGAAATAATTATGTTTGGCAGCACAGATGACTGTGCGAAGGAGAAATATTATTTTGTATACAATCTATAAGAAAACTGAGATTGAAATTGTTTGGGTGCTGTAACATACTGCCTCCAAATTGAATTCAAATAGTATTCATGGTCTGCATTACGATCATGATTCATAATGTTAACCCCAGGTAAAGAATGGGGTACTATAGGAGAGATAAAAAGGGTAATGGAGTCTTCGAAAGTTTGTTAGAATGTGTGGTGGGTATATGGACATGGAGCTATCTTTTCTTTGGTAGGATTCTTTTGGGTTAGGTACTAGACTACGGGAGACTGTCCATTGTCAACCATACTAAGAAGATAGTAGGTTGTGATCCTACGTGCAGACAAGACAAGGTAGTAACACGAAAGTGGCGCCTAACCGGTCACATGAGAGCCAAAACAAGATAATTGTCATAATGCGATCGAGGAAGACAATGCATCGTCCACACACCATATGAAGTGTGCATTGAAGTCAAGCTAAGACATAAGCAAGACAAAGGAAACCATGTCGACGTCGGAGACAGTCTCAATAAGGGTCGAGTAGGGCCTTGAGCCTTTACCTCGAAAGTTGGGGTTCTAATATGAGTTTTGTCATGCAGCTTTGGAGTTGAGTCCATCTATAGAAATACGAATGCTGGCCAACTTTGGTGTTAATCAGACACCACAAGGCTATATAATCATTTGCCAAAATCATGCATACTCCTACCGGTCCAAATATGCCTCAAAATGTACTATGTCAGCTCTTCTCCACCCCTAAGCCCTTTCGCCTTAGTGAGCTACCATGTGACACATACGTATGTTATAGATGGACGAACATTACAAGACGAGTATCTTGGGCCTCCTCCTTTGAAATAGATATTTCAAGGACAGCGTCGAATGGCACAGTGTGCCCCAACTCATGTATTGAAAGTTGATATATGCACCCGCAATTCAATACAATATCTATAAATGACTTAGCATGAGCATAGGAAGTTTCATGTCTCAATAGAGCCCGGATGAAAGGATGCTTGGGATGTCTCACTAATATGATCGGAGTTTTTTTATTTTCAAAAAAGAATCAACTCATAGGTTGGTTCTCGATAGATATGTCCTAGCAAGCAATAATGGCCGAAGACATTTCAAGACTTGAGAATGACTTCCATACTTACGCACTAATGCATTCCAAATCCCCTCCCTAAACCCTCAACTTACAACTTTCAAATATTTTGTTTCATCCCAAAACAGAGTGCATATTATAGATTATTTTAGTCCTTGCTATCACTTATTTATCAAGAGATTGAATTCAGTTTGAAATTCAACACCTAACCTATAAAATGTGGCTTTAAATACTTCATACGTAGGCATCTGTTCGTCAGTCAAATAAGTAGCCTACTCATCAGTCAAATAAGCATAAAGTCATTACTTCCCTTTTTCATATCCTTTTTGTTTGCTCTCATTTGTTGAAGTGTTGGTTCAAGCATCTTTCTCTATTCAAAACACAGTGGGTGAGTTAAAGGATAATGCTCTTCAACTTATTGTTGATCCTCTTTTGCTTACAAAACTGAAGTTACTTTGTTTAAGCATGTCCAAAGCACTCAAATCATAAGTGTAGATGGAAAAGAATCAGAGGATTTTATAAGAAAAACATCTTCCTTGTTTAATCAGTTTGAATCTGCAAGATTGAAGGATTATACATGGTCTTCTCCCTCAAAGCCTTTTGCTCAATTCCTAAATTGGGATGCTTTTAATTTCCATTACAATTGCTTTTATTTGTTGTTTTTCTTTGTTCATTTTTATCTTTTGAGTATTAGTCTCTTTTCATTATTTCAATAAAAGTTGTGTTTCTTGTTCAAAATCCCCAACACTCCTTCCCGTAACCTTAAGATTTCCCCAAAGCCTTATAGATAGAATAACTAAGGAAGACATCATAAAGCAAGGAAAAAAAAAAAAAAATAGATTGGATCCCAATCATAACATATAGGATCAAAGTTAATCCACCAACCCAAAAGAAAATCAAACAGAAGAAAGTTTCATTTTGTAATGAGATACTTTTGAACATTTTCCACTGCATGATCCCAAATCAAAACTTACCAAAGGTTTTCCCCAACTAAAGAATAAAGATAGAAGTAAGCTATTCAATGTAAAGGCTTCACACCCTACCAAATGAGCCCAGATATCAAGCTTTCGCCTGATACAGTTAATACCAACTCTAAACAATTCTTCCTATCAAGCCAAGGATTGGAGTTGGGCACAAAGACTAGGAAAACTTTATTGAAATTAACAAAAGAATCTTCCCCCCCAAAAGCAAGGATGATAATATTATTTACAAATCAGAAGTTATGATGTGAATGTCCACAACCTTAGATTCTGTCCACTCCTGTAGATGCTCGTCTAGTAAGAATGTCCACAACCACGAGGAAAAGGATTGAAGAATAGGCATAATCTTGCCGAGTACCTCTTAAAAAAAAGATTATCCTACAACTGAAAACAATTCCCAACCCATGACATTTAATCCCAAAACCCTGTTTCCACAAGTTCTTCTCTAAATAAACGTGAACAACGTGATTATAATCCTTCTCCTAATCATTTTTAAATATAACTACTTCCCTACTAGAAGCCCTCTAATCCATGTCTCCCTAAACAAAGGGTTATTTATTTCCACAGTTTTTTCCTGTTCGCTTGAGGATGGAAGAAAATTTTAACCCAAAACTAAATATAATTCACTCTAACCATGTTCTTTTCAATGATTGGGTGTGCGGATAAGTGCATTTGCTTAAAAAATAAGATACCCTTCCCAAAACTACCCTAGAAATGAATAGTGTGAGCAAGTTCGGCTATAAATGACGACCCATAACATTAAACTGCACAGAATCATCACAAAAAGACCCAAAAGAAACTATCAAATGCTGATATAGAATCCTCAATGAACAAACATTGAAACCCGACCAGTATCATCCAAATTTAGATTTGTCGTGCAAATTCTCGCCAAAACCACATATGATCATCAAATCTCTAACGACCCAGATCATAATTTCCCGCAAAAAATCTCTTCGATAAAGCCCAGGCAATTAGAAACCATAACCCCATGAGCATGTAAAGAAAGCAGGGGAAACAACAAGCACACATCATAACATTTCAGTCACTTTCTCGATAGAACTAACGAGAAAAATTCGAAAGCAGTAAAAGATAAGACGCAAGAAACTTGAAGATGAATGGGAAGAAAGAATGAAAGGGAAAAAAAACGCAAATTAACAGACAAATACCTCTGTGAAACCCCGAGATTTTCAATGGTAAGAAGAATTGTGTTAAGGGACCAGAGGGATTTAACAGGAGGTGAAGGGGGAAAAAATCACAACTTAAAAACGAATTTTTAATGAAAAATATTATTAGAATGACAGGTCATTCCGACGTGGCATTTCGGGAAGGACTTTCTTCTCACAGCCTATTAGATTGCGACACGTGGTTTTTGGTTGTCGGCTCGGTTGTGGGGTTGCAGAAATGAAATTTTTATATTGTAATAAAATAAAGTAAAAGAAAGAATCGAGATTAAAGTGAAATTAAGGGCCAAATTAATAATTAAATTTGAAATATTGATAAGAAGATTATTAGAAATTTGGTTAAATTATAAGTTTTTTTCGCAAAAATCCCGTAGCAGTTCTTTGTTCCGACGAGGCGACGGCGAGTGATTTCAATTCCCGGGAAGGTTTTGCGGCCTGAGGTACCGTATTTTGCAAGCGTCCCCGTTGTGATCTTATTTCATGGCCGAGAAAGAGGAACAACAATTGCCGAACAGTGACGAACTCGCCGAGTCGCTCAACGAATTCTTCACCAGTGTATCCGAAATGATCAAATCGGATCTTCTTGTTAGCTTCCAAAGCCCTAATTCTCTTAGTTTCCATTTTGCTATATCGTTAAATTTTCCTTTTGGGTCTCTGTGCTTCACTGATTCTGCTCTCTGGCTATATTGGTTGTTCACTGTGTTGAATTATTTCATTGAATTGGTTCTTATAACTATTTGGTTGAGCGTATTCATTGAATACTATTAACGTCTGGTAAATTAATCGACCGTGTTTGAGGTTCTGAGGTGCCTTTTGACTGTTGTTGGATTTGGAGTTGAGTAGTTGAAAGGGTTAGAAATCACGACCCTCGTGAATGGTATGATATTGTCCACTTTGAGCATAAGCTCTCGTATCTTTGCTTTAGGCTTTCCCAAAATACCTCATATCAATGGAGATGCATTCCTTGCTTATAAACTCATAATCATTCCCTAAATTAGCCTATGTGGGACTCCTTCCCAACAATTCTCCCCTCGAACAAAGTATACTATAGAGTCTCCCCTGAGGTCTATGTAGCCCTCGAACAACCTTTCCTTAATCGAGGCTCGACTCCTTTCTCTGGAGCCCTTAAACAAAGTACACCCTTTGTTCGACACATGAGTCACTTTTGACTGCACCTTCGAGGCTAGCAATTTCTTTGTTCGACACTTAAGGATTCTATTGACATGGCTAAGTTAAGGGCATAACTCTAATACCATGTTAGGAATAACAACTCTCCACAGTGGTATATGATATTGTCCACTTTGAGCATAAGCTCTCATGGTTTTGCTTTGGGCTTCCCCAAAAGGCCTTATACCAATGAAGATGTATTCCTTACTTATAAACTCATGATCATTTCTTAAATTAGCCAATATGAGACTCCCTCCCAACATTTCTCCCCTCGAAAAAGTATACCATAGAGCCTCCCCTAAGGTCTATGTAGCCCTCGAACAGCCTCCCCTTAATCGAGTCTCGACTCCTTTCTTTGGAGCCCTCAATCAAAGTACACCCTTTGTTCGACACATGATTCACTTTTGACTACACCTTCAAGGCTAGCAATTTCTTTGTCCGACACTTAAGGATTCTATTGACATGGCTAAATTAAGGGCATGACTTTAATACCATGTTAGGAATAACAACTCTCCACAATGGTATAATATTGTCCACTTTGAACATAAGCTTTCATGGTTTTGTTTGAGCTTCCCCAAAAGGCTTCATACCAATAGAGATGTATTCCTTACTTATAAACTCATGATCATTTCCTAAATTGCCCAATATGGGACTCCCTCCCAACAATCCTCCACGAAAGACGATTGTCAAAACCATCAACCCATTTCCCTGCTATCTATCTGACCTCGAATGACCTTTTTCATTTTTTCACTATCCTCTTCTTCTCTAGAAATTTATCTCTAATGTTCTATCAAAATTTCATTTGATCTTTAACAATGATAAAACTTAAGGTTTGGTTTAGTCGATGAATCTAAGATGTGGGAATCAATTTTTGGTAGATTACTGATGGTGGGTATGTTATTTTAATACATAGGGATCAAGTAATCAGCTGGCACTATTAGAGAAGATGAATCTCAGGGTGGCAGAAGAGTATAAAGGTCTTGGCGATGTGGCTTCTGGAATGAGGGTTTTTGTGGAGCAATTGAAGGCAAAGAGTGGTGGCTTTGATGAGTACATTAACCAGATTGAGAAAATAGAAAATCAGGTGACTGAATTTGAAGCTGTAATTTCAATGCTTGATAAGCATATTTCCATGCTGGAATCTAAAGTGTTGTCCGTTTGTCAAAACTCGGCTACATGAATGAATTCCTTTGTTTGTGTCAAAATTCAGAATGGTTCCTTTCAGAATATTTTTGCTTCTATATTGCTCATGGTGTTGAATCTTTTACAATATCTCATTCACTGGCAGTTGATGGTGCTAAAGAGTTGACATCTTTGTTTTCTTTTCCTGCTGAATCTATAGCGATTTTTGAATGGTTTGTGCTAATTGTATGTCAGAGAAATTTTGGTTGACTAATTTTGAATGGAGGGAGAAATGTTCTCTCTTAGAGTGTGAGATCTCACGTCGGTTGGAGAGGGAAACGAAACATCATTTACGAGGAGGTTTTCAACCTCTCCCTAGTGTGGCTAACGGCGATACGCAATGAGCTAAAACGGATAATATTTACTAACAGTGAGCTTGGGCTATTACAAATGGTATTAGAGCCAGACACACCCAAAGACGCTGGGCCCTCTATGTGGGGTGAATTGTGAGATCCCAAATCGGTTGGAGAGGAGAACGAAGCATTCTTTATAAGGATGTGGAAACTTTTCCCTAACAGGCACGTTTTAAAACTGTGAGGCTGACGGCGATACATAACGAGCTAAAACGGACAATATCTGCTAGCAATGGGCTTGGACAATTACAAATGGCACCAGAGCTAAACACAAAACGGTGTGCAATGAGGACGTTGGGTCCCCGAAGGGAGTGGATTGTGAGATCCCACAACGGTTGAGAGGGGAACAAAACATTTCTTATAAGAATGTGCAAGCCACTCCCTAACGCGTTTTAAAACTGTAGAGCTTACGGCGATACTTAACAAGTTAAAGTGAACAAGTCTATTAGCGGTGGGCTTGGATTATTACATAGAAACTATGTTCAATAGAGTTTCGTAGGATTAGGAAGATTACACAATTATGTATGGGAGGTGAGCTCTGGTAGCAGAAGCTGTCATGATGTACCGTTCAGAAGGGAACCATACAAGTTCATCTCCTTACTCGTTAGTCATAAAATGCTGGAAATGAGAGAAGCAAGTTCCTTTGGGGGTTGAAAATGAAGCTTCATCTTAGCTCAGATAGATAGTATTATAATAGATGTACACACGAGAAGCTGAAGGAAGTTTGGAAGGTTTGGTTCTTTCTCTAGCTTGCCCTCTCCAGCTAGTCAGCTCATCTAGCTTCATCTTTATACACATTTTTGTGTTGTCGTATTCCGAAGCCGATCAAACACCAAAGTACGTGAATGCTAATGATTTGAAGTGTACGTACGTACTTTTGATTTGAAAGATGAGCGAGTAGTTAGAAAAAGAGAGTTAAATTGATTTGAAAGATGAATTAAGTCGTGTAATTAAACACACAATTTCACCTTCAAACTAATCATTAAAAACGCGTGTTGGAAGAGGTAGGTAAAGTCATCGAAAATTTATTTATCATCCCAAAACGTTGTGGTTATGATAATTTTGAACATTTCTAAAAGCTAAGCAGTTATATCTATCAATATGTATGGTCTTGGACTATCGATAATGCTTTTTCTTTAGAGTTGGGGTACTTGATCGATCCACTTACTTGTATTATGTCAATATTAATAGTTTTTATTTAGAGTGACAATTATATGTCTCACGATCAAGGATATCAAGGATATTTGAGATTTTTTGCGTAGGTGAGTTTGTTCAATACGTTCTTATCTATTAATAGGTTTTTGGTTCACTCGAACCTACTGCCTCAAATGCTTTGTCAAAAGGCATTTGTAACTAATCCGGCAGGGAGTTTTGAATTTGGGGATTCTTATAATGCTCTTTACCAAAATTTGGATTAAGTTTTGGAATCAAAATTTGACATTTGATGATCTCGACATTATTTTACAATATAACAAATTTTTTAAACATATCGGTCAATATTTACATGTTTCATATGAAATTTTTTAAGAGACTATATAATATATAATTACTTTATTTACATGTTTCATATGAAACTTTTTAAGAGTCTATCTAATATATAATTACTTCAGACGAACTATGTTTAACTTTAAAATTGATATGACTGACCCTACGGAATTTCCGAAAAGAAAATGAATATTGTTTTTTAATAATTAAATTGTTAGAATTTTAAAAGGAGGCATCACAAAATATACTAAAATATTCTAAATTTCGAAAATGAAGTATTTTTTAATTTTTAAAAATTAATCAATTTTAATGTTTTGGATCCAAAATATTTTTCAAGATGTCAGATATTTTTGTATCTTAAAAAAAAAAAAATACCGAATTTCCAATCCAAGTGTAGAATTCAGCATAGTTACGACGTCGATTTTCACCACAGGACACACAGGGCGACTCCGGCGACGGCGAGTGGCGACTGGCGAGTTAAGCGCCAGCTGGCAGCGATCACTGAAGGTTTATATATCATAGAACCACTCGTCCATAGTGTATCTCCCGCTGTCACTTTTAGAACGCCGAGATGACGACTGCAATGGGACCTCCACCGCCTAGAAACCCTTCCTCCGCTTCTCCAATGGATTTTGATGCCGGAACCCTTGAGGGAGATTCAACCTCTTCTTCAACTGAAACGAAGGCCACCATGGGCCCTCCTCTTCCAAAAAATCCCACTCCTCCCGATTCTGACCCCCCAGCCCCGACCGCAACTCAAGAAGATGAATCACCGGTGATTTCGATCAATTCTGATGCTTCAGAACCCGTTGATAAGGCTCCAGACGCTCCTCCATCTGATAAAGCTGTGGAACTGGCTCCGAAGCAACCCCAGAGCGTAGCGGTGCCATACACCATTCCTTCTTGGAGTGGAGCCCCCTCCCATCGTTTCTATTTGGAGGTTCTGAAGGATGGATGCATTATTGATCAGTTTGATGTGTAAGTCCGTTGAATGTTTGAAAGAAATTTTTACAACTTCATATTAATTTCTCAAGATAGATGAAATTCTGGAACTTCGAGAAACGGCCTGATATATTGTTTTTCTCATACTGGGTCTTGATGAAATCATATCCTACTATTCTTTTATTTGTCAAATATTGGTCACTGAGTTGTTTATATGGTTTTAGATATGAGAAGGGGGCTTATATGTTTGGACGTGTGGATCTCTGCGATTTTGTTCTGGAGCATCCAACCATTTCTCGATTTCACGCTGGTAGCCAACTTTTCACTTATACTTACATTAGTTGACATGAACATGTGTAGGGTTCTTATCACAGGATTTTCAAGCTTATTAACTTCATTGCAGAAATTATACAGTAGTAAATTTAGGTTCAACAGTTTTTAGCGATTATCATTGACATGTACGGGATTTAATCATTGTTTCTATGGAACCGTTAAGTTTCCACACACTGTAATTGCATTTCCCTGGGATTACTTGTATTGTCATGTAACACCATAGGAACCTATCAATTATCATATCTATTATAATATCATTGCATTCTATCGTGAAGGTTCCATACTACTTTACATGTACAGGATTTAATCCTTGTTTCTCTAGCATCATCAAGGTTCTATACATTTATCAATGCATTTCTCAGTGTCATGTCAGAGGGCTCGCCACTCTCCATTAGTTCTAAGCTGCCTTAATTAACAAACAGTAATAATATATAGGTGCTTTGAGCTAAGATCTAAATATCTATTATGTTCAATTGAAAATTGAGCTTTCTGGATGTTGCACCTTCCTTTGACTTCTTTTTAAAATGGTTCGCTCTCTCTTTAAAGATAGAAGTTTAGTGCTATTATTTCAGTGGTAGGGATAGCAACATCGTGGCTTTCTGTAAGACAAACTTGCAAGTTGTGAATTATGTTATACTTTCCATCTATAGTACATGATTTATTTGTCATCGCTAAATGAGACTTTTTTTTATCATTTCTAGCAACCGTAAGGCATATGTTATCATTAAGGCCATTAAGTTGGTTGCTCAAAGGGTGAGCATCCAAATTCCTGTTTCTTAAAATTTAGAATACTAAGCATTGTAGAATGCCTATACAAGAGTCTAAATATCTAAAGAGCTTTTGATGCTCTCCTCAACCCTTGGGCTTTAAGGTTTGGTGAGGCTTCTTTTTGTGAAATAGTTTGGGGAAAGATGGATCGATGTGAAAATAATGTTGTTCACATTACCACAAGATACGCTTAAGCGGCAATTAATGTCACACTGAAGAATTTATGCTACAATGGATTCAAGCTACTTCAAGTGGGGCTTCATTTATTCTTGGATGGTTAAAAATTGGGTGAAAGATTGAAATCTAGATTTATGATATTTCATTAGTGTATTTTCAATTTTAAGACTTTTTTATTTACTTTTAGGTTGCATTTATATAATGGCTAATTATGGTCCTAGAGTATGAAAGTTATAACTCTTAAAATGCCTTATGGAAGGTCAATTGCTTCATTTTGAGGCTAGACAAAGCCATGTATGTTGTCTTGTAAAATAGACTTAGAAAATGTAGTAAAAAGAGCATTTGTGGTTTCTTTTAGCTTAGAACTTTGTTTCTTTGTGATTCTATATAGTTTAGGTTACATACTTAGAATCATTGAAGCTTGACTTGATCAATCTTACTTGTGGAGTGATTCGAATCTCAAACAAGTTTTCTTGCCTTGAGATATTTGATCAACAAGGGAATCCAAATTTTACTCTTCCTTGGGTAATTCCTTATTGTTTTGGAGTTATTGGAAATGTTAGATCTAATGGTCTTGTTCTTTAATTAGGTTGTTAGGCCGAATTCCCAAGAGCTTCAATCATTTGAGATGAAATCATCTTGATTTGAAGGTTTTGACATTTAAGAGATTACTTGATCTATTTCTGTATCCTTGTGATCTAGGAGTTTGCATATCCATAAGGGTTCTTATATAATTGGTTAGGGTTTTCATATGACTATGGAATTAAAGAAACAAGAACACAATAAGGGCTTGATCCTTAGTAAGGATATTGATATCATTGTTGATAGGAAGCACTCTCGAGGCTCTCATATCATCAGTGGTTGTAAAAACTAGATGTACGAGGTGGGTGAAAATTGGGGTGGGGTAAATTGCTTAAATCAAAATAGAAAAAGAAAGATAGATCAGGCAATGTACCAACAATATCTTACAACATTAAGACCTCGGAGGTAGATTGAGAAACAGTATTCACCTTATCATCCTTGAATCTTACAAGGAACATTGAATAGGAGACTAGACATTTTTGCCCTTTTTTCCTGCCTTTATATATTCTTTTCATCAATTTTTCTTACTTCTCATTTTAAAATTTATATTTAAAATGATTCAAGACGAACTACTATATTATTTTACTCATGAAAACAGTATAATTAAATTATTTTCCAAGGTGTACCCATTAATTTTTCTACAAAAGAATTATAGCTATTCAAGGATGCTAGGTCTTATATATAGTTGAATGATATATTGACTGTATGTTTTTATTAAAGAATAATTCAAGTGGTCAGAATATGGTATTATTTTACTATGTTGTCTTCCTTTTGTAGTTCTCCAGTTTAGAAGTAATGGAGATGCATACCTTTATGATCTTGGAAGTACTCATGGAACTTTTATTAACAAGAATCAGGTATGGATCTTTCTTAGTTACTTTTTATTCTTGGTACATGGTATTTGTATCAATCTTTAATCTTCTTCACAGTTTCAACTTCCCTATTAGAAAAACCTGAAAGGTTTATTATTATTGTCTGGCGATGGCTTTTTCTGCTTGTTTTTCCATATTTGATTGATAAAGTGGGATGAATTTTCTTTTCTCTTCTGATGAACTTCTCCGTTCTTTTATTTAGGTGAAGAAAAGGATTTTTGTGGACTTGCATGTTGGTGATGTCATTCGATTTGGCCAGTAAGCAACTCTTCATTAGCCATTTTTTTTAAAGTAAGAAATGTCTGATTATTGGAGTTTTTCATTTTGAGATTCCATGTCGTTTAGTAGTTGTAGTGGGAAAACAAGCATTTCTTCAGTAGAACAGTAGTTGTTTCAAGGATGGAATTAATGTCGGAACCTTTTGTTTGGCAAGAACTTAAATAAAATCTTTCTAGATGGTTCGTGGAAATTTCTACCATCTCCATTGGAGTTATGAGATGAATTGCAGTTCTGATGGAGGTTAACAAGGGTGGTTGGAGTGAGTAGTGGGTGATGTTGGGTGATTTCGAGAATATTGCTGGTAAAGAGGAGGTGAAGGAAAGTTTTTGGTTAGAAATGGTTTGTTTCAAAGGGAGAGGAGAAATCTCTGGTACAAATAGTAAAAACAAATTTGGAAGAAACCAACAGCGAAAGGGGTTAATGGGGAAGAAGGAAAGGATAATATAAAGAGAACAATTTTAGAGTGGAAAATTCAAGCAAAAATGATTGAATTTTAAAGGGAAGAAGAATACAGGGGAAGGTAAAATTAGATATTTAGGGGAAAAGTGAGGGGGACTCGAGGAAAAAGATTGGAGTATAAAGAATAAATAGATTTTTCACGAAGAGATTGGGAGCATACCATAATTGTTACTAGATTTTAATTCCATGATGATTCATTCACCATTGTAGAAGCATTGAGATAGGTAATTTATGAAGTCTGTATGCTCAAACCTTTTATAGCGAATAAAGCTTTGCTCAAGGGTCTGCGAAGGAAGACTTAGAGAACCCTTGTAGGTTAGAAGGGTAGTATGTTGTGGGTGCTTTTCCCTTGATATTCACCTATAAGGTGGATAATTACAAAATTCCTTAGAGCTTGCTCTTCAAGAGCAAACTTAAAACGGAAGAATCTCAAACCTTCCTCCAATCTTTTTGATATTCATGGAAAAAAGACAATGTTGTCTTGATTTGTCTGGTTGTATTGCTCGCAGTCTTAATTTTTTTTTTTAATCTCCTCTTACTTCAGTTCAGCTTGTGCTTAAACTCTGATTTTTTATGTTCATTTGCAGTTCATCTCGATTGTACGTTTTTCAAGGGCCAAATCATTTGATGCTACCTGTAAGCTTCCTTTAGCATTTTTTTTTCATTTACCACTAAAAAGGTTATTGGAACTCCGTTCTTTTGTTTCTAATCTACCTGTATCCATTCAGTCTACTGCTTGTGTCATTGATTATAATGGACAGTTCCTTTCCTTCTAGTCAACTACTATGCCCTTTTCAGTAAATTTCTCATTTCCAGATTTGTTTTCTCTCTTATGGTAAGGCGTGTTTAAGAATTTGGAATACTTCAAAATTCATGGATGTTGATTTGGAGAGAGTGATTGCTGAATGGTGAATATTAGCTTAGAAGGACCTTAAAAGGACCATCATACTACGCCTTTGCTTTGGGAATCTTCCAGATTTGTTCTCTCAAGTAACATGTTAAAAAACGCATGTGGATGGGTCTACTTTAAAATTCATTGATGTGGATATGGAGAGGGTGATTAGCGAATGGTGAATATTAGCTTAGAAGGACCAACACAGTATAAAACCCAAATATGACATGGTCACAATGACATGTTGTAGAAAATTAGGGCACGGATACATTGGAAACAAATGTGTTTATTAACGTATTTATTTATTTAACACATTTTAGGGTTTCATACTTAATTTCTTTTATTTGGACTTATGTATTTATCCTCTTTTATTTATATTGAAGAGATTTTTTTTGGTTTTTTTTAATATGTTTTGAAGGATTAAATTTCATTTCTTTGGTGTATTCTTTTTTCATTAAAACTATAGGCCCTTGCAGAAAATAAGTTTCAAATATGCTACCCTTACATAACACTCTAGTTTAAGTATTCTAGAGGCGTTGAAGCATTGTTGTATGGCATCTGTTGAATACATATACAAACATGTTAACCAAATTAATGTCCCTACTTCTACAGGATCGGTTCTGTACAACTATATCCCTGAGTATTCAGGAGACAATATGTCCAAAGTTCTAGGATCTTAGCTAATCAAATGCTACAAATTCTTACTCTAGTGTGTTGCCGTGCATCCTTGTTTTAGCCTTTGCATGCAGTTGCTTTCAGTTAAAATCTAGGTTTAGTTACAACTTGATCTTGATTTGAATAAATATGTTGTTAGTTGAGTTATTTTGGACTGAACACCAGGAATCAGATTTGACCATGATAAAAAAGGCTAAGATTCGAGAACAGACACTAGACCGAGAAGCTTCACTTCGACGAGCCCGACAGGAAGCATCTCTCGCTGATGGAATATCTTGGGGCATGGGAGAAGATGCTGTTGAAGAGGCTGAGGTTTGTGCAAAATCAACAATAAAACTCATTTAGGGTCTTTGTCAGATTTTTCTTAGATTACTAGTTATACTTAAACTTGACCATGTTTCCTTGATTTAGAGTTTTGGTAGCTGAGTACTTGCTCTGTTCTGATTATTTAGGATGAAGTTGATGAAGTCACATGGCAAACATACAAAGGACAGCTTACAGAAAAGCAGCAAAAAACTCGTGAAAAGGTTTTAAAAAGAACTGAAAAGGTTAGTCAATATCATCCTTTTTGGTTTTTAAATGATTTGGGAAGATCGATATTTTCTCAACTATACGTTGCAATACTGACTACAAAATTCCAAAATGGAAGCCTTCATGTAAGTTACTATCTTTGAGAATCTTTCTTTGTTTCCCAAAGTTTTTTTGTTCCTTTTTCATTTCGTTGTAATTTATTTATTTTATTTACTCAATGATTGGCAGACATTTCATCATCACTTTGTCAGTAATTGGTATGGCGATTTCTTAAATAAACCTACCTTTACCATTAAAAAGAGGTTATTCCATCTGTGGCACATATTATAGATGCTCTTAACTTGCTCTATTTCTCATATTTTACTGAGATGTTTACACAAGAATGTCAAGGACTCTTATTTCTTAGCTGTCAAGCTATCTCTAGCGGATGACAGCTTTGATGTTGAATAAGCACCATAAATCTCTAGAAACTCGTTTTTATGATAAAAAAAAATATTGTTAGAATGTTCTTCCTTATCATATATTCTATGTTTACTGGTGCACTTATACAAGGGCTACATGCATGTTGGATACAGATTTCTCACATGAAGAAAGAAATTGATGCAATTCGTGCTAAAGACATTTCTCAAGGTGGATTGACGCAAGGGCAGCAAACTCAGATTGCTAGGAATGAACAAAGAATTACTCAGGTGAAAATTTCTAGCCGAGAATTAGTACTCTTATTTATTTTCTTTTTGCTTTATGCAATGCTTACCATTTTTAGTACTAGGATTTGATTCTTTATTTTTACTTTATCACAGCACCGCTTTAATTGTCTCTTCTTCTAAAAATAATTTTGGCAGATCATGGAAGAACTTGAAAACTTGGAAGAGACACTGAATGATAGTATTAGGGAAAGCCTTGGAGCTCGTTCTGGGATTCGATCACTTGGTAAGAAGCAAGGAGGAACGGAAAATGATGAAGAATTTTTAAGGTACGTCCCAAATAAGTGTTGTGGAAGGGGGGAAGGGGGGATGGGGGAATCATTTAGTAATTCGTATGCTTCTGTACTATAAATCTAGATATGTTATAATTATATTATTGAGATAGGTAGAATACGATTGACCCAATATGCTAGTATTATGGTGGCCTTTTATTATATAAGAGAATGCATAGTGACTTCCATAAAATTTATGTTCTGTTTTTTGTTATTTTTTCAGTGATGATGACGACTTCTATGACCGCACGAAGAAGCCTTCAAATAAAAAAACTGGTGAAAATCAATCAATTGAAACAGCTGATTCTCTTCTTGATAAGAGAGATGCCATCAATAAAGAAATGGATGAAAAAAAAAGATTGCTTTTGATTGAGGAGAACAAAATGGAATCACATACAGATTTGGACTCTGGCAATGATGCTCTCGATGCTTACATGTCAGGACTTTCATCTCAGCTAGGTTTGGTTTTCAGACATAAGTATAGATACCTTGGTGTGCTGTTTTACAAGTATTGGTTGTTCCTTTTTCGCTCGAGTGCGGGTTTTACTTTCTTATTTTGTTATTTCCATGCTCATATAGATTATGCATAGTATATAACTACCAACAGTATTTGCAGCTAAAAATTAATTCTCTGTAGTAAACATTAAAATCATGTTAATATATTACCTTTTAAATTTGAAGGATGTGACATTGAGACCTTAACTATTGTGAGTAACACTCACTGAAAGCTATTATCTGCTATTTTTCTGCTTATGTTCTTGCATAATAGTAGAAAACATTTCTTCTGACTGCTGTTGCTGGTTTGATTATTGTTGGCAGTGCTTGACAAAACCACCAAACTACAGAACGAATTATCGTCTCTTCAGTCAGAACTAGATAGAATTTTGTACCTGTTGAAAATTGCTGATCCATCAGGAGAAGCAGCCAAGAAAAGGGAAACTTCAGCCAAGAAAATTGATTCAAATCTAGAAGCAAAGCCTGAAAAATTTAAAGTCCCTGCATCTATTAATGGGAAACCACAGAAGGAACTAATAAAAAACGATGAATCTAAAGAACAAGTGGTAGATGCCAAACAGAAAATGAAAACCACACAAGAAAGTGTTGAATCTAACGAGTCAGTTACTGAAAAAGTTGTGGATGATACAAAAGATAAAAAGACCATCAGTTACACTGTTGTTAAGCCTCAGTGGCTTGGGGCCATCGAAGAAATGAAATCTGAGGAAACTCAAAAGGATGCTGCACCATTGGATATACAAGAATCTGATGATTTTGTCGACTACAAAGACAGGAAAGATGTTCTTCAGAGTTCTGATAATAAGCCTGCAAAAGTGGATTCTGTGATTGAGAGTGCTGCCCCAGGTTTGATTTTGAGAAAACGGAAGCAAGAAGATCAATCTGACGGTAACTTGGATGCCTCTCAACAGTCGACATCATCTTTGGAGGCAGAGAGAGCAGAATTTAAGGCAGAGGATGCTGTGGCTTTGCTGTTAAAGCACCAAAGAGGGTATCATGGATCAGATGACGAGGAAAATCGACATGAAAGCAAGCGCCCGACAGGTCGAACCAGATCAAAAAAGAATGAGAAGAAGTCCAAGAGGGTACTTGGTCCCGAAAAGCCGTCATTTCTAGATACAAAAGCTGATTATGACTCATGGGTACCTCCTGAAGGTAACTTCTTTAGTGAATATAGTGGCCTACTATTAAGTTTGAAACATCGTTCTCTCTAACGTTAAGTTGTCTGTTCAATTTGCAGGACAATCAGGCGATGGAAGGACAACATTAAACGAGCGTTATGGCTACTAATTTCCCCATGTTTCTAACAACATTTTGATCTGAGATCGGCCTCGCCGTTTTTTACTTTTTCAAGAAAGATGGATTGGTCACTGGCCCGTAAATTATTTCATCAATCTTAGCCGCTTTTTCCAGTGTATGAAAACAAAGGTAGTGAGGCTGCTGCTTTATAATTGAAAGCCTTGTGTTGTAATAAAAGAAGATGGAACTCAGGCAAAGATGTTCATGAACTATGGAACTAGCAAGCTTGGAGAAGTTTCTTGTCTATATACCTGGGTAAAGGGAGGGAGTTGGAGAACCTGAAAAATTGCTCTCTTGTTCTAGAAGATTTATTGTAACATTACATACAAGGGTTGTTCTTTTGTCCACAGGCCTTGAAAGACTTGCAACAACCTTCCAGTAATAGCAGCTGATAGTATGGAATATTGGTGGTTATTGTAGATTTTTCACTCATTTTCACTCCTTTGTAAGATCTCATGTACCATACTCTTACCCATGAACATGTTTGAGTTCGGCATTCTCCGAGTTACATTGATACTTTGAAATGGTTGTTGGGACCTGGAAGTCGCCTAATATGTTTCAAAATTATATTGTCAGAAGAAAATTTGGAAATTGTGGGACTTCAAATCATGCTTTTCTCCGAATATTTTGTAAAGCTTTTAGTTAAACTACAACTCATCCTCCACCATATATACTTTTACCAAGTATACTTGGTTTTAGTTCGTTATTAGTCTCATAATTTAATTTTAAAACGTGTTTATTAGGAAGAAGTTTTGTTCTTCTCCCAACTAATGTGTAATCTCACAATCCACTCCTTTTAAGGGCTCTGCAACTATACACTGTTCTGTCTGGCTCTAATACTAATTGTAACAATCAAATCTATCGTTAGTAAATATTGTCTGTTTTGATCCATTACAGCCATCCATTCAATTCATCTAGGCATGTCTAGAAAAAGGTTGACATCCATACCAGGGAAGCAATTGTATGCATATCCAAAATCCATGATGTGTGATAGTGATCCCAAGTTCCCATAAGCCATTGGAGGGTTAAGAAGGTTTGTTAATCTTTGTGGGGCGGTGAAGGGTGGCTGTTAAAGCGACAAAAACGTTGCAGAGAGACACAAATCCAAAGCATGGGAGATGGAGGAAACAAGAACGTGGCCTTTCCTTTATGTTTCCAAGTGTTGCCTTTCCCTTTATCGTGTCTTCCCTCTGCACCACATATCTTTCCTCGACTCTCGAGATCATTACCCTTTCTTATCATCTACACAAGTGTCTAACATCTCTCATCGATTGGAGAGAAGAACGAACGTATCATTCCTTACAAAAATATGAAGAAAAAAAATTTTAGTAGACAAAATTTAAAAAACAATAAAGTTGACAACTATATATAACGAGTCAAAACAAATAATATTTATTAACATTAGACTTAGGTCGTTATAAAGGATCATGATAGAAAGAAATTTAGCTAAATCATAGAAACAGTATCGAATAAAATAAAAAAAATGGCAAAATAGAAATTATTTGAGAAAAATTATAAAAACCCATTAAATGGAAGGTTGCAAGATTAAAACTTTAGAATTTATCCAACATTTTTTAAAATTTTGGACATAAAACCTAATATTAAAGCATAAGAAATCTACAACAAAACAAAAAATTGGTTAGTTATTCATTTGAGAGAGAGAGAGAGAGAGAGTTGTCGGTTGAAAAGAAAAAGAAGAAAAAGAAAAAAAAAAACAAGAACTTGGGAGGCCACGCCCTCGTGTTCTTCAAACCAAACCAAAAACATTAATGTTCGTATAATTTAAATATTGAATTAATTAATTAATTAAATACATGTTTTTATATAATAATTTATTTAGTAATTCGATAAAATCTCACTTGTATTGTTTCCCAAAGCCTCTTAATTTTATGCTTTTAATTTTGGTTCCCTCATTCTTCTCTCCCAACGATACCCTTTTTTTTTCTTTTCTGATATATCCAATGCTTTTTTTTAGTCTTCTTTCTTAAATTAAGAAAAAAAAAATTGTATTTTTTGATGGGTAGACGCTCGTGGTGTGAAATTCCCCATTGATTGTAGAGAAGAACGAAACATTCTTTAGAAATATGTGAAAGTGGTAGGCGTGGACTGTTATAAGTCGATTGATATCTAATGATCCCGATATTCTTTGGTACATATTGTTGATCTGTATCGAGAAAGGTTTCATGTCTCAAGTCGGGAATCATCGAGTGTCGAATCTAAATTTCAAATCCTAATCTAAATCATAGACGTGGAGGAGACTTGAATTTCTAAAATAAAAGTAACTCGATCAAACCTCTAAGATATAGTCCAATCATAAACCTCATAAATAGGCATTAAAACAAAGATTTATAATGTTAAACTAAAATATTATTACCATACCCAAAGTGCATGCACTTATGCCTCTATGAACTATTATATTGTTTTTTTTTTATTTATTATATAGTTTATTATATTATATTAAACATATTATTTATAGAACCATGCATCATGATGTTACATCCTAAAATGGATCAAAAAAATTAAATTAAAATCTACCCTTTTTTCTATATTTGTAAAACAATTTCTGACAAATGTTTATAAATGACAACAATTCGATGTCAAACGTTAGTAACTTTTGGAAAATATAAGATTCAAAATTTTCAACCACATTTGAATAATTATAATATTGCATACATATTATACTTTGATGTTGATGTTCTAAGCCGAGAAAGTGTATATGAATGAAAGTGACCGATTAAAAAAAACTTACGAGACCAATTAACATCTGAAAGATATTGTTCACTTTAGCCTATTACGTATCGTCTTGAGACTCACAATTTTTAAAATGCGTCTGCTAGGGAGAGGTTTCCATGTCTTTATGAGGAATGCTTAGTTCTTCTATCCAACTGATGAGGGATCTCATAATCCATTCCCCTAATGGCCCAACACCTTCGCGTGCATCATTTGTAACAACTCAAGGTTATCACTAATAGATATAGTTTGTTTTAGCTTGTTACGTGTTGAAGATTGTTAGGAGTGAGTCCTACATTGGCTAATTTAGGGAATGATCATGAGTTTATAAGTAAAGGAAGAGATTTTTATTGGTATGAGGTTTTTTGGGGAAGCCCAAAGCAAAACCATGAGAGCTTAAGCTCAAAGTAGACAATATCATACCACTTTAGAGAGTCGTGATTTCTGACATTACGTATCACCGTTAAATCTCCTCTCCAACCGATCTTCACGTATCTTTATAAATAATTCATAAAACTTTATCCCACAAAACCCAACCCAATTGAACCAAATGAAACTAAACTAGAAACACATACACAAATAGTACATGAACAAAAAAATGATGGGTTCTTGGGGGAGAAAGTAACATTGGTCTTATAAAGAAGAAACAAGAACAGCTGTGTGTGTGTGTGTTAACAATTTGAGTTCACCCAAAAAGATTCTGATGCTCCAAAACTTGAAAAGAGGAGAAAGAAAGTTTGACCACAAAAAAACCCTCACAAGAATGAAAAAGAACAGACACAAATTCATTAATTTAAACAAAAACAAGACCATAATTAACTGACTTTTTATTAAACAACATTCCCCATTTATGTAAATGTGCTGTTTTTTGGACCAAATCTCTGTCTTAGACCACGTCTAAGCATTGACCTACCTACTCATATTTCCCCATTCACTAGACCCCTACTTTGTTTTGCCTTCCCAACTTGACATTATTCTAATATTTCACCATATCTCTTCATAATATACATATAAAAACTATAGGCTTAATTAAGAGCATGTGATTCTGAAAAAGGCTTAAAGAAATAACCCTAAATGCAATATGATTTTGTTTGGTAGTGATTAATTTTTTTTTTTAGTATATAGTTTGCATGGCAATGGGAAACCCAAGCTTGAATTTTTGTCCAAAGATCAATACTTTATTCAAATTGAAGGCTATATGGAATCAAAGAACACATTTTTTTGTAAAATTTCTTCTTATGACACAAATTATTACTTGGGTTTTGTTTTATTTTGAATCTTTGTTTATATTTTCTAAGTTTATGCAGATACCAAGAAGAAAAAAACAATTTTTTAGGGTTATGGTGATTGGAAACCCTAGAAAAGCTTTGACTCTTTTGCCTTTAACCCCAACACTCTTTATAAAAACCATTCAAGGATCTCATTCTTTTCCCCTCTCTTTTGATCAAGAAATTTCAAAGTCAAAACAATCAAACTCACCCAATATGAAGAAGAAGAAGATCTTGAGCTTAGTCATTTGGCTTCTCTTTCTAATGTCTCCCCTTTCCCTCTCTCTCTCTCATGCTCTCCTCCAAGGTATCTACACTTACTTTCCTTCCTTGCAATACAATATCCTTCCTATTCCCGATTTCATTCGTTACTTGTTTTGTAATCTTTGTAGATGGCACTGTCGAACCAGTAATACCTGGTGTAAACGTAGAACTTTCTAAATCATTACTCCGAGAGGTGACTGATCAAGCTATTAACTTTTTCTAATTTCGAAAGGAAATGACCCACTTATTATCGAATTTTGAATTAACAGGAAACCCTTGTGGGATTTGATGGCATTGGGTTGAGGAAAATGGGGAATGGAAGAAAGAGAATAATGAGGAATGATGAGAGAGATGATCAACAAGTTCAAGATAGCTCAAGAATTTCAGGTGCAAACCACTATGATAGCAACTTTGAAGATCAAAAGAAGGATTTTGGAGTCAATAGAAAAAATTTGGGTATCAAAAATTGTAAAAATGGTGATGCTAAGAAGCTCAATCTTGCTGGTTTTGTAACATTTGGTGCAGATTACAAAGGCCCTTTACACCATCCTCCTAAACATAACTAATCACTTAGTTATGTAGCTAGCTAGCTAGGGAAATGAGGAAGAAAAAAACACATTTTTTGTACCCTTTTTCATAGGATCTTTGTTTGGTTTCATGTTATATATATGATTATGAATGAGATTAATTTACAAATTTACACTACCATGAATTGTTCTTCCCTAAAGTTTCAATTTTTATGCAATAATTGCTTCAAAAAAAGTGTCCAAAATCAATACTTTTGTTTGCTGCAGGCAAGAACAAGTCTTTTCAAACATCTCAACCTAACCATCAGGTCATTTTCTTTCCCTCTCTCAAGATAATGATATCAAAGCCAGTTGAACTAATTTTGTTGTTTCTTTTACAGGAGAGTGTCAGCTCAACGGTATCAAAGAACTGGAGGCATTCAAAGAGGGTGTTGAAGAAACAGGAAGATACTCAAAGGCTTGTCAAGGCAGCGAGAGAGATAGCCAATTTGATGCACAGAGACTATAAGGATTGGGCTCACCGCAAGCCACCGATCAACAATTATGAACCTATGCATTAAGAGAGGGCATGCCCTTTTTTAGCTTACAATGCCATATAGATATGCACAAGCACAAGAACCATTAGTAGCATTATTGGATTGTTTGAAACAGATTTCTGTACCATATCAGGGAAGTCAATTAGATTTTAATATTTCTATTTGTATTAGGCGAATTAACGCACCGAAAATATTATGTTTCTCGTTTTCGACTCGATCACGACTTTGATTGTATAATCGACTGTAGTCATTTTAGCATGTTTTATTCTATATTAACGTGATTTTAGAAAAATCTACTCAATGTAGGATTGTTTTAAGCTAAGGATTGCTTAACTATAAAGTTTTCATCATAATTTAATATTTTCATTGTCGTTCTCATTTAAACGTGATCTTAGCTCATTCATGTACTCTCTTTTACAAGTTCGAGTGAATCGTAGATCAAATTCTTTTTTTTATTTAAGAACATAAAATTTGAAATAAACAAAATCGAAACAACAAAGATTGATTATTTCAAATTTTTATGATAAAAGAAAAAGACGATATAGAATCAACGTATCATTTTATATTATTATTTTTTATTTTAATCTAATTAGAAATTCAAAAACTTGTTAATTAGCTAATTAGACCTAATATTTAAATAAATTATGTAATATTAAAATTTTTAATAGTACTAAAAAGTGATAAAATTATGTTTTTTTTCATTAAAGAAAATCAGATTTTTNTTTTTTTTTTTTTTTTTTTTTTTTTTTTTTTTTTTTTTTTTTTTTTTTTTTTTTTTTTTTTTTTTTTTTTTTTTTTTTTTTTTTGTGTATGCAAAGTTTGATAAAATAAAAAATTAATTGAGAAACTTAAAAAAAAATAATAATAATCACCAAACGCTTATATTTTTAAACATTTGCAAATTAAAAAAAAAAACACAAAATGTTCTTAAAATTAAAATTATTCTTAATTACATTCAATACAATAAAGATTCTATTTTCAAATTAAAGATATTCTTGAAAAAAAAAAAAAAGTATTTGGGCCAAAGCCCAGGTGTAAAATCAAGTAGGTGGGCTTTGGGCCCAATTGAGTTATCATAGAACACAAGCAAAATTAAAAAAATAAAAAAAAAATAAAAAAAAAAAGACAAACATCCCACCAAAGTTATCATAAATACATATCATATAACTTAGGAAAATCATGGTTTTAATTAAAGCAACAATATGATCTATTTCCACTTTATTTTAATGCAATTTAATGCAATTTAATATTTTCTAGAAACAAAACACTTTTGCATGCTTTCCCTTTATTCTCATTAGCTTTTTGTGGGTTATGAAAAAAATAATAATAATAATAATAATAATAATTAAAAAAGAAGCAAAAATATTGCCTCTCCAAGAGTGGCAAAACAGAATCTTCACAAATTTAATAATCTCCAACATAATATAAACTTATTTTAGCTATTTATTTCATATTAAAACATTTTTTTGTACTTGTTTATAAAAATACACCTATTAATACCACACTACCACATAATATATTGTCCTTAATGTTAGAACAAATTTAAAGAATTTTTTTAATGTTTTAATGTTTTGTTTTTGTTAACGTCTCGATTTTTATTTTTTTAAAAATTTAAAACTAATATATAATAAGAGATATCGATAATTATGAGTCGTGAATATTTAAGTTCATGATTTCATACCAATTATTTATTTATAAGGTAAAAGTTTTCTTAAAATGATTTCTACCAAATACTTTCAAATAATTAAATTAAAAGACAAAAAGATATGGAATTTATTTGTGTTATATAAAAAAAGGGAAAATAATGAGATGTTGATTATAGTCAACAAAAAGGCTAATCATTCCATATTTGTCCCACAATAAATGGGAAAATAATGAGATTTGATTTATAGCCAACCTATATGCTAATCATTTTTTATCATACTGTTTTAAAATAATTAAAAAAAAATAACCCGATAAGAAATAGAGGGTTGTGTTGGGTTGAGTTGAATAATGAACTCAAATTGTTCCGATCACTAATAAAAGATGTTTTCAATCCAATTCAACTATAAAATAGTGGATGTGTAGCTACTAAGATTCATAGAAAACTAAAAGTGGTTGAAAAATTGTTGAATCCAAGGTGAGAAAGAGGGAAAAATCTAAGAAGCTATAAAGCCATAACCACAAAGTTGTCCATCCATCCATGAGGAAGAAAAAAAGAAAAGGGGTTTGGTATCATGTGATCGCCCAACTTTGAAGTTTTAAAGGCAAAAAGGTACAATCTTCTGCTGCTCGTCAAAGCTCCATCCTTTATTACTTCGTCTTGTCCAAAATCATGTGGTATCTCGCGTAATGTCCTAAATCAGTGCTCCCAGGAAAAAGAATAGACCCTTGCTTGATCTGCTTTGCGCGTGCCAGTTTGCTCTCCCCACTGCCCCTTCTCCTTCTGTCTTGCTTCACTCACTCCACCCTTCCACTGCTCTGCTCCTTCCTCTTCCCGTAAGCTCTGTGGGGGAGAGAGATTTAAAGGGGCAATGAAAGGGAAGGGAGAAATGGTGTTGAAATCAAGGATGAAATGGGTTGGTTTGGTGGGTATTGTTCTTTCAGCGTTTTCCCTCTTCACCCATTTCTTTCTTGCTAGATTTACTCAAGAGGGTATTTCTGAGTTTCAATCCTCTGTTACAATCTTCTCGTGGAGACCCGTTTTTGAACATGCAGTTTTCCCCCCCAATGTAAGATCTCAATCTCTCCCTCTCTCTCTCATTTTTGTTCCTGGAGATCTTTACTTCTGGGTTTCTGCTACGATTTAAAAATAGCTTCAAATCTGGGTTCTGGGTTGCTCTGCTTCGTTTATTTTCTCATGAATTTATGTCCGGGATCTTGTTCTCCCAGCTTATGTTTGTTGTTGTTGACTGGTTCAGAGTCCTTTGTTTAGACGGCTTTGGGGCCCTGTAAGGCTGCTGGAGTCTTTGCATCCTGATGCTAATCCTAGACAACATTATCCTGGTATGCCCTCTTCCTGCAGCTTCACTTGCCTCTTTACACTTAGAGAGCTTGAATTAGTTTTAAATCTTCATTGCCTTCTGAAATCACGTGTTAGGTTAGCTATTGATGTTCGTAATAGGTTTAGATTTTTATTGAAGTTATGAACCAAAAATTTACTGCAAGGACCAGAGTACTTTTTATGCAATGTTTAAGGGCTGACCATTGTATTTAGATAGTGTTGGGACTGAAAATAGACAGTTTAGAAGTTTGGGGACTAATTTAAAGCCCTTGAGCCAAGTTAAATTGTCTTAATCTTTAGTTTAAGTTATGCTTTCGTATATAATGTTCTTGTAAGATCCCACGTTGGTTAGAGAGAGACGAAGCATTCTTTATAAGGGTATGGAAACCTCTCACTAGTAGGCATGTTTAAAACCTTGAGGGGAAGCTTGGAAGGAAAAACTTAAAGAAGACAATATCTGCTAGCGGTGGGCTTAGGCTGTTACAAATGGTATTAGAGACAGACACTGGACGATGTGCCAGTGAGGAGGCTGAGCCCCAAAGGGGGTGGACACCTAGTGGTGTTCCAGCAAGGACGTTGGGTCCCGAAGGGAGGTGGATTGTAAGATTCCACATTGGTTGGAGAGGGGAATGAAACATTCTTTTTAAGGGTGTGGAAACCTCTCCCTAATAGACGCCGTTTTAAAACCTTGAGGGGAAGCCTGGAAGGGAAAGCTCAAAGAAGATAATATCTATTAGCTATTACAATTCTATACATTTATAGTTGAGAGTGTTTGCTTCGGTTATGTCTGCATAGAGTAACATTATTTTTTAAGTGATAGTTTTATTTATATTGCTCTTGTGACATCAGAATCTTAGAAACAATATGTTCACCTGTTGTTCTCCTTGATGTGCTTTGTCCATTGCCTTTCAACTATGCAGAGCTGCTTTTAAACTAGTAGCTCCTCCCCTTCCCTCTCGTATCCAATAAGAATTTCGTTAATGACGTGTTTTAAACGATGCATTCCTGAACTAATCATGTCAGCAGATCCCTCATTACAATCAAATGGATTCATCTTTGTTCGGATACAGGGCGGATTCCATGAGATCAGGAATTCGGTAAGGGTGTAATGGTTTGATCTCTTTTATGATATTAATATCAGGTTATGGTAGCAAATTGAAGGAATTGCATGCTTCGTCTTCTAGATTTGTGATGTTGTTGTCGTTGCTCGGCTACTTAATGCCACCTTAGTAATTCCCGAGATTCAATCGACCACGAGCAGCAAAGGAATCAGGTTTGAACTGATATGATTTATCTTACTACTACTTTTCATGGCTTGAAAAAGCAGTTTTTTAATTGAAGTTGTCCTGTTATCTTCATGCAGTTCCCAGTTCAAGAGTTTTGCTTACCTCTATAGTGAGGACCATTTCATCACGGCCTTGTCGAGAGACGTTAAAATCGTGAAGACCCTTCCGAGAAATCTTAAAGGTGCTCGGAGGAAAAAGGAGATCCCGCGATTTAAAGCACCTTACTTAGCATCTCCTTATTTCTATCGGCGCCATGTACTTCCTGTTTTGAAGAAGCACTTGGTGGTTGAACTAGTTGTCTCTGATGGTGGATGCATGCAGGTAAGGAATGCTCTTTGCACTCATTCTTTATATTTGCAACTTTCTCTTGATTAGATATGCTGAATACACATTCTTAACTTGTATTATGATGTTGTGGGATTTATGTTGAATTCATTACACAGCCCACCGCTAGCAGATATTGTCTTCTTTGGACTCTCTCATTCGGCTTCCCCTCAAGGTTTTTAAAACACGTCTGCTAAGGAGAAATTTCTACACCCTTATAAAGAATGCTTCGTTCTCCTCCCCAACCGACATGTGATCTCACAATCCATCTCCCTTCGGGGCCCAGTGTCTTTGCTGGCGCTCGTTTCCTTCTCCTATCGATGTGGGACCTCCAATCCACCCCCCTTTGGGGCCTAGTGTCCTTGCTAGCACACCGCCTCGTGTCCACCCCCCTTCAGGGCTCAGTCTCCTCGTTGGTACATCGTTCGGTTTCTGGCTCTGATATCATTTATAACAGCTCAAGCCCACCGCTAGCAGGTGTTGTCATCTTTGGGCTCTTCTCTATTAGGCTTCCTCTAAGGTTTTTAATATGCATCTGCGAGGGAGAGGTTTCCACAACCTTATAAAGAATGCTTTGTTCTCCACCCTTGTAAAGAATACTTCGTCCTCCTCTCCAACCGATGTAGGATCTAACAGAAATTGTTTCTTAGTAGAAGAAAAAAAAAAAGTTTTTGAACGTTGTAATTTCTAAAGAAATCGACCTTTTGGTCAATATTCTTTCATTTTCATTTTCCATGAACGCTTGGTTTTTTCATTACAAAATTGCTTCGAAACTCATTGATTGTACTCGTTTAGGCTGTCCTTCCGCCTGATCTCGAAGAGTACCAGAGATTGAGATGTAGAGTTGCTTTTCATGCTCTTCGATTCAGAATGGAAGTTCAGGATCTTGCCACCAAAATTCTGCAGAGGTAAATATTTGAAATATTTTGAACTGTTCTTGAAACTGTTCTTACACCTAACTTTGCATGTAGGCTTAGAGCTCCAGGCAGGCCGTTCATAGCCTACTATCCTGGGATGACACGGGAGGCATTAGCGTATTACGGTTGTGCTGAACTGTTCCAGGTACATTATTTGAATCTTGTTTACATAACATATGCGTTTTGGGATCTATTATTGACGTTCATATGTGCTTTTGATTCGAAATGAAATCCAGGATGTACATAACGAGCTCATTGAGCACAAAAGATCGTGGATGCGAAGGCGCGGGATCATCAAGGGGAAGCTTTCAGTGAATTCTGAGGAGCAACAACTCAATGGTTCTTGTCCTCTAATGCCAGAAGAGGTAAGCAATAAGGTCAAGCTGATATTGTTTGGTTCAAATGGTTAGATCGAAATGGAGAAGTAATTTGTTGCTTGTCGATCGGCAGTGCTCATGGATATCCTCCTTTTATAGGTCGGAATTCTTCTCCGAGCTCATGGATATTCATGGGACACCATTATATATGTGTCGGGCGGAGAAGTTTTTGGTGGACAAAGAACCTTGATTCCTCTCCATGCTATCTTTGAGAATGTTGTGGACAGGACTTCCCTTAGCTCCCCATGGGAACTTAATAGGCTTTACGGTCGCGAGATTAACGTCGATAGCAACTATCCAAGGTCTCCACCTTCCATTTCGAAGGAGCAGAAGCCTGATGCATGGAAGACAGACGGACCACGTCCTCGTCCATTGCCACCACCTCCGGCAAGGCCAAAGTATCCACATAACATAGAAGGCTGGTGGGGTTGGGTAGCTGAGAGTGACATTGAGCCTGAAAGTACTGTGATGGAGTTGAGAACCAATGCCCATAAATTGCTTTGGGAAGCTATAGATTATTTCATATCCGTTGAAGCCGATGTTTTTATCCCTGGTTTCGACCGTGATGGCAAGGGGCATCCAAATTTTGCGAGTTTGGTGATGGGCCATAGGCTTTATCAGTCAGCTTCCCTTAAAACATATCGACCCGATAGGTATCGTCTTCGCTATATTCATGTATTTGCCAATGGTCAATGATTAAGGATTCATTGTTTTCTTCTTCATCCTCATTGTCAATGCAGAAGAGAAGTGGCAACTCTGTTAGCAGAAACCAGAGACCACCTATATCAAGCGAACTATACATGGCTGAGATCGATCCGTCGACATCTAAGAAAATCAATACTTGATGGACTTATGGAGGCATCGACAACATCAAAATCGATATCGTTTCTATCTCATCCAGTTCCCGAATGTTCTTGCTCGAGACAGGACCCAGCTCAATTGCAAGCTCAGGCTGGTGGTGGTCTAGGAGCTGTGCAGCATTGTCGTGGTTGGATGCGAAGCGAGTCGGGAATGCAATCAAAAGATAAGCAGAATGAAGAAGATGGCGACGAAGATGATCCAACGTCGGAATTGTTTTTCAAGTACAGTAGCGAAAACCAGGTGGAGGGAAATGGAGATATGAACAGCAAGGAAGCTATTCTGTTGAATGATCAAGAAGAACTTGATGGAGGAGAGAGATAGCCATTGATAGCAACAGTTTTGTAAATTTTCTTTGTTTTTAAGACAATATTTGAAAATGGTGAAATTTTAGGTTTTATCTTATTTTTGAGATGTCCGTCATCCATTATAGATTCCAGGCCTAAAATCCCTAATTCTTGATTAGGGGTAAAATAGTAATTTAATAGGGTTTAGATGGGCCTGAGCCCAAAACGGAGGCCCAAACCTAGGCCCAAGGAACTGTACGGTATAGATTAGCAGGCAGGCACCCTCAACTACCAACAGAAACCTTTCAATAATTTCAAATTAATTAAATATTACCAAAAAAATTAAATTAAAAAAAAAAAAAAGGAAGAAAATTCAATTTCAATTCAGTTGTTGACCACCTCCTCCTCTTCTAGGGCTTCCATTGCCCTCCAACTCTCTACTCTCACCGTTCTTCTTCTGTTACTCGGCCCTCCGGATTCTCCACGACACTTCTCCTTTTCCATTTCTGCTCCTCGTCAGCTTCTTTCTTCTTGAGCAATCATAATCTTCAATTCGAGGCACTGTGTTTTTGTCACTGGATTCCGATGAAAACTTCCAAGTCCGTCCAGGAACGCTTCGAAGACGATGGCAACGGTATTTGATTTTTTTTATTTTTTTTATTTTTAGGTTCTTTCTCTCTCTCTATTTAATTTCTGGGTTTTGAATTTTGATTCTTGAGTTTTTTGTTTACAAGAAATGAAATGTTTCGTGGGTTTGATTTTGTTTGGTGGTGTTAGGAGAATTGGGAGTAAAGATTGAGGGGAAGAGTGGGGACAGCAAGGCGAGTGATCATCGGTCTAAACATTCAGAGACTGAGCAGCGGAGGAGGAGTAAAATTAATGAAAGGTATGCTGCTGCTGCCTAGACTTAAACGTCTACTGCAATTAATTAGTAAAAAACGATATTTTTTTTCTCAGCTTTATGGGCTGATACGATCAGCCTAACAGAGGGATGTTTTTTTTCCCTCTCGTTTGTTTTTCATCTTGCGTAAATGCTGTAAAGGAACCACTTTTTTTCTTCTTCTTCTTTTCAGTTAGGAGTGAAACGTTGATTAAAGAGTTAACCATTTTGTTCAAGTTTTAAGTTCTTGGATAGTTATTTTAAGTGAACAAAGGATGAAGCGAATTGTTATGTTTTCTCAATTAAATATGTGAGATCGTGGATGTTATAGTACTTCGCATATTTCTGCCTCATTTGAATATTTATTGGAAGTCTCTACAAATTTCGCGTTGTTCAGGATTGTTGTATGAACAGTAGGACATTGACTTGCCACATCCTTGCTTTCACGGAGTCATTTTTATGAAAATCATTTTCTTAATCCTCCTTTAGATGCTACAGAATTTTGCTCCTGGAAATGATATGTAAAGAGTTCTGCTTGACCTCATGGCTAATCTTAGAACAGATTAAAGGCTTAGGTCCCGTTGATAACCATTTGATTTTTAGTTTTAATGTTTAAGTCCCCATCTATAACGATTTGGATTTTTAGTTTACTGTTTCTAAAAATTTGGCATGTTTACTCACAATTTCTTTGGTATGTTTTCACTTTCTTTTAAAGCATTTTTCAATCCTTAGCAAAATTTCAAAAACTACTTGTTTTTAGTTTTCAAATTTTGGCTTAGGTTTAAGCTTGATTATTAAGAACAGAAATTTAAAAGCAAAAGAGTTATCAAACATATCCTTAGTTTGTAGGTATTTCTCTTTTCAGTTTTATATGACTTGGTGTTCTCAGATTTATTTGGATCTTGGTAACATTCTCATGTTTTATGAAATATTGTATATTCTAATGGGGCAGATTTCAGATTTTAAGAGACCTCATACCTCAGAATGACCAAAAAAGAGATAAGGCTTCATTCTTGTTAGAGGTATATCTATATATTTGTAGAGTACATTGCCAACCCAACCCGTCCTAGTTGTGAGATTCCTTTAATTAGATAAATTCATCTTTGATATATTTTACTTCAGGTAATAGAATACATTCAGTTTCTACAAGAGAAGTTAAATTTGTACGAAGGGTCGTGCCAAGGTTGGAGTCCGGAACCTTCAAAATTGATGCCATGGGTATAATCTTCATGTGACTATTGTTTTTACTTTGTCATCCGCCAGCTTGAGTGGCTTTCTTGCTTCTTTTTTCTAGACATTGAGTTAGTAAAGGTTTTAAATATGCTTTTAATGTAAGGAACTCTTTCAGTATACTGGTTCGTTTGAGAATATGAAAATCATGAATAAACATGTACTCTTTTTTTATTTGTCATCCGCCAGCTTGAGTGGCTTTCTTGCTTCTTTTTTCTAGACATTGAGTTAGTAAAGGTTTTAAATATGCTTTTAATGTAAGGAACTCTTTCAGTATACTGGTTCGTTTGAGAATATGAAAATCATGAATAAACATGTACTCTTTTTTTATTTGTCATCCGCCAGCTTGAGTGGCTTTCTTGCTTCTTTTTTCTAGACATTGAGTTAGTAAAGGTTTTAAATATGCTTTTAATGTAAGGAACTCTTTCAGTATACTGGTTCGTTTGAGAATATGAAAATCATGAATAAACATGTACTCTTTTTTTATTTGTCATCCGCCAGCTTGAGTGGCTTTCTTGCTTCTTTTTTCTAGACATTGAGTTAGTAAAGGTTTTAAATATGCTTTTAATGTAAGGAACTCTTTCAGTATACTGGTTCGTTTGAGAATATGAAAATCATGAATAAACATGTACTCTTTTTTTTATTATTATGAAACTGTGAACAAACACTTAAAGGCTGCCCTTTTTTTACTTTTGACAGAAGAATTATAGAGCTTCTGAAAATTATGTTGATCATTCTCAAGTGATAAAGAGTGGTTCCAGTCGTGAGAATGCTGTTTTCTCCCAACCAATGCTAACAAATGCATCAAATGTGATGGACGCTGACTTGGGTCCCGCGGCAGTATTAAATGCAGTCGATCATGCTCTTGTCTCTGCTTCTCAAGAACTCCCCATGAGCATGCGTGCACAACCAGTTGTGTTTGACTCGGTTGGAAGAGGTAGTTTATCAACTGAAACTTTGGATGAACCTGCATCAGGATCAGAGAACATCTCTTCCAAGACCCAGACTGAATCGTTTCAGGGCAGAACCTCTACCAGCACAGGTTTTCCAGATTCAGTCAGAACCTCTACCAGTACAGGTTTTCCAGATCATGCTGTTTGTGATCGGGAGGATCTGACCATGGAAAGTGAACTGGAGAGTATCTCAGGTGCCTATTCCCATGGGTGAGCATCTGCCTCGCATTTTCTGTGATGTAACGTATGATCTTTCTTGATATAAAATCTGGAAGATACAGTCTTTTTTCTTCTTTATATATGTTCACATATCATGGTTTAGTAATCATAAAAATGTATAGTTGCATTGCTTGAGGGGGGAATGAGGCTTTGTTGTAATTACCAGCATTTTCTTTTTTTAAAATGTTCTCATAGGGCTGGAATTTTTCTGAACTGTATTTTAATTCATGTTAGCCATTTCCCTTTAGTTTTCTTTTATATTGTCACTGATATTGTTTCTGTCTCGAACAGGCTACTGAATACCTTGACCCAGGCGCTGCAGGCTTCAGGCGTTGATCTGTCACAGACCAACATCTCAGTGAAAGTTGATGTTGGAAAACGAGCAAATAGAGCGATGTCCATGTCCGAGGTATATAACCTTTACCTCTGTCTTTTAAAGTCTTCTCTTTCACTTGCTAGTTTAATCAGCGCCACATTGTTTCTTCTTTACATGATCGAAGATATTTCACCAGGATGACAAAAAACAATCTATGAACAATCAAGTGGTGGCAGAGAGTTTACATGGCTGCTTCTCTGAGAACACAGAACAAGCTCACAAGAAGCTTAGAACAGGGGTCTAGTGTGTTCTTCCCTTGTTCACTTCCATCCTTGAGTGATATTATTCAAATTTTTTCTTTAAATGGGTGGTGGGTTTAATCCTGGCCTTGTTTTTTTCCCAGGTCATGGTCTGTTAGCAACTGGGATGTCTTTGATTGTACATGTCTTTCTCCTTTGTCCCAGCTGCAATGGTATAAGGTTAAGTTGAGATAGAAAAAGCTTGCATTTTCTAATGTCGTGTACTTGTAATTTTCCAGATTAATGAGAGCCCCAAGAATATTATTAGTTGCATGGTTGTCAAAACATTTCTTGATTGGACTCTGGAGCTTCAACGAGTTGCCTGTAATGGTCGATCGGTTTGTGTGGGTGGTCGAGAAAGACAACAAGAGCCCGATCACGGAGGGTCACCGTCGAACTGAAGATCGAAAATAATCCAAGGATAAAACCTATATTCTACGTACTTTATATACATCAAAGGAAAAATAACCTAACAGTTCGTAAGTATGAACTGGAGTCTTAAACCTTCCGACTCGAGAAAAAGAGTAAACGTTTATGAAAATGAATTAGACCTAAATATATTGGTTAATGAGCATGCATAGAAAGTTTCAATTGCCTATTTGACCCATAAGTGGAACAGAGTGGGGTATTTGTGAAGTCAACATAAATGGACATTGCCAAACAACACATCATTGAATGAAGGATATTTTGACATAAAATGTGAACAACATACAAAATATTGTGAGATCCTATCGATCGAGGGTTTCATTTTTTTTATAAGGGTGTGAAAATCACGAACGTAATTGGATCGAAATGAAGGCATTAAAATACCCATCAAATTTTTTTTAGGTAAATGTGCATCTTCACTCTGTCGGTCTAGAAACTTAATAGCAGTGAGTGAGTGGTTGAGTAGTGCAAAAGTTATGGTTAGGCCAAAATCAGCCCACCATTATAATTTCAGCTGCCTTGTGAAAAGTGCATCCTTGGATCACCCAACCAACACTTTTTTTAATCCTTTTCCTCTCTCCTTTGGATCACCATTGTGCTCTCTTGGATCACTAAGCTCTTTGAAATCTGGAATTTCTCACTTTCTCTCTCTACAGATTGAATTCATAAGACTTTATTGAAAGATGGGTTAAATGGGGAATAGTGAGGTATTGAGTGCAAAGTGGGCTATGTTGACATTAATGTCACTCATTAATACTTCTGTGAGTGATATGATACCCAATGTGAGTATCACACAAAGTCAACATAAGGTTTGAACTGCAAATCTTGCAACTTTTGTGAGTTCTTCATCATGCCTAACCTATTGGGTTGCTACCCACTTTACAATATTTCATATTCATCCTCCTACTTACCCAATAAGAAAAAAAAAAGGTTGAATTTGAGGGAATGCAGCTTCCTTTGTTAGTGCTCCCTATCAGTCACTTCGAAATTCTAGTCTTTGTTAGTTCAAATTCGTTTAGTTAGTGGAACAATGATGTGGGACCTCCAATCCACCGCCCTTCGAGGGCCCAACGTCCTTCTTGGCACACCGCCTTGTGTCCACCCCTTTCGGAGTTCATTTTCTTGTTGACACATCACTCAATATCTAACTCCGATACCATTTATAACAGCCAAAGTTCACTTTTAGCAGATATCGTCCTCTTTAGGTTTTCCCTTTCGAACTTCCCCTCAAGCTTTTTAAAACGCATATGCTAGAGAGAGGTTTCCACACCCTTCTAAAAAATGTTCGTTCTCCTTCCCAACCGATATGGGATATCACATTTCGAGTGCCATCTAACAAAGTTGTTAGAATATAAAGATGTGAGAGGGACGGAAGAGTTGATTATCTCACTTCAAAGCTTGATGTTGACAAAGTTGAAGAATGTGAAAATTTTTGGGCGATCCATTTATTTCCTACTGTTACAAATTTTACTAAATCTAAACTTACAGCGAAGAGGAGAGGCTTTGTGTTCTTGAGAACTCATATTTATTAGTAACTTCAAGTCAATGATATCAGCCAAAAGCCTCTCCTCTCCTCCATTCTAAAACTACATGGATAACTTCTCTTCTCAACTGATATACAAGTTTTAAAATCCCCTTTGATGATGATATCATGAGCTTCTCAATGGCTCTTCCCATGCTTCCAAACATTCGTGCGGATTTGTATAGAAATAATCTTCTTCCTTCGGCCTATCTGGAATGACAACTCGTTTCTTCGAGCTCCCGTCGCGGTTGGAGTGAGCTTCCTTCATAGCTGAAGAGAACTCGTCCCACCCTAACAATCCGTTGTCGTACTGATCGATTAAGCTAACAACCAATTTTCTGTCTAGAAGAATGGTCTTTTTGTACCCCAAGAATCTGAGAGATTAAAAAAATTTAGAACAAACACGAATCCTCGAGATAATTCGAGAAAAACGTCAAGGAAAACACTCTATATTGCAGTTGTTGCTTACCGACGATGTCCTTCGACGACTTTCGCCATGTTCCCGTCATAGGTAGGAACGAAAATGTCACTCTCCAATGAGACGAGATAATCCAATGCAGCCATCTGTGATGAATGATTCTGAAAGAACCTTAAATCTGATGGTTTCAGCAGTGTCTCTTTTCTGACCTGTGTTTGAAGAACAAAGCATAAACTTTGAGAGCCTATAATTTACATCATTCAACTACAAGTTTCATCAACTAACCAGATTAGGGAATGCAGATGCTAAACTTTCCATCCTTCTATCTCCACCATATATTTCTCCCGAAGCGATATAGATTTGAACATTAGGATCGATCCCGAGCGCACTTAGAACTAGCGAAGTTTCCTCGGGAGTCAATGGACACAAACCTTCTTTCCTTTTCAGTTCCGAATCAATGACTTTCTCCTTCCACCACGGATAAGCATATCTTAACAACAACCATGGAGAATTCGTCAAGAAAAAGTCATCTCGAGTATACAAACCAAATGTTCATCTAACGAAACAAAAATGGCAATACCTCATTCTTGTAAGTTCGTCGACTTCGTCATTGTTGCAACCTCGAGTACAACCAGAGAAGGCTAGCATATCCATTTCATATCTAAGATGAAGCACCAAGAAGGGACCTTTATTCCTCAGCATTTGAACAACCTTTCTTCCCAGTTCCTCAATTCGGGAAGTAAATCTCAGGGCGTTAAAATTTACCCGGCAGCGCAGTTTTTGAAGCTCGATCGGCAGTCTATTATTGGCAAGTCGAGCATCAGTTTTATTCAAATGTACAACTTTATACTTCTGAAACAATGGAAGAATCTGCAATCGAAGAAGACCATGATATCAATCAATCAATCAATCAAGTAATAGAGAGCTCCAAGAGTCTCTCTTGTCATGAACATGAACTCAACCTGATTATGGTAATATGATATGTTGGACCAACTAATAGGCGACAATGAGTAAATCGTTTTCGATTCAAATCTTCGTTCGAGCCTCAGAGGAAGCTTTCTCAATATCCGAACTTCATCTCTCAATGACAATACGAAATGATCAATATCGAAAACGTCTTCAAAGTCACTGACAAGAAACAAGACACAGATTGCAGCTAAAACTAAATGGTAAACTTGAAATAAGAGATGGAATGCATTGTTCACAAACATACCTGGGATCAGCCCAAAAGGAAGTTTTATCCAAATTTGGAACAATCAGAGTAAGATTTAAGTATCTAGCAATGGCAACCATGTCACAGATCTACAAACAATGGAAGAATTCACAAACGACAATCAAAAAACAGAGAAAACAGGGAAAACAGGGAATTAGCAGTTCTTAGTGAAAGCAACTCACAGCTGCTCTCATTTGGTTGAGTCCTCCATTGCAAGAAACCATGAGATAGCCATTGTTCCTGTAAATCCCTGTGAAGAACAGATATTATAAGGAACAGATATTTGAAAAGATTAAGAATTAGATGAGCTTACTTTTTGGTGGAAGAAAAACATTGTAAGGAAGAGAAGAAGAAGATTGAAGAGGCATAGGAGAATCAAAATGGAAGCAACGAGAGGGCCAAGTTATGAAGAGCTTTGGTCGCCATAGCTCTCCTAAAGCCATAAGATGAACAAAACAAGTCCATAGAAGCACTGTTGTAATTGCCCTCGTCATCCATAACTTCATTCTCGACCTCGAAATAGATATCGAGTTCTTCAACTTCTCAACCTTTTCTTCATCAGAAAATCTAAACCCCATTTTCCAATCACAACTGTTATTACACTTCTGATCGGATTCCTTCATTTTGCACATTGTGAATTGAAAACCCAAATCGACCCACTTCCCAAAAAGCTCTAAATTACAAAAGAAAACAGTGAATCGCTATTTTGAACACAAAAATTTCACTAGAAAATGGACTCCATCCCGAAATTGGGGTGAAACCCAGAAGTAAATGGACACAATTAACTGCATAGTTTTGCTCTAATGGAACCAAAACATGGGGGAGAAAGCTGAGTGAAAGAAATTGTGGGTTGTTTTGAGGAAAGGAGGTGAAATTGAGAAGTAAAAGAGGGATGAAAATGGGTTTGATTTGGAAGGAGTAGAAATAGAGAGAAGGAGAGATGAAAAGCCATAAATCAAGGCGGACCCGTTGCTTTTGGAAAGGATTTGAGAAAGAGAGGAGAGGTCATCGTCATGGCTGAATTGAAGCTGTAAATATTATCAACTTTGGATTGCTTGTTTTCTTGCCAATAGCCATTCACAATTGACAGCCTTTTCCCCCCTCCTTTTTGTTGTTGGGAAGCTTAAATTTTGTAGCTTTATATATATATATATAAATTAAAAAAAAAAAGGCATTTTTCAAGTACAATAATGTTGGAAGGAAATGTTTTATTAAGGTTTCTAATGATATGAAATGTTGATTACATGTATACTTTGTTTTGATTAGCTTTTTAATGTTTTAAAATTTCAATTATAGTCTCCCTTTTATAAATCTTTATTAAATAATTTTTTTTTTTTTTTGTTTTATCTCCAAGTTTTGTTTAAGATATATGAGAATAAAATATTTAAAAATTAAAAATAATTGTGTTTATCTAACTGTTTTATTATAATATCAGTTAATTTTAGATAATTAATTGTTATTATTTTTTTTATTTATTAAGTCAAATATTTAACATATCGAAAAAAAATTATAAATTATTTTTTTTAAATAATATTTGTTAATATAACAAAAGTAGAAATGAAAACTAAAAGTACTTAAATCTTCGATCTAAAGAAAAGAATAAATGTTTTAATAATTGTTATATAAAAGAAGAATTAAATAGTTTGAAGACAAAGAAACAGATGGCCTATTAGCTCAGTTGGTTAGAGCGTCGTGCTAATAACGCGAAGGTCGCAGGTTCGAAACCTGCATGGGCCATTTATTCTTGATTACCATCTTTTTTTTATATACCATTAGATATCTGAGCTTTTTTGATTGCTCCAATGGCCTAAATTATGAAACTTTTATTTTGAATCCAAATAAGTAATATTACCAAACTTCAATCCTTAATCAAACTTATTTAACGTACTCTACACGATCACTCATTACCCCAACAAAAAAAAAAAAAAAAAAAAATCCAATCTTTAACCAATCATCCATCATCCATCATCATGGGCTCTGATTCAGTTCTGAAGAAGTTTCCTCCGGCTGCAGAAACGGCGGAGGCCGGAACGGGTTCGGAATCTCCGGCTGCAGCGGGTTGGGTGGAACAATCGGTGGGAATAGAAGCTGAGGGTTGTTGAGTTGTTTGGATTTGAAAATGTCGGTCTTCTGATTGCAGAAAGCGGGCTTGAAAGTGAAGAAACCAGCTGAGAAAATTCGGACGCCATTTTTGTTCTTTGAGTTCTTCAATTTGAGAGCAGGGGAAGTTGCAGAGGAGGCTACAGAGCAGAAGGGTTCACTGCTTTTGATAAGTCTTACATTACAGCTTTCGATTTTTTTCATGTGTTTTGCCATTGAGAATGGCAAAACTACTCTGAATTTGCCATGTTTGTTTGTTTTGACTTGATGCTGGAAACTGGTTTTGGAGGCTTTTTCGTCTCTGCATTCTACAGCAACTGTGGCGCCTGCAATCAAGTAGTAATAACAAGGATCATATGTGGGTGGAGACCAAATCAATGCCTTTTAAACTATGGGATCCAAAGATGAAGAAAAAACAGAGTACCTGGGATGAAATGGGCAAACTTGGAGAGATTTTGCTGATAACAAGTGTCACAGAAAACAGAGCCAACAAGAACAGCCGGAGGAGGTGGAAGAGCCTTCTTCCGAAGAGGCTCAGAGAAGCCACTGAAGTTGAGGTTCAGAAACAAAACTAACACAAACAAAAACCAAACCATACTCGAAGAAAACACCCCTTTAAAACAAGAATTTAATGACAAATAATAACATGAACCCTCTTACTATCTTTCCTTCTCTAAATTTTCATATGTTTGTCTTCTTTCAACTCTGCTGGAAGCTCTGAAATGGGAAGATAGATATTAAAAGCACTAAAACGCCAAGGCTGGAGTTGTTATTTATGAGTTTCAGGCCAAAAGTTAGTGTGAACTGCAAACTAGAAGAAGTAAATGCAAAACAGAGAGAAGGAGGACCCTGTTGGTTCACGAGACAAGTAGAAGAACCACACAAGTTCCTTCTTTTTTCTTTTGGGTCTCATCTCATCCATAACTTTATTACTTACATTTCTATCTTACGATCAATCTCCACACACATTAATCCTCTCTTCTCTGCTCTTGTTCGTATTTATCTTCTTTGCTTTTTACGAGAGTTGGGTAGCAGAGTCATTCGAGTTATACAACGATTAGAATTAACGAGACTTTGTTCTTTGACTACCTTATGTTTCAAGAACCATTGTAACCTAGCATCTACCATTCGTGAACAGATGTATTTTTCGACCAAAAGATAATTATAGTCAGTCAAGACCTCATAAGTACATAAGATTGCTCAGAGAGTAAATATAATGCTCAAGCCCATTGTTAATAGATGTTGTCCTCTTTAGCCTTTTCCTTCCGAGTTTTTCCTCAAGGTTTTTAAAACGTCTCGCTAAGGGGAGGTTTCCACACAATCCCACAGCAAACTTGCCAACCTGCATGAACACATCCCTATTTCATAAGTAATCAGATTTCTTTGCTGAAGGAGATTCTTTGGAAGAGTTTGTATTTGAGGTAGGTGTTACACGGGTGAAAACTCCAAAAGAGCAAACATGTTAAAAACTAGAAAGAAAGGCGCCTTGGAGGTGAAATATGACCATTAATCACACAATAAGTAGAATTACAATCAGGAATTGCTATGGTGAAATATCACACTATCTTAGATACAAAATGAGGGACTAAAGCAACTGGAAAAACAACGAGCAGCAAAAACTCGAGCCAGACGTCGCCTGCAAGTGACCAACTTATGAGACATAGTATTGGAATAAGCAGCACATAAAGATTTTATAAGAAGCAGGAGTTCTAACTGTATGTCCATCATGAAAAGCATAGAGATATTGGCCATTGCACTCTTCAACTCAGTGTCATCTGCATTTCCCTTGCCTAAAATCACACAAGATTTCCCACCAACATTCCCAGACGCCCTGCTTGCAGTTTTATGTGGTTATGAATTTTAACACTAGTGGTACAAAGATACAAGCAAATTGGGCAAATCCGACCAGTTTAGCTTCAATTGAATTGAGAATTCAATGCTTCTTCAACTACAAGAGCTCCTTGTCGTAGAAGGCAAGAAGTTGTTTAACATGATTATGCCAAGCAGCAACATTTTGCCCATCAACAGTGACCCAATCAACAACAGTTGATGCTGGTTGTTCCCACCACTCGTCGAGCTGCATCACCAACCGTGTTATGTTCAATACTTAAGAACAAGAAAAGATTATAAAAAAATTACAAGTTGATGGTCCAATGTCCATTCTAATGATGTAGACATACTCCTAGTCAATCATCAAAATGGAAAATCATGTGCCAACACGAAAATCCAGCAAATAGAGAGTGCGAGAAACCCTATTCACGAGTATATGATGCTTTAGGGCATGTTTGAAAGTTATTTTGGAAGGACCAAAATCACTCCCGAACATGCCTTCACGCATTTCAAACCAATTAAGACCCTCAAAATAGGTGAACAAATAATAGATAAGAATGAAAAGAACGCACTCCAAAAGTCGGGATGTAAGTATCATATCAAATAAACCAAGTGACTTGATAGCAAGTTGCTTCAAAGCAATTATGAACAGAAATAAATGCACAAAGAGCCAAACTAATTGCATATTGATGATACTAATTCAACACAAGTATGTGTGTATATACTATTAAATAGAGAAATTGAGGCGATTCAAGCTGAAAGTAAAGAATGAAAGGAAACTATACAGCACAAACCAGTAACAACAAGTAATTGGAAAGTGCAGATTTAAATAGGCATTCGAGTCCTTACCAATCCCCTGACATATTTGCAATCTTCCATGCTTTTCTGAGCGCTCATAACAGCAGTTCTAAGCTCAGGCAACCATTTCTCTGTGACAGATTTCTCTTGCTCGGTGGCCAAATTTAGGCAATACTTTGTTGTCCTGAAATACAAGATAACAAACTTAACAATCCAAAGTAATGAAGAATAAGAAAGTATTAAACAAACACTAAATGAGAATACGAAGTCTAATGCCGACTCCAATGTTAATTTCTTGCGAGCATTCTTGGAGAAGGAAATGAATATAATATTGCAAAGGTTCATAGTGTAGGTGGAAGAAGCACTGGCTGGAAGGATTGAGTTGGTGAAAACCTTCCCTAAAATCTAAAAGGGAGAAAAGCTCAACGGGGGATGGTTTTTCACTACACTATCATAGTGAGCTCTTCTTAATCACCAAGAACAGGCAGCTTACTGTTATGTAAATCTTCCCCTGGTAGCATATTTTAGTTACCTTTCATAATCTGTCTGAGCCCGATGAGCGTGTTTTAGCAATGCATGACCACTTTCAACCAGATCCTGCCTTATATGAACCAAATTGATTGCTTTAGCCAACTCCTCCAACACACTAGCCTCAGAGCCTCGAAGTTTCAAGCAGAATTCCAGAGACTCCAAAACTGATGCTAAACTAGCATCTGTCCCCTCCAAACCTAATAACACATAGAGTTCAGTTCGAGTAAAGGAAAGGTGTATGATACACCAAATGCATTAGATCATCCAAGCGGTTAGAAAGCATCTGCTACAAATGCTGCAAGTCATGCACATCATCTTTAATAAAAGACTAACATGATACTGACAGAGGTAAACCTACAGAAATCATATTACATAAGAAGTTAATTCAGGTGCCTTACAAGCAATGCCCACATATCAAACATTTTGGGTGTGTAATGTTCCCCTTTATCTGTTCCCAAGTAATTGCTAATTCAATATGCTTGGATTAAGGTCATATACCACAGGTAAGAATCATTAGAAACATAATACTAATACCAATGTATGAGGAAAAGTAGCTCTGCATGTTATGGCTTAGATTATATTGCTCTATTTCCTAAAGAGACCCTCACCAGCTGGATATTGAAGGCAAGCAGAAACACGGCATATAGAAGGTATTGCTGATGGATCTCTAGCACCAGCTTTCGCAGTCAATATGGCAGCATTCTTCTCTGCAGCAGCAACGGCATCAGGTCCTAAAGATACATTTACACCCATGGATTCTAGCAGTGCCTGATATGAAATAATCAAAGAGGTTGTTGATGCATGGTAGAATTTCATGAATAGAATCTGCATATAAATTAACAGAAAAAACTGAGCATATCATAAAGTTTATTAAATTAGTTGACGAACCTGTGGAGTTGATGGAAGCATGAAAAGGGTATTATCAGGACTTCTATAAAAGGCTGAGACCTCGTTATCAATAAGCTCTTTTGCACTATTTGAAATATCAGAAACAACGGTACATGCAGGGATGATGGTGCTTGAAGCATACTCTCTTGCAGCTAAATGTTGCTGATTCCAGAATATAGCAGCATCCTACAAGATTAAGGAAGCCATATTTACGATCGTTTTCCCTTTTTTCTTTTTCTTGTATGTGTCTGTGCGTGTGTGTGTGTGGGGTGGGGGTTGTAGAATAAGCATACAAAGTAGAAAATTAAACTCCTCTTATTAAATATTTAAGCCACCAAATTTCGTTTTAATATGTAAGAAAATCAACAGGCATGCAACTTTACACAGAATTTAATGTTCCGTACTGTATTAGCCTTCAGAAGAGCAGTATATATGGTTTCAAGTTCAGATCTGCGTGCATCGAACTCCTCTATCTTCTTCCACTTCTTTTTCAAAGAATCTTCAGCTTCTTTCCTTTCTGCACATAACTTATTCAAGCGTTGTATTTCTGACATTAGTGTATTCAAGCTAGCCCTCAAGCCAGCAAGTTCTCTCTCTTTAGCCCAAACTTCCAACTGCATCAAAGAAAAACCATCCTTGAAAATAGTTGTGTTTTTTCCCCCTTTAAAGAACTGGAGGATCAAGGTTGAAAAAGAAACAGAAATAACCCTCCAACAAATTATTCAAAGTGGAAAAATGTAAAGAATCCAGAACTTCTATTGCCAGGACTGTAAAAGCTAGAAAGTACTATTACCTCAAATTGTCTAAGACCTCCGACATTTTGTGAGGTCCCTCCAACACCAAGGGAATGAGAAGAAATTACATCACCACTACCATGTAATCGATTTAAAATCTTCTGACACATGTCCCTAGCTTCTGCCGCTTTGTTCAGTGCATCTTCAGTGGCCAAAAATTGTTGTACATGTGCTTTCTAGGGAAAATGTGTTCGCAGATATCAATAAACTTTCGCGACACATAAAAGAAAGACTACAGACTATAACATGAAATCATATTCAAAGTAAGCGAAAAACTTGATTAATAAACGTGATCCAGATAGTTTATAAAATACACTTGTGCAGTACGGAACTCTAACTGAAAAAGAATAGAACCTGTCTTTCAAGAAGTTGATTCTGAGTTCCTTTAGACGGTACATCAACTCCTAACTTGCCATTACCATACAGTTCATAGTGCAGCGGTGAGTTGATATCAGACGATGAGACATCCGTAACTCTATTGTTCTCATACTTGTATCTAATCAAATTATTCAAACAGAGATATTAATTTGACATTACAAAGGAACATGTACATCATACATAATGTCCCAGAAGCACATGCTTATCCATTATGGTTCAGGTCAACCTATACCTTTTGTCCCTATAACTTCCTATATGCATATCATGAGGATGTTAGAACCACCTCTACTATGTAATTACAGTTATTTTTTAGATAATAACTAATATATCATGAGGAGAGAAGATTACAGAAGATGGTAGATATGCTAACTACTCAAAGAAAGAAGTTCACAAAAGAGGACTCCAATTGACTAAGATCATAAAGGCACCGTAATTACAGAACAAACTAAGATTAGAGGCCGAACTTCTTTCTTTTCTATATGCTTCTCTTTCATGATTTGATGCCCTCCACCCGAATCCCTCAAAGCAGGGCTTTAGCCAAATTATAATAAGACCTAGATTTTATTTGAAGCTAAGACCAGCAAGAAGTAGGAAAGTAGCTTCTCTACTGTCATTCAAGAAACATAAAGCAAACCACAGCTAAGTGCCAAACTTCTTTCTTTACTCTTTACTTCTCTTTCATAATTCTTTTATTTCTCACCACCCAAATCGCTCAAAGTAGGACTTTAACACATTAGACAACAAGAACATGAATTGATCCTAAGAGCAGAAAAGAACATATGTTTTCCAAAAGAACCATTTCATACATCACATCACTTGGCGAATAAAAAATATTTGATGAATACATTTTCGAAAGGAACCTCTACATCTTTTGTAATTTTTCTTCATTTTAATACAAACACCAAGTTTATTTCCAAGCAGCAGCCCTCCTTAAGCCCTCCCTAAAATCTGATTATTTCTCCACACCAGTTATTATGATCATACATTGTTGACTGATAATGACACTTGTAAAGTTACCAAAAAGTAAAATAGTCTTGACATAATATTGTGGTTTCAATAAAAACAAGGTTCTTCCTAGGAAAGGTTCTAACTTCTACGACTGTGGAGTGCGACCAGCCTGTCAAATCCAAACTAAAATAAAGAAAAGTGATCCAAGAAGAAAATATTACCTCAAGGTTTCTGCATCAGCTCTGACATCAAATTTTTCTACCTCTCTAGAAACAAGAGTTTTAAGCCGTAATGTGTACGATGTAATTGCCTGAATCAGTTGGGGAGGATGCTTCAGGCAATTAACAATAACAGTTCTAACGTCATTGGGTATTTCCCCGTCAAAATTGATACATAATTTGGCAGCTTCTAATTGTGAGTTGAAATGAATGCCACAGCCTTCATAGGCAGGAAAAGAAGATCGTATCTTTTCAATCATGAGGGTTGCTAGAGATTCACAAGCCTTCCTGATATTTCTTTCCTGAGTAGTCTCAATAAGAATCACATCATCTGCTGACTTACTACCTTTAACGGTTGAATAAACAGCTTCCCTCTCAATATTTGCATTAAAGTTATTAATCACTTCAGTGGAAGAGTCCACACTTGACCTCTGAGCCTCTCTTGCTTGATTCACATAAAACCGTAAACGTTTATGGTACTCTTCAAATATTTTTTCTGCTTCATCACACTGTTGGTCATACGCTTCCAACATCACCTGTTTATGCCTGCACAATCAAAGGGATAAATCAATAAATCATAATTGCCCAAACAATTAACCATTTTGTCCAAATTCTAAGCATCGAGGATATTGCCAACTGAAGTTTAAGAAGTTTAATGACACCATCTCATGTAATTATTCCTGTTTTCTTCAGGTGAACTCTGAGTTCTGGGCATTGGATGAATATAAGGAAGATGAGACTCCAAAATTTGTGTCAATTTTTCAAGGCAGGTTGGCTTTGATTTCAGCAAATACTGCACCAAATTGAATTTCTAATGCAGCTAAACAGATTAGTTTTCTTATTCTAATACACCCAAAAGAAAAAAACCACTTTTTTGAGAAAAACTGAAAGAATACACGAGGGCGATTAAAAAAACGGATTCTAGGAGCAAAAAGAATTAACATTAATAAATTACTGGAAAGGTTTCCAATTCAATAGAATTAAAGATAAAATTTAGTTGCTAAATCCATGATGGTATAGAGACCCAAAGAAAGGCGTTGAACATAGCCTAAGGCCCAAACCTCAGCAAAGATCTCTCATTTAAACCCAAAACTTTATCCAAGAAACTTTCTCAAAGTTAATCTTAAATACAAAACCCTCCAACTAGTGATAGTCGCAATACCAGGACATCATCTAAAATTTATCTCCTGAAGTAAAGGCTCCTTAATGCTCTGAAATAGTGCTGCGGAGGAATTTCTTATATCTTTTTGCTAGAACCTTAGCACTAACCTTATATAGGCAGATGATAAGGCTGATAGGTCTAAAGTCCTACACTCTCTTAGAATGACAACAACCAACCAAACCCTTCATGAAGCCAAGGCAAAAATGATGGACCAAAAATTCCAAAAATTACTCCTAGAAATTCTCTCTGACCGACTCACTCGTGAATGTCCAATGATTCAACAAGTCATAACACAGTGAACCCAATCCAAAAATGTGGCATAACAATAATCACTTCGTCCAAATTCATGCAAATAGTAAACCATATATTAATTAAAGTACGTTGGACGACAGTCTACACAGAATAGTAAAGATATGAAACATGAGTTGTTTTCAATAGAACTATATTGAATCCAAAGTGGACATGACCAGATCCTCAGAAACGAGATAAGATTTTATGAGACCAAGACCATCTGTTCGTCCTTCAAATCCAAACATTAATGTCAACAAAAAAAAAAAAAAAACTAAGAAATGCACCATGGTTCCTAAATTGGCACGAATGGAAAGCAGTAGTCAAACCTGTAATTTGCTCGCTCATCAAGCATCCTTTTGCGCTCAGCCTCCTCTCTTGATACTTCCAACATTCTGGCCTTCAAATCCTTTCTTTGCCTTTTAACAGCATTCCTCATTCTCTCCACCTCCTTGGCTGCCAGTTCCCTCTCCTGCAATGCCACTTCTCGAGTCTCCACCACACTTGAGCTCTCTGCAGCCACTTTATCCTTCCTCCTCCCTTTACCCCTGCCGCCCTCTTCCTTCCCTGAAGTAGCTGACCCTCCACTACTGCTCTCACCTCCTCCACCACCACCACCACCACCACCATGTACCATTATGTTCCTCCTGATATTCTCCACCGTCTTCTCCGATTTCACACGAGTTATCAAAAAATTCCATATGGGTATCATATTTCCTCGACAAACTTTGCGAAGGGCATCGATCGATGGCAACTGTGATTTGCTCGATGCGGTATATGAACCTAGTGGCCGATACCCCATTTCCTTCTGAAGCCATTCGACAATGGCCTCCGGCTGGGCAGTTGAACTATATGAACCCTGCATATTACGGAACTTTCTAGGGTTCCAAACCGATTTTGTAAACTAAACCGCCATACACTTGGCCTTCAAAATCCCAAATGTCTTAAATCCAAATGCAGAAATGGAGATATGATGAATTATATTAGGCAAAACCCATGGCATTCCACTGGGATAGACAGTATGAGCGAGAACTAACAGAAACTGAGCTCTGTAAAGCTCATTGATTTCACACGAAAACTTCGGCCCTTTTGGGGGATAGAAGAGAAATACCTAAACCAGATCGACCCTTTAGTCTCCGAACTGAGAATCACCAACTCGACAATTCTGAGAAGAAGCTACCTCCAATGGCGGAAATCCCCACAAATTCCTGTTTACAGTGAAACCCAGTCTCTGCAACAGACAGTGATTTTTCAAACAATTGGCAATGAAGTTGAAAAAACAAAGACAAAATTGAACAAAATTCAAATCTAGTGTGAACTGGGAGTCGCCGTTCGGTGCATCCGAATTTTAACCTTTGAAGAAAAAAATCTCCCAGATTTTTGGTTGAAGGGTTCAAATCAAAGGTCCCGCTCGTGACATATACGAAATTGCTTTTAGAAAATGGATAGAATTAAAGTTCCATTATATAAAAATTAAGGGAATTTTTTTTTTTTTAATAATTTCTATTTACTCTTCAAATTATAAAATGTTGCTCGACTTTTGAGTTTAGTTTAATTAAATCCCCACTATAATTAATTAAAAATATGGTAATTTTTGTTTATGTTAGGCTAGATACGTTGTAATATAAAATATATTTTCACCTTGTTTAGAATGGCATGTTTGTCTTGTAAACGATGTGAGTTCCGAAATTTATGAAAAATTACGTGCATTACTAAACCATGAATTTATATATGGAACTTCATGCATGTTGTATGTTTATCGATCATCGATTACTTCTCTAATTATGTTCTATACAGACGTTTGTATCCATGTTATTATTCAGTTTCATTCCTCTTTTGTTGGTTTTCAACAGCATGAGTGTGTGCTTACTCATAGTCAGACCCAAAGGTATGTTAATAAACCTGTCTAGTGGGATTCCGTGCATGAACATGAATCATGAGTAGAGAAGTAAAATACATCAAATCCTACTCGTAAAAGAAAATAAAGTTAAAGTAACAATCGTGAATTTAGGTTCCAATAATCATGATATATTTTTTATGTGTATGCATTTTTCAACCCTAATAATAAAGTCACTTACTAAATATTTTTAAATACTCATTGTTTAAGTAACTTTTTCCGGGAAAAGTAAGAGATTGGTGTACGATTGACGACAATGACTTCTGTTGTTGAGGCCATGGACTATGGACAAGAAGGGCTAGCCAACCCATTGCGTGCATGTAGACACATCAAGCAACACGCACAAGTTGTCAAAAGCTAGGAAAAAGAAATGGAAGTAACCACAATTCAATTTTCTTCTAAGAGTTTCAAATGAATTTGGAGTCACATGAGATGTTGAGAAATGAGTATCTACATAACACAATATGGCTTTGTAATTGTGGGGTGGCCAATTGGGTATGGACGTTATTTTGTCTCCCCCTCCCCCATGGCCATTTTCTTTGTTACAATGGAGGTGGTGGTGGTGGTGGTAATGGCAGCTGCTCCCTCGCCCGCCGCCCACTATGGAGAAGACAACGACGGTGCTGTTGCTTTTAGTTGCGATGATTTTCAGTCACATTGCTAAGCATCCAGGCTGGTATTTGGATGTTGGTGCTTGTTGGCCTTGTTTCATCTTCATCTGATCCTGTTGAGCCTCTCCCATCATGCAAGTTTTCTCTGCACATCAAAATATTTAGTCTTTAAGCCAAGGGTTGCTAGGTTGACGTGTGGAAGCTGATAAGGGTTTTGTTCTATTTGATATTTTTCTCTACATGATGATCCAACAACAAAAGGGTTACAACGTCGATTCGATAGGCGAACAAAACATTCTTAATAGACTCGTTTTAAAACTGTGAGGCTGACGACGATATATACCATACCAAAACGAATAATATCTGCTAGCGGATCAAAGCAGGTAATATCTGTTAGCGGTGGGCTTGGCCTGTTACAGCCTAATTCAAACAACCTCTCCTTTATGAACTCTAATGGAGGGTTTATCATTGTTTTTATTTTTCCCCTTTATTGTAACAACTCAAGTTTACCGCTAGCAGATATTGTCCGCTTTGGCCCGTTACATATTATCGTCAGCCTCACGGTTCTAAAACGTGTTTACTAGGAAGAGATTTCCAACACCCTTATAAGAAATGTTTCGTTCTCCTCTCCAACCAATGTGGGATATCACAATTCACTCCTTCGGGGGCTAGCGTCCTCGCTGGTACACTGCCCAGTGTTTGGCTCTGATACCATTTGTAACAGTCCAAATCTACCTCTAGCAGATATTATTCACTTTGTCCCATTACGTATCGCTGTCAGCCTCACAACTTTAAAACACGTCTACTAGGGAGAGGTTTTCACCTCCTATAAGAAATGGTTCATTCCAAGTAGAATTTGACAGTGACAGAAAAGAATGCATACCCAATAAACAAAGAAGGAATTGGGGGTGGCATTGCCAAAATGGGCTGATAAGGAGCCAAGTTTGGGAGCTCGCAGTGTCCACGTTCAACCAAAGCTTTCTCATTCTCCTTTACCTATTTACAAATCAAAATAGCCCATCAAACAAGAACTTACTTAAAATTTGCTGCACCAAATAGGAGATGATGGCCTCTTGTACTTAAACTTATACCTTGTTTGCAAGCTGCCTGTTCTCCTCTTGCAGTTCCCTTTCCTTCAACCATTTACAACCAAAATTTAACCCATAATGGAAGCCATTAGAGTCATATATGCCTCAGTAATAATACCAAATATATTGGTTCAAAAGTCATTCACCTTTTTGTGTAGCAATGAGATAGATTCTTGCATTAGTTGGTTCTGCAACAAAAAAAAGAAAGATGAGATTCATGAACAGGAAGAACTTTGAATTTAAGAGCAGACCTTTCTAGCTCTTATGCGCTTCAGTGATGAATCAAGTTGCTGCTCCAAGCTTTGAAGTTCTCTCAAATTCAAAGGCTCAAGCTCTTCTCCCAAATAACGCCTTCAAACAAAACAAAATAAATTTCTGTAGTTGAAAATGAGTAATGCACAAGAAGTGTTGAAACACCTGATGTTATTCTGTATAATTTCCATTCTGGCTGCAATTTTTGGGTACTCCTCACACCAACTTACCTGCCAAGGGTGCTTACTTAGACACTTGAACCAGTTATTTGGGCGATAAGATGGGTATATATACCTACCAAACTTAATGGTAACTAATTTTTTCTAAGTAAAATACTTAAACTCGAATTGATTTAGTTCTTCTTAAACACGAGTTCCAAAAGAATTCATGGAAATTCAAATTTTATTTGAACTCTTATCAATCCCATGCAATTTAAAGACGGGATAGATGAAGTGTTTGGACAACTTTCACCTGCTTAGAACAAAACAAGACAATCACTGACAACCAAGTTCACTACTAGTAGATATGGTCAGATTTGACTTATTACGTATTGCTGTCAGTCTTGTGATTTTAAAACGTGTCTACTAAGGAGAGGTTTTGTGATGTCCCACGTTGGTTGGGGAGGAGAACAAACCACCATTTATAAAGGTGTGAAAACCTTCCCCTAGCAAACGCATTTTGAAGCCTTGAGGGGAAGCCCAAAAGAGAAAGCTCAAAGAGGACAATATTTGCTAGCGGTGGGCCTAGGTTGTTACAGGTTTCCACACTTTTATAAGAAACGTTTTATTCCTCTCTCCAACCGATGCGGGATCTCACAATTCACCCCTCCGAGAGCCAGTGTTCTCGCTGGCACATAGCCCAGTGTCTGGCTTCGATACCATTAACTGATATTATATGTTTTAGCCCGTTAGCCTTCAACTTCATAGTTTTAAAACCCGTTTTTTTAGAAGAGATTGTGATGTCCCATCTTGGTTGGGGAAGACTACAAACCACCATTTATAAGGGTGTGGAAACCTTCCGCTAGTAGATGCGTTTTAAAGCCTTGAGGGGAAGCCTGAAAGGGAAAGTCCAAAGAGGACAATATCTACTAGGTGGATCTGGGTCGTTACAGAGATATTCATCCCCTTTTAAGGAATGTGTTATTTCCCTCTCACAAAAACATTGTTCTAAATCCAAGACAAGACATTCCAGATCCTAAAACCACTAGGTTGACATTTACAGTTTGTTTGTTTGTTGGTTTCTTTTTTTTTGAACAGTAAGAATGTTCCAAAAAGTAGCAAACTTTCAAACATAAATTGAAATTGAATTTGGTAATCAATAAAAACAGTAAACACGAGAAATGAAAATCAGATACGTTAGTTTTTACCTGTAAATCAGAATCTGCATTTGTGGCCAATGGTCTCTCTGCATAAGAACACCTCTCATATTTTTCCAAGATCTTCTCCATGCTGTTTTTTGGAAACCAAATCAAACCCTTAATCACTCACCTTTTATCATAATCAGTAGCTGTGGATCAGATTTTAGCATAAACCCCAAAAGATGGTTTAAACATTGCGTTGTAGATATCAAATGAGTATTGAAGTGGCACCTTTTCAAGCATTGTATAGGATATTTAGAGACTTTCTCAACTTGTTGGTCATAGTTTAAGAAATCACATAGAACCCTAATCAACTTAACCAAGTATGCTCAACCAACAGGAACCTAATAAATCTTATTATACATACTTCAACTCATAACTAGTTATAAATCCTAAGGATTAACATCACAATGTAATATAATGAGAACGTTCATGAGTTATTATGCTCAAGACATCAATAATGCAAGATAAAGATTTGAACAAAATGTCATTGAAATTATCACACGATGTTGCAATTCATGCTATAATAAAGAAGGAAACAAACTCCATTTATTCTTGGATAGTTACAAATGTTGGGTGGATGATAATTTAGAGTTAATTATGATCATAAAGTATGAAGATTACAAACTCCTATAATGCCTCATGGAAAGTCAAGGGTTTTATCTTGAGGCTACATAATGTCTTATCTCTGTAAAATATAGTGAAAAGAGCATTTTTGCTTTACTATAGCTAATGACTAAATTTCTTTACAATTCTATGTAGTTTAGATTGTATGATTAAAATCATTTAAGCCGGATATAATCAATCTTACTTGTGAAGTGATTCGAAATACTCGATGAACAAGATAATCCAAATCTTATCTCTGATTTCTTATCACTTTTAACTTGTACCGATCTAAAGACATGGGTCGAGAAAAGGGTAACAAAACATAGATTGTCGCCATGCATATCAAATACAAATTCATCTCATGAATAGGAATCGTGCAGTACATGCAAATATATATATATATAAAACCAAGAAATTTGACTCCTTTTTCAGTGTAATTCGAGAGCTATAGCTCTTCATTCGAGATCCATCGAGAGATTCAAATACTAGGTTAGAGCTACAAAGCAGGAACAACAAAAAACATCATGGTCTCCCGACACGTGGCTCTAGGTTTTTTTTTTTTTTTTTTTTTTTACCTGATCCAAAGCCAAACCAAAAATTGGTACAGAATTTTGACAGACATCTCGTAATTCCTTGTTTCAAACGTAGAGTTGAAGAGAACATGAAGGAAATTTCTTGATTTTTTTGTTGTTTTTGATGGTTGGTTCTATAAAGATGAGATTTTTATTTTATAAAACAGCGAATAACAAAAACAAACAAACACCCATGAAGAAAGGAAGGATAAAAATGAAAGCTTTAGATGTTATATTAGTAGTGGATGAATGTAATAGGGTGCAAAGAGGAACCTGGCATGAGTGGAGTACTCAAAGAGCTTTCCTTTGGTGGAGAAGACAATCAAGGCAACATCTGCATCGCAAAGGACAGAGATCTCATGGGCCTTTTTGAGCAACCCAGCTCTACGCTTTGAGAAGGTGACTTGGCGGCTGATTTTGTTCTCTATTCTCTTCAGCTGCACTCTCCCCCTTCCCATGGTGGAGGGTTCTTCAACACAAACCCTAAAAGGAGAAAAAGAAGAAGAAGAAGAGGAAGTGGGGAATTGTTGTTGTTTCTATAATTGTGGATGAGGGAAGTGATTCGGTTGGAGTTTGAAAGGAGGAGAGATTGTTGCTAATGAGGGAAAAATAAGAAAGAAAGAGAAGGGCATGTGATGGGTGTTGCATAGTACCATTGAGCTGTCGAGAAATGGTTGGAGGGAGACCATGGAGCAGTTAATGTCTCAAATTTTATGTCAGAACAATTTATAAAGGGTCAGAGCTTAGCTGAGCTCAGAGCTTTGTGTCTTTGTTCTTCTTCTTTACATCTGACGGCGCCCTGCTTATATCACACTCAAAATCTCTCTCAAATACTTGTAACTTTTCATGCTATTATAGATTTATAATAAATGAATACTATCTCTGAATCGTTTTGGAAAAATCTAAGACAAAGCCATGAAATCTGATGTTCAAGGTGAATAATATCATAATATTGTGAAAAGTCGTGTTTATCTACTAAAATCAAAACTTAATTCTTATTAACTGCCCATAAAAACATTAGGGTATATATGAATCTCACATCGGTTGAAAAGAGAAACGAAATATTTCTTATAAGAACGTGGAAACCTCTTCATAATAGTCGCATTTTAAAATCGTGAGACTGATGACAATATATAACAGGCCCTTTAACTATTACAAATGATATCATCGTCAAACATCGAGCGGTTTGTCAGTGACTGATGACAATATGTAACGGACCTTTTAACTATTACAAATGATATTATAGTCAGACATCAAGTGATGTGTCAGTGAGACATTACCACGCTAACCCCCAAGAGGGTGGATTGTGAGATCCCACATCGGTTGAAGTATAAGAGTGTGGTTGATGACGATACGCAATGGACTAAAATGGGTAAAGATGGACTTGGGTTAGAATAAGATTAAATAGGCTAGATAACGACACCTAATTAACTTTGTTTCGTTTATCCTAGTGTCTATCAGGAAAGTTATGGATTAATGAAATAACCCTAAGAACATATACGCGAGTCAACTCTTATTGCCATCTAATGTAATTATTCGAGACAATTATGTTTCCTAAGTAAATATTCAAGGTTCACGGAAAAGAAGTTAAAATGTAAGGTTAAATTATAAGTTTAGTTCACGAACATTTATAACAATATATGAAATTTTTAAAAAATAATCAAAAGATTTAATTTATTTTTTAAAAAATAACTAATTTAAACAAATAATTACCGAGCATATATATATATAAACAAAAAAAGCAATAAATAATTGGATTAGAAAACAATATTACTAAAATGATTATTTTATAAGAACAAAATACGTTTTTCTAAAACATGTTAATATGAATATTAGGATAAAGCTAAATCTTTTTTCAATAAATCGTACACAAAATATAATATTAAACAGTTATTTTAAAAATAAAATAAAAAATTATATTCTTTACCCTTTTTTGACGGAATAAAAATGAGTATATTTTTGCGTAAATATATTATGATAAGTTTGAAAAGCTTGTGGTTTTGTGGTCCATGGACGTCCTACGCTACAATGGTGTAATTAAGAAATTAATTATATTAAAAGTTGTTTACCATATGGTACCCTATAATAATATCATTACTTTAAATTTTAAAAATATACATATTATTTATTGAATAATTACTAAGTTGGACCACTACAATTACTTTTTCTTTTTACACTATCGAGAAATAATGCTTTAAATAATAAAGTTTTAAGAACTACAAAAAATAAAGAAATTTTTATATCGTTATTATAAAATTAAATTTTAATTATTGAATTTAAGGATGTTTTATTAATTTTTTTAATTTTAGAATATTATTTTTAATTATTATTATGGTAATTTATTTCCAAACTTTTCAAAAATATATAAAGTTTGGTTTGGTATTCTCTTTCAAAATCGTTTATAAACACGACCAAAATGTATTATAAATTTTAATTCTTAAATAATTTAAGGAATACTACTTAAACTAAAAAAATGATGATGTCTTTATCTAGAAAAAAAAAATTGTTTTGAAAGGTTGAATAATAAAAAATATTCAATAAATAATCTTGGGTTTGAGTTGAATATATACACACTTATATCGGACGAATAACATGACACTTGAATAAAGAAGTAATACATGAATAAACTTAGAGCACATCAGAATAAGAACGAGACTTAAAAGAATTAAAAATCACTGCATATGCCAACAAGATGCACGTTACTTTTTAATGACTGAACCATAGACACTTCACGGTTAAGCATACTTCGCTGGATGTAATTCTATGTTGAGTGACGTGTTAAAAATTTCCTTAAGATACATGTGAATTAGGACAAAAGGTGGTTCATGTTTGTTTGTGGAGTGGGTCTTTACTCTTAAAATCCAAAAGAAATGTAACGGTGTTGGAATGATTGATATAAGCTAGAGTGAACCTTAAACCGATACAAACCGATACACGTAAATATGTTATGTTCTTTCTCCGTACACAACTCCTTTTCCTGTCCACAAGCCAAATGTTGGGGTTTTTTTTTTTCTTATAATGTCTAAAATAAAAGTCCTTATTAACAAATTTGCAAAGTGTTGGTACCATACTGCAATTAATAATAAATAAAAAAAGAGAGGTAGAGTTTGAGGCCTTCAAAGCATCCAACCAGGGAGAAAGGCATTGACTTGTTGGGCATGATTTGGGGCAGTGGTGGCTGTAATTTGATCTGATACTGCAGCACTGTATCTGTTTCAAACCCACCACACCACAAAAGTAAACACACAGATTATCCACAGAAAACCGTTTCATTTGCTTAGCCAAAAGGGATGAACTGACCCAATTTGCAGAGTGGGGTTGCAATCCAGTGGCTGAAAGAAGCCTTGAGTTTGGGCATTCTGTGGAGCATATGACATGCCTTGGTCTACTTCTTCCCATGTTAGTCTTATGTTGTTTCTTGAACTGATTTCTTCTAGCTGACCAACCCAATCCAAGTCATTCGAGTTCATAACGATTTCGTGTTTAGTTTTTCGATCTCTTCTTAACGCTTTTTCTTTTTGAAATCTGTTTGTAGAAGGGTATGTTTGGTTACCTTTAATGTTAGAGATCTGTTGGTTTCAATCAGCATCTGTTCCTGAACTTGAAAAAAAGACAAAAATTAGCATATGAATTCATGAAAATTCGACTGATATTAACACTTGATATATCAAGTCAAGCCTACCTTGTTCTGAAGATCAGATAGCTGGTCCAGCATGTACTGAGTCTGCAAGTTCTCAGTTCCAAATGTACTTAGAATTTGGTAATGATTAACAAATTCATACGTAACAACCCAAGCTCACCACTAGTAGATAATGTCCTCTTTCGAGCTTTCCCTCAAGGATTATAAAACGGGTTTGTTAAAGATACGTTTCCATACTCTTATACAAGGAATGTTTTTGTTCTACTCTCCAACTGATGTGAGATTTCACAATCCACCCTCTCTTAGGAGTCCAGCGTGCTTGCTGACACACTGCGTCATGTCTACCTCTAATACCATTTGTAATAGTCCAATCCCACCACTAGTATATATTGTCCTATTTGAGCTTTTCCTTTCGTACTTCTCTCAAGGTTTTTAAAACATGTATGTTAGGGAGAGATTTTCACACCCTTATAAGAAATGTTTCGTTCTCCTCTCCAACCAATATGGAATCTCACATATGTAAACAGTCTTCGAAACATAACATATAAAGTGTTGGGTACGAGAAATTCGACGGTTACTTACTACTAAATTGAGCTACATACAATTGTGTTCAATACAAGACAACCTAAGAAGTCCGAAAAATTGGCTACCTTGTACTATTTTTTTCATTGACAATCTGGAAAAAATGAAAGAATACCAACCCTATGATTATAATGTTGGGGACCAAAATTCGAAATAAAATTTTTGGGCACTTCAGAAAACCATTTCAAAAGAATTAAATAAAGTGATTCCGTAATTATCGAAAAAATGAGTATTTTACTTGGATGTTTAGGTATATATTGTTGTTTTTGGACTTCTCCTTCTAGATTCTCTTCAAGTTTTAAAACTTGTCTATTAGAGAGAGGTTTCCACACTTGTATAAGGAATGATTTGTTACTCTCTCCAACCGAGGTGGGATCTTATAAGGTATACTCATTAAAGTTTCGCCATAGATCTAAGACATAAAGATACACTCGTAGTTGCTCTTCCTTAATGCTATCTTCTTCTTAGCCTCCTTTTATGTCATGCAATGGATTTAGACCATCTAAGGTATGCAAAAGGAATCGACTTTATTTCCTCTCTATCATAATTATCATCATAGTAATTGTGATGAACGACCCGCAAGAATCGACTCAGTTAGCTAGCTATGGTTAGGCCAAGTTTTAAATCTTGTGGTGGTAGCAATAAATTAAGAAGCAAAGAATCTGGGATACCCATTTCCAAAGTACAAAGGTGAAGCTTCAAATGTTGTCTTATAAGAACCAACAGACAATAGCAGAGCAACATGGATATTTCTATCGAGACAAACCCAAGAAATATGAATGAGAATGAGAATGAGAATCAAAACGAGAATTGATATAATCAAGACCCATTTGATAATCATTACATTTTTACCTCTAATGACCCAACCCCACCGCTAATAGATATTATTCTATTTCAAGGTTTTTAAAACGTGTATGCTAGGGAAAGTTATCCACACCCTTATGAAGGTGTTTGGTTCTCCTCCCCAACTGATGTGGGATCTCACAATCTATCCCTTTCGAAGCGCAGCGTTAAGGCTCCGATTTTGTGTAACCTCAATTAGTAAATTCAATTACTAATTTGAATTTGAAATAATCTATCTCATTCAAAATATATACGTTAAGTCCTTGCTGGCTCGTGTCCACCCCGCTTTGGGGCGGGATTTAGGGTTTAGGGAAATAAATTATGGGTTAGAGTTAAACTTTAATGAACTTACCTTAGTAGACCTAACTTGCTTCAAAGAAGACTCGAGCTGACGCTCCAGCTGCTCAAGCTCTTTAGAGTTCAATGGACCCAACTCCTCACCAAGAAGATTTCTGCCATAACATAAACAACTATTTTTTAGACCTAATTCTAAACTTTTAATATATTCATATTTTATTAATGAAGTAGGAAAATTAGCTTAATTAACATCAATAATTAAAAAAAAAAAAAAAAAAATAGTTACCTCTGAGTTCTCTGTAGAGACTCAAACCTAGCCTTCAGCTTCAAGTATTCTCTATAGCTACTCTGTAAAAATTTAGAAAAAAAAAAAAAAAAAGAAATCCAATTTTTACGATCTAGAATTCATCGGTAGTTAGATAGATTACGATAAATTTAATCATTAACGACATGGGTGTGTGTATCGAGGATTCACCTCGAGCTCTTTGGCGGGTTTGGCGACCTCGACAGCTCCATAACTGCATTTCTGGTACCTTTCCAGTGTCTTGAGCATGCTGAGGGAAGAAACAACATGAGATGAGAAGATGAAGAAGCAATTATGGATCTAAATGATGGGTATAAACAAAAACAAAAAGAAATGGAAACCCTAGAAAGATGAGGATGAGGAGAGTACTTGGAAGTGCTACAGAACTCATAGAGCTTGCCACGATTAGAGAAGATGATAAGAGCAACTTCAGCATCACAAAGAACAGAGAGCTCATAAGCCTTCTTCAACAGCCCACTCCTTCTCTTAGCAAATGTTACCTGCCTGTTTATCTTGTTCTCTATTCTCTTCAGCTCCACTCTTCCTCTTCCCATTTCCTTACCCCTGAAAACAAAGCCTCTGGCTCTGTTCTTGGGATCCAACAAGAACAAAAAAGATTTAAACCCTAGTGAGGTAGAGGCAGAAAACAGTGATTTTTGTTGTTTTTTTTTTTGTTTTTCCCAACCAAAACAAGATAATAAATAAATAAAAGTCTCTCTTTCTTTTTCTTGTTCTTGTTCTTGTTCTTGTTCTTAGGGTTTCAGAGCTACAGATTTGTTCTGATCTTCACACCCAGAAAAACAATTTCAAGACAGCCTTAGAGCTCTTCTTCTTCTTCCTACTAATTTCTTATAAAACACCCTGTTTTTTCTTTTATCCTTCTTTTCCCACGCGCGTTTAGGAAGAGTGTGCTACACGTTTGTGGTGTTTTCAACGATTTCGTGATATTTTTATCTTCATACCCACGTGGAGCTTTTTGATTGGACACGCGCCCGGTGTGGTACCATTTGGTTCTCAGATTCTGTATCATCAGCTTAAAGCCGGTCACAGGTCGATCAGAACGTCGTCACCAAACCTTAAAAATGAAACTCCACGTGTCATTTTCTTATTGGATTAGTACAATTTTCATGTGATAATTTATTAATATAATAATTAAGGAAATAAGGAAAAGTTATAAAAACCTTATATTTGAAAGATTTAGAACAAACGTTTTTTTTTTTCTTTTTGATTTAAATTACAAATTTAGTTTCTCCGTGTAGATTTGATTTTGTTAATATTCTAACGCTCGTGGTTGACTGATAATTTATCAAACATTAGATAATACATCGTTTATTAAATAAAAGCGAATCATGCCAATTTATAATATAATTGAGAATAAAAATAATTTATTTTTTGTACAACTTGTCTGGGATTTGTCATTTTTGTTTTGGTACTAAAAATTACATATTTGGTTTGTGACCAAAATAACCAATACTGGAGGAACAAAATGGTTGGTGGGATAGGGTTAGTTTGGTCAATAAGAAACAAAAACTAAGTAATAGGTTGATACAACCAAATTCTAAAGCAGGTAAAAGGGTGTCTCTATATATATATATATAAAATAAAAAATAAATTGTAGGTACGAGATTCTTAACCTAGGATTATGATGTTAGAATTTTAAGTTATATAAAAAATTATGTCTTTAAGGGTATTTGTTTTTGTTAACATGAATATTATTTAAAAATAGATTGGTAAATTTTATAAGTAAATAATATGATTAAATAAAACTTTGTAGCATAAAATTATTAATATTTTAAGGGACAAAATAACTAGAAAACACTTCTTTTAATATCAACACATTATCTGAGAGAATGATTTGACATCATGATTTGTCAAAAATTGCAAAATAAAAATTGGAAATATCTTAATTATTTAATTAATTCAATTATTTGAATTATTTCATAATTTTCTTTTGCATGCGATTGTTCACTGTACATTTCCAACGAACCTCGAAAGTTACCGCCGCCGTACGGCGGCGATGGCTACAGCGAAGTAACCAGAAAAGAAAAATAAACAGCCTGCGCCAGGGGGACTGTTTGCCACGTGTGGCTACGGCAACTCCATGTTTCTCTGTTCAAGAGAAAGAAAAAGCACTTCCCAATGGTCACAGCCCATTTACAGTTACGCAGCTGAGCACGAAAAGCACTTTCTGCTCACTACGTGTCGCTCTGTTATTAGTCTGTCATTCACACAGACTTGGCTCCGGGGTTGTCGACTCCTCCGCCAGAGACTGGAGTATAATAGTGGACAACTTGTTTAGCTGTACGGTCAGACGATTTGACGTGCCACGTGGCAAAACAAGAGGGCAGTTGCACGGAGAGTGCCAGGTTTTGGTGGGTGAGAAAGATGCGTCCTTTTTATTTTTAAAAAACATGCTAAAATATTATAATTTTGATCATATATTTGAATTTTTATTGCAATTTTAATTTTAAATTTTTTATGACATCACAAAAGAAAAAAAAAAAAAGAAAATTCACGCTATTTTTTAATATTTTAAACATTTTTTAATTCATCAATCTTATTCAAATGTAATTTTATTAATTTATAATTTCTTCATTTACTCAAAAATCGTCTTATTTATGAGAGAATTAAAATGTTTATTTTTTTTTTTAAGTTAAAAGATTAAAAAAAAAAAAGTGTGGTGAGGAAAATGAAACTATTTTGAAAGTTATTAAAATAAGATTTTAATTTTTTAATTTTTTAATTTTTTTTTTGTTGGGGATTCAGAGGTATTTACGGATATGCCCTTCATAAACTATGCATGTCGTTTCAGAGCAGGGTCAACAGTACAGCGTGCTTACATTGGATTGTCTAAAAGTCAAATCGAAATATTCGATTTATAATAATAATAATAATAATAAATAAAAGATAAAAATCTTGGTTTTGAAGAAATTAAATTTATAAATATTATTTTTATTTATGATAGTTATTGTTTTCTTTTTCATAAGTTTTGTTTTAAAAAAAAAAACATTTTTAAGAATTTATTTTGATTTTTTTAATTTTGCTTACAATAAATTTTTTAAAAATAAAATTTATGGTAGATAAATTCTCGTGAGGTCACCCAATATGTAATTATTCCAACCAAAGTCTGCTTAGCCATTGAATTTGTAAATTGAGTTACCAAGACTATCAATTATTCTAAATCTTTTTTAATCATCTTAATATTTTAATCGCTCTTATTTAAATGTAATCTCGATTAATTAATTTATGTATCTCTCATTTACTTAGATGTCATACAAACTCTAATGCTTAAGTTAATAAATAGTGTGAAGTTGTGTCGAATTGAGCAAGAATCAAATTGCTTATCGACAACCGCTCTTTGATATTGTTAGTCTATGTGTGACAAACACACTAAATCACTATAAGGTGCTCGATTCTTCTCATTGCATCTCATTCACTTGTTCGAATGGTCCCAAACGTGTGACTAGATAGGAGAACGATATGTGAAAGACGTTTCTTTTTTAATCCACGACAACTTAAATGAATACATTTTGAAACCATACCTCTGATAGAAAGAATTTTCGCATATTTTGACCCTTTAAATCATGCAATTGAGAGGATTTGTGACTAAACATGCTTGCTTTACATCTCTAAGCTTTACCATAGGTGCTAGGCACGTATTTTATCTCTCTCTTCCTCGTTTCTTAATTTTGGAAAAGAACGATAGTTACATGAATGACAAAATTTAATCTTACATTGGTTGGAAAGGGGAACGAAACATTGTTTACAAGAGTGTAAAAACCTCTTTCTAACAGACGCGTTTTAAAAACCTCAGTTGAACTTGGGCTGTTACAAACGCCTCGAATTCAATTCACTCTCTTGTTTTCAAATCTAAGTCTTCAAATTACGTGATTAGTGGACTTTTCGTCGTTGATTCGACTGACCTTTTTTCAATTCAACCATAATGCTATCGTGAACAAGAAATAGGGTATTAATTTTGGAAATAGTAGGCATTGATGAACTAAATATCAAATTTGTTGCAAATATTCCTTTCTTCAACTTCACTAATTGAATTATAAATGGAAAAATTTCTTTATTTTTTCCCATTTTGTTTGGTCTTAATTGTCCTCACTTTTATTCATCTTCTCTATCTTAGGAAATTAATCATCCCACTAACCTCTCTATTAAAATGGCATCCTGACTTGGATCCCATAATTAGAGATGCTAATTTACCCAATATTACCCCATCAGTTCATGTAACAGCTTAACCCACCTTTAGTAGATATTGTATGTTTTGGCTCCTTACATATCCTCTCTCCAACCAATATGAAATCTCACAATGCACTCTCCTTTGAGAGAGTCTGCTCACTGGCACTCCGTCCAGTGTTTGGCTCTAATACCATTGATAACAATGTAAGACCACCACTAACCGTTAATATCTACTTAGTAGAGGCTTCCACACCCTATACCCTTATAACGAATACTCGTTCCCTTCTTCAGCCGATGTGGGATCTCACAATTTACCCTCTTTGAGGACAACACCTGGTGTCTAGCCGTTGGCCCGTTACATATTGTCAACCTCACGACTTGGAGAGGTTTCCACACACTACACTCTTATAAGGAATACTTCGTTACCCTCTCCAACCATTGTTGGATCAAAGCATGGTTGAATGGTTAATATAAAGAGATATTTGTTGTATCTTTCGATCGAAAAAGAGTAAACGGGAGATAATATTTTGTACCTTATATTATGTTCATATTCTTATTCATGCCAACTTTTGCAAAGTATTCTGAATTGGAAGAAGCACACTACTAAAACTCTTTGGCTTGGCTTCTCTCTTTTCTGCTATCTCTACCAAAGGGGAAAGCTCTTTTTCTCAGACCCTTATAGGGAAAATGTTTTAAAATCTGTTTGAAGTTGAAATCTTCATCATCATCATATCTGCATTTGTGGAATTTCAACTTTGTGCACATTCTTCAAAACCTTCATGAAAGTGAACAGCACAGAGGACAATATAATTAGTGGAATTTTTATATAAAAAGCTACAATCACAAGATTATGATCGTATATTCGATATGCAATCTTAGATAAAAGATATTAAAAGTTCACAAACAAACACAAATCATAGTTCTCAAAAATCACAACTAATATCGGAAAATATGGGTGTACATGAACCAACAACTCAAACAAATATTACTAAATATTTCTGGGTATCACAACTGTGGTACAAACTAGAACCTGAATCACCATATCTTATTCTTTCTACAGCTTATATAGAACAGTAGATTGAAGAACAAAAAGTCCATTCAAAATCCCAAAAATCACAAGTTATTAAGACTCGAACAACATCTATAGTTGCACGAAGACGCGATTTAACTAAACGATTACGCTTTTCCATTGGGCAACTTAGCTGAAGCTCCAGTTGGGTTGAGATCATCCCAAGCTTCAATCCAAGTCACCATGGCATCGGCCAGCTTGTCGAAGTAAGGATCAACTTTGCTGAGCTTGTCCTTGACTTGTTTGGCCAGCTCAATGTAGCACTTTTGGACAGTGGTGCAATCTTTTGGAAGAACAACTTGTTGGAAGAATGGGATGATGTCTTCCTGCCAGAAAATGCCTTTGTACTCCTTCCTCAGGTTCACAAATGGGTTGCTTGCCTTGCTATGGTAGATGTAAGGCAGCCCTGTCTTCACTCCCAACCCCAGATGATCACATATAACCTACATGTATGCATTCGGTTGATTAATCGTTCTGTCAATTTGCGTTCAGATGCATCACAGTTCTCATAGCAGAAGGCTATGTGCAATCTAATCAATCTATAATTCAGCAGTATTGTAATTGTTCTAACAGAATGCTACACACCTTGATGCACCAGCCAGCCCACATATCGTCGTATCGACCGATTGGCTGCCCATCGCCCATGAGTCCAAAGTACATTGCAGGGCCGATGAGGTCTCGGTCGAATGCCAAATTCATACCACACATGGGAAACAAAGTGCCTTTTGGGATTGTCAGGACAGCATCCACAAACCTTTTTCAAACAATGAAGATCGTTAGACAACAAATTAGACTAGACCTTATGACTTCTATCCAAGTAGAGCAGCCTTTAGAGATTAGTCCTTACCTTGTGTTCCTTTCCAAAGGCTTAACAAGCTGAGTTGGTGCATCATAATCTGGGATATTAAGCCAGAGGCCATGAGAAACAGCGGTTGGGACACCCTCACGCAGACTGAAGGGATATCCACGCACAAAGTCAGCACCATCTCGATAAGGATCGTAAAGGGTGTTGAAGAAAAAGGGGGTAGAGGGGCAGAGGAGGTTCTTGATGTGCTGTGCAAGTGCATTGATTTGTTTCCCAGACGGATCACTGGCAACCTAAGCATCAAATTTTTAAACAAATAAGAGGCTCTGAAATGATCAAAAGTTTCATACACTATTATTATGAATGAGCACAAAACTACATATAGAATCAAACAGAGGTAAACTGAATAAAGAGGAATATAGATCATCAGAGTGCAAGAGGATGCAAAGAACAATCAGAATGCAGACTTAAAACTAGACCCAGTTTTCAACAACGAAAAACGCAAGCATTCTTGTAATCGAACTTTTCACAAACAGATGGCGGGCATGCAAAAAAGAACCAAGAAAAAAGGGAAACCAATCAAACCCATCAAGGAATCACACATGCAATAGCAGAGGAAAAAGAAAACACCAAAATCATAAAGCCAAAAGCCCAATCGGAAAAGTGGAAAAAGCGAAAGAACTCACAAAGCAATCATCATCAATGGTGAAGATATACTTCTTTTTGGAGACCATATACCCAAAGCATCGACAAGCAGAGTCCTTAAAGGAAATGCAGTTGGCTCTAGGGCCGAGAATCCGATTAATGTCATTGCGATTATAGAGCTCATAATCGAATCCCTCAGGGACCTTGATGGTCTTGGAAGGGTCGCCATCTTGGACGATGATCAAATGGTATGGCTGAAAGAAGGGCCTCCACATCTCGAGGAAGTCGAGGTTTCTAATGGTGGGGATGACAATGTCGAGCTCATCTTTGAGCAATGAGGACGCCATGGGAGAGGAAAAGAGAGGTAGAGAAGCCGGAATCTAGAAATGGGGAGATGGCGATGTGAAGGAATTGGGCATTGGGAGTGGAATTATAACTGGGAGATTGCGAGAGGCCGTGGAGTTATGCAGAAGCGAGTGGCTTAAAGTCGCCATTAAAGCAGAGAGCGAGGTTTCTGAATTTCAAAGGTAACGAGGAATTGTTCTCTGGTCAAACTCGCCGAATTCCGCGGATAGATTTTTATTTTTATTTTTACAAACCATCTATAATTAATTTCATGTCATTTAATTGATTTAAATTTCTAGAATATATCAAAGTTCTCAAATTTAATTTTTGAATTTTATGTATAATAAATTTTTATTATTAATTGAATTAATTTGATCTAAAAATAAATAATAAAATTTCATAAATTACTTTCTAATTTTAAGATTTTAGGTTGGATTTTGGAATTATTTTGATTGTTTGTTTCTTTAATAAAATAAATGTAAAATATTAGAATTATTTAAATGATTAGGAAAATATTATGAATATTTTTCTGATATTTTGGAATATATCTCCAATATTTAATTGATTAAAAATAAATTAATTGAGAATTAAGACGTTGCTTGTAAAAATAAAAGAAAGGTTGAAAAAGAATGTTACTTTGTGAAGCATTTATTAATTTAATCAGTTATAGAGTAGAAATTTATAAAATTTATAAAATTTATAAATTAAGGAAGGTGAGATCTAGAGAGGGAGATACGTGCGGAAACAGAAACACGCACGTGCATCCACATTCCATTGCGTTGACTAAAAAAAAGTTTAGATTATTTGTAGCCTTTTCAAAATTATAAAATGACTAAAATATCCTTACAAACCAAAACGAGTACGAAGTTTGTTGGCTTCAAATGCTTTTCTTGAGTTACTTTGGAGAATGAAGATTGTTTTTTTTTTTTTTTTTTTTGCAAGCCAGAACGAGCTTTTTAATGTGTTTTTGTTCATACTTACGTGTGTAGATATAACCTCCAATCTTATAAGCATCGAAAGTCATTGAGTAGCGAGGTCATTAGGTGTTAAACTTAAATTCTAAAATCTTGGGCCTTGACATTGGTTGACACTACTCTCGTACTATAGTGTAGTTCAAGTTAACTACGAAAAAGTTGGTGGGAATGTGATGCTCGAAATTGAACAAGTTGGTGCACTATACATAGACAAGGAGTATTATTTCATCTAAAGGAGTTGGGCGATCTCCAAAGAGGTTTTTTTAAGATCCCACATCTGTTGGAGAGGAGAACGAAACATTCTTTATAAGAGTGTAGAAACCTATCCCTAGCAGACACGTTTCAAAAACCTTAAGGGGAAGCCCAAAAGGAAAAACCCAAATAGGACAATCTTTGCTAGTGGTGGTCATGGGTCGTTATAAATGGTATCAAAGCCAGACACTGAGCGATGTGCCAGCGAGGAGGCTGAGCCCCAGAGGGGGTAGATTGGAGAAGGGAACAAGTGTCAGAGCGAGGATGTTGGCCCCAATGACCTTCGCTGAGATTTTCACACGCTCACAAGTGTCAGAGCGAGGATGTTGGCCCCAATGACCTTGTGAGGGTGTGAAAATCTCTCCGTAGCAGATACGTTTTAAAAACCTTGAGGAAAACTCATAAAGGACAACATCGGCTAAAGGTGGGCTTGGGCCATTACAATGTTAGTAAAGACAACAATATGTCAAATGGCACGTGTTGGTCTACCAAGAAGCACGGTCGCCTACAATCTCAAAAACAACTCAAGAGATCGAGAATATAGAGTAATATCGATGTCAAATCCAGATTCAAAATCTCGGTCGTGAGGAAAACTAAAAGCCTTTGGCAAATGAGAGGGATGGGAAGGAGAGAAGTATTAGTATTGAAGCAATTTATGTGAAGTCTGCCAAATACAACAGTTGTTTGGTAGATCTGTTGTCTTTTTGGGTTTTCATCACATTCAAAGGCTTCTCCATCTCTCTCCCTCTCTCTTTATACCTTTTTCCCAACCTGTTTGCTTCCTTCAAACTCATCCAAATTGGTTACAACATTCAAGAAACTTGCCTTGCCTTGCCTTCCATGTTAGATCTTAGGCCCCCATGACAGCCACAAGGCCTCAAATGAGCACACAATTAACCTAAGTATTTCAAAACATACACATAATAATAGTAAGGAACACAAATTCTATGAGTATTTACTATTATCTTATGATCTTTGAATGAGTATCATAAAATTTGAGTAATTCCCAAAAGGGTATTATGCAGGGTAGGTGCAATTTCTTTATACCTGATATCACAGCAAAAGCTACAAGGTCATTTGAGTAACTTCCACGCCTAAGCCATTACACATCAGCTTCCTCTTCAACCCTTGTACCGTTGAGATGTTAACTTCTCAATCTTCAGATGTCCCGCCATGTTATTAAACCTAGCCCTTGCTTCACGTTATGGGAACTGAACAGAACAAAGAACATAAAGAACAAACCATAATCTTATATAAAGCTTTCAACGACACCCTTTTGGTGTGTCGTTTATTGTTCATCTTCCTCATTCATCTTCTTGTAGAACTCGTTTGCTCGACTTAACCGACAATGAGCTTGATTGTTTCAGCTGTTTTCCTTTTTGTCATATTTTCTCTTGGAGGTGAGGCTTGTTTTTGCCGAGTTACCTGTCATTTTGAACTTCTCGTTCGTGTTTTGGTGATCAATCTACTTGTGTTTTTTGGTTGCAGCTGCATACGATCCGTTGGATCCGAATGGGAACATTACGGTCAAATGGGACGTCATGTCTTGGACGCCTGATGGCTATGTGGTAAGAACTTCTATTCTGATATGAGTTTTTGAATGTAGTCATATGAAGTTGGATGATTTTATAGGCGGTTGTGACATTGAACAACTTCCAAATGTACCGGCACATAATGAGTCCCGGGTGGACGATGGGATGGACGTGGGCGAAAAAGGAAGTGATATGGTCGATGGTCGGGTCGCAAACGACCGAGCAAGGCGATTGCTCCAAGTTCAAAGGAAACATTCCTCACTGTTGTAAGAAAACCCCTACTGTTGTGGATTTGATGCCAGGAGTTCCTTACAATCAGCAATTTACAAACTGCTGCAAAGGTGGGGTTGTGGCTGCTTGGGGACAAGACCCTCAAGCTGCTGTTTCAGCCTTTCAGATCAGTGTTGGCCAAGCAGGTACTTCAAATAAGACTGTCAAACTCCCCAAGAACTTCACTCTGCTTGGTCCCGGCCCCGGGTACACTTGTGGCCCTGCCAAGGTCGTGCCTTCCACCACCTTCCTCACGCCCGACCGCCGTCGCAAAACTCAAGCTCTGAGTAAGAACACGTTAATTACAGTCCTCCATCTGCATTTCATCAACGAGTATAACGCTGTAATTTGGTCATCTTTCTTCTTTTTGTGTGCAGTGACTTGGAATGTGACCTGCACTTACTCTCAGTTTTTAGCCAGAAAAAATCCTAATTGTTGTGTTTCTTTCTCATCGTTCTACAACGATACGATCACGTCTTGTCCGTCTTGCACCTGTGGTTGCCAAAACAAGAACAGCTGCATCAAGTAAGGCTAGCCATTTCCATCTGAATTCTTATTAAGTATTGCCATTAGTACAGCTCAGACCTGAACTGTGTTATGCTTTGCAATGACTGCAGGAGTGATTCTAAGATTCTTAAGCTGGTTGGAATCAATACACCAAAGAAAGATAACACCCCATTGCTACAGTGCACGCATCATATGTGCCCGGTTCGAGTTCACTGGCACGTGAAACAAAATTATAAGGAATACTGGCGGGTGAAGATCGCCATCACAAACTTCAACTACCGAATGAACTATTCGCTTTGGTCTCTCGTCATCCAGCATCCAAATTTGAACAATGTAACCCAAGTTTTCAGCTTCAACTACAAACCCCTTGTCCCCTATGAATCAATCAGTAAGTAAAAGCATCAAACTCTGAAACTGTTTTCTACTCGTTGCTCTTTCCTTGACATATTCACCGAAGGAGGAGAGCTAAGACACGGTTTTTGCTCCTGATATACACAGATGACACGGGAATGTTCTACGGGACGAAGTTTTACAACGACCTTCTGATGGAAGCAGGGCCATTTGGGAATGTACAATCAGAGGTGTTGCTGCAAAAGGATCAGAACACCTTCACCTTTAAGCAGGGATGGGCATTCCCTCGGAAAGTTTACTTCAATGGCGACGAGTGCATGCTTCCACCACCGGACACATACCCGTTCCTGCCAAACACTGCCCGCAAAAGGCCCATTGCCCTCTCAACATCATTTGCTTTGCTGCTGCTCTTCCTGCTGCTAGCTATTTGCTGAGTCCCTTTCTAGAATTCAAAATTACACATGAAGAAAGAATGTAATGTAATTTTTCAGATCAAGTCCATATTTTTGACATATAGGAACAAAATCACCTGCATACAAGAACTTACAATCTTTTAGAAAGTTCAAAATGAAGAATGTCATATTCTGAAATTCAGAATCCATTCTCTTCCTGCAATCTACTTTTCCATTCACAAAAATTCCACTGTTCCATGAAAGAAGATAAAGATATGGAATGAATCAAAGTAGCAGAGAAACATTTACTGACAACAATTGATATGTAAACATGTTCCAAGTTTCCATGGTTGAGCATTATCTCAATGCAGACATGGAAATCTTAGAGAGTTTCTGTAATATCGTACAACATTTACAAAGTGAACTCGATCACCAAAAAGTTCACCGAAGAAAAACAATTGTGTAGTTAAAAGTCATCATCCATATCTGAGATTCATCAATTCTTTGAATAATTGTGTGTGCCAGACTGATCGATCCACTTCAAAACTTCAGAATGACTCGAGTATACAAGGGAAAACGTTATGCAAATAAATGGCGAAGGGAAAGGAGAGTCAAGGAAATCGACAATAGCGTAGTAAACAACGAGACACCTTGCTTCAAACCCGTGTTTGGTGAGTGGGGATAGGCATCTGGAGGCGGCATGACGCAGTTGTCGCCATTGAAATAAATCCTCCGAGGGAAAGCCCAGCCTTTATCGAATGTGAAAACCGATGGATTCTTTCGGAAAAGTAGCTCTGTCTGCACATTCCCAAGAGGGCCTGCTTGCATGAGCAAATCATTGTAGAACTTGACTCCCCACAGGACTGCAGTATCATCTGTTAGAAGTACACATACATTTATTTAAATTTAAAAGAAGAGGAACAACAAAAAGAAGTTTCCGAGAAGAAAATGTATCCTACTTATAGTTCCATATGGATTGATCGACATGTAGTTGAAGCTGAAAATCGTTGTTAAATTGTCGAAGTTGGGATGTTGAGCAACTAAGTTCCAATTTGTATAGTTCATCGCGTAATTGAAGTTTGTAATTGTGATCTTGGCACGCCAATACTCCTTATAGTTAATCTTCACATGCCAGTGAACTCGGATCGGGCACAAATGGCTTGTACACTGAACCGAAGGTACCACATTGTTATTGCTAGAACTAGCATTGGTAACAACAGAGGCTAAATGCGGAGAATTTGGCCTGCAAATACACATGTTCACAATTAGTCCAAGTCATAATAGTTTATAGTTTTATATGAGGCAGATAGCATACTCCACACAATTTTGGGCTCCGTTAGAGTTGTTTGGACAACCACAGGAGCATTTAGGGCAAGCAACAATTGTGTCGTTGTAAAATGATGACAGCGAAACACAGCAAGTCGGAGTTTTTTGAGCCAGAAATTGTGAATATGTGCATGTAATATTCCATGTCACTGCAAACATAAAGGATTTGAAGCAAAATATCAGTGGACTAGTACAAGGATTTCTTGAAAGGAAAGGTATTGAATTTGAAAGCAACTTGAAGCTACACAAGAACATAGAAACAGGAAGATAATGCAAGTAAATAACTCTCTAATCTTTACTTACTCAAGGCCTGTGTAACTCTCCGTTTGTCAGACGAAATGAATTTGGTCGGTCTAACGATCTTTGCGGGTCCACAAGTATAACCAGGCCCAGGTGCTTTTAAGGTGAAGTTCTTTGGTAATCTGACAGTTTTATTCGAGGTTCCTGCAGCACCAACACTGAGTTGAAATGAACTCACTGCAGTAGTTGGATCTTGCACCCAGGAGTTGAGAACTCCGCCTTTGCAGCAATTTGCAATCTGCTGGTTATACGGAGTCCCGGGCAATAGATCAACAATGGTTGGATCCCTCTTGCAGCTATGAGGGATGTTCCCCTTATATCTCGAACAATCACCTTGTTCGGTTGCTTGGCCTCCCAACATGCTCCATATGACCTCTTTCTTAACCCATCCCCATTGCAGAGACCATCCCGGTGCTTGAATATGACGATATTGTTGGAAATTATACATAGTAACGACAGCCTATTCATTCACAAAACACGAATTTAGGGAAAATACAACTAAATTTCCCATTATAATCATCACCATAACACAAGTGCTTATCATTTTATACAGAAATTAAGAAATCTCCTCCAAAACCCCTCATTTCTCTACCCAATCTATCCATCTCGAAGGGCTATCACACATATTGATTCTTATGAAATGAACACAATGATTCATAAACACTTACAACATAGCCATCAGCGGTCCAGCTTATAACATCCCACTTGATAGTAATGTTTCCATTTGGATCAAGTGGATCATACGCTTCTGAAAACCAAATAAGAAAAAACATAAAAAAAAAGGATAAATCAGCATCACCCTCTGAAGTTCAAACAGTACGTAGAAGCTATTAGTCAAATCATAATGATTAAAAAAAAGAAAAAAGCAATATGGTCCATGAACAGAATTAGTAGCCTCAAGATCATAACCTTTAACAGCGTTAGGTATAAACATCATTTCTTATCCATTATTTACACACTCCTTTTTAGCATTGCTCTCAATTTCATCTCAGAAATTAAATGAACACAGCATTTCAGAGTTAAGAAGAAACAGAGGATTTTCCTCAAACTCTGAAAATCCAGAACCTTATACATGCAGAGGGCATAATGCATTAAACCCAAAAATCCTCAACCACCCATTTGAAAGTTCATGAAAGAAAACCCAGAAACAAGTCCCCCGTGGCCAAGACCCAAAAACAAGATTAAAAAAAATCAAAGAAAACGAGAGAAACAAACCCCTGAAACTCAGAGTAATCAAAGACGAAAGCTAGCATTTCATCATTCTTCAAATCAAACGAAGGAAGAGCAGATTCCAGAATCGATCATCACAAAAACAAGCAGAAAGAGAGGCCGAGTTTTCAAAACAGAGACGATTATGGAAACAAACAGACCAACACCCATTGAAACAAACAACAAAAAGAAAAAGAAAACAAAGCCATAAGGAATAAAAAGAAGAAGAATCGAACCTGTTGAAGTAAGAAAGGTGGAGAAGAGTAGCAAAATGGCGAGAATGGGAAGGAAAAAGGGTAATCTGAGAATGGGAGCAGCCATGATCATGGATTTCCTAAGAATATCTAGTTTTCTGGGGATTCGTGGGTTTTAAGCCTTCTTCAACGCTGAGAATGACAGAGAGAAAGAAGCAAGGAAAACGCGGGGAGAAGAAATGGAAAGGGAAGATGAGAGGCTTTTGATCACTTGGCAAGCCGTTTTGAGGAGTACAGAACAAACCTTTTTGAGAGCCCACTCATAATTCTCCTCTCTTTCCCAATACACAAAATATACCAGACTCTCAGTTTCCAGACCTAAAACTATATATATAAATATATAATTTTTGTCCCGATCTTACTCTCAATCTCCTAATATCTAGTTCTGATGTTATTTGTGACGAATAGCTATCAGATTCACTGTTTTAAAGTACGTAGTTTTCTACATTTTTATAAGAAATATTTAGTTTTCCTTCGGCAATGATCTCACAATTTATATATAAAAGTCTTTTTGACATACTATGATATAATAAAATATTAAAATAAAATTGGTTTATATGATCGAAGAAAAATAGAATTTATTAATGGCTTCTACCATTAACATATTCAATCCGTTAGTCTATTTATACCGTTTTATCAGACTAAAATCATAGTCACTAAATTATAATTTTTTTCGATTTAAACTAAAAAAAAAGAATGTAAAATAAAATTAGGGTTTATTTAAGGAAGAGGTGCATGGAGATAGCTGGCCTTGGGAGCTTTCCTTTTACGACCTTTCTATAATAACCTGTCCTGCTGGCTTTGGGCTGCTTTGCTAACATGCCAAACATGACACAAAAACGAGTTTAAATTTTCGTTTTGGTCCTCCCAACTTTATAATTTTCATTTTAATCCCGGTAATTTCTAAACTTACCGTTGTGTGCTTAAATTTTTTGGTTAATTACAAATGTTACGTCGGTATACATAAATTAACGACAAAATTGAATTTATGATTAATTATGAATTAATACGTGTCTCAATTTAATTTAATGACAAAAACAGACAAATTAATCAATGTCATAAAACTAAGTAGTTGATTAGAAAAGATCTACAAATGGGCTCGAGAACAAGTTGTTCAATCCTCAAAATATTTGTAAAAAATCGAAGGAACACATTAGAGATCGTATTAAAGAAAACTCAAATGCAAAAGTTAGAAGAAGAAGCCACGTAAAAACGCCCAATTCAGTGACTCCGAGAGGGCATGTACCATGAGTCATAATATTACTTAAAAAGAGTAGATTACGACTCTCACATAGTAGACAAGAGTAATGTGACATGTCGAAGCCACATAAATAATTAAATAGAGTCTCACATTAACTAATTAAAAAAAAAATCACGGGTATATAAATAACATTATATAAGACATTTTGGATAAGTTAATTATTTTAATATTGAAATGATAAATTTATGATTGGGATTGAGTTGCATTTTATATAATTGGATTTACATCAAATAAATATTTAGTTAAGTTAAATAGATCATTTGATATTTATAATTATTTGATGTGATATTTGATAGATTCCTTTTGATCCAACGGCCCAAAAATAAAGGCCAATCTTTTCTTTTCTTTTTTTTTTTCTTTTTTTTTTAACATTATTATTATTAATCTCAAATGTATAAAAATGATGTTTGGATCCAAAGATTATACACTCACCCTCCGTTCTTCTCCTTCAGATCCCAATTCCATGGGACATTCCTCAAACTCCGGAGGCGTTATGGCGGCGGCGGCAATGGGCGTCTTCATTTTGGTGCTGAGCGGAAGTCATTGCAACGTTGCTTCTCCAACTCCTTCCAGTTATGGCAACATCACCGTGGCCGCTGCGGCATCGATGTGGTGCGATGGCCGCACTGAAGAATGCCTCACTGGAGATCAACGCAATAACAATTGTGGCCCATATACTCGCGTCTGTTGATCAACGCAATAACAAGCAGAACCAACCAAAATGTTGAAACTATCACTAAAATTACATTTCACG